TTTTTTATTTTCTCAATGTTTGTTTTGGATTATATTACTCTGTATTGAAATTATGGAGTACCAACTAGCAAGCCTCATGTGCAAAAAAGTAGCAAGCTAGCTGTGCCAAAAAAGTAGCAAACCAGCAAGGCTTACCACATGGATAAGATTTGTAATGAGGTTGTTTTGGGAAGGGCGGGAGTTGCACATATAGAGGATAAGCAGCGGTAAGCAAGGCTCAGGTGGTTTGGGCACGCGAAGAGGAAAAGTTTAGAGGCTTTGATGCTGCCATGCAGGCATGCAAGAGGCTTGAGATAGTGTGCACAAGAGGGTTATCCGCAGGTCTTGGAAGAGTTGAAAGAAGTGTATTAGACAGGATCACAAGACTTACGATTTCAGGACCTTAGTCTGAAGTTTATGCTGGGTTGTTTAAACCCTAATATGTAGCCTGTGTATGTGTTTTGTGCGATGGGTTGGTTGCCAGTGTTTTTGTGTGCTTTGTTCATGTGTTTTACTCTTACTTCGCTCTTACTTTGTTCGTGCTATTGTGTTTACTTTGTTTACTCTGTTTACTTTGTATGTGTCTGTGTTTGAGCCAAGGGTCTATTAGGGACAACCTCTCCACTTCTCGGTAAAGATAAGGTTCACATGTTGTTGCAATGAGTTTGTGATGAATAAAGACATCCAATCGAGTACATATTCATAAATGCCTTATTTGGGCTACATCTTAAATTTTATAAACTCATGCTTCGATTGTATTGCATTTTACAATGAATAGAGTTGGTTCTCTGAAGCCTAACAAAATTGTTTTGAGCATCGTTGGGTACAGTCATATGAATATATGATGGAATACTCGCCCTTGAAAAGAAGAGTCGCATGCTTGACGGAAACGCTAGAGACTGGATCTTGTCAAAGGATAACCATATGTATTTAGTTTGGAATGGAATGATTTTAGCATTGAGATTATCTCCCTATTTTGCTATCATTTGTACTCTAGAGAATTGATGAGGCTATAGAGTCCTAATCTACTACAATATTGAGTGAGGAAATTCAAATAAAACACTGATAAAGGAATACTCTTAATAAGAAACTGATACTAATAGTCTACTGCAACAAGTAGAATACTATGACTTTTGCGCCACTTTTCCTCCATGTTTCGTATCAGACGTTTTCTCCGATTATGTATGCATGAAGGTGGTGATTTTGGTAATTGTCGTGACTGGAGTTTCCGGGTAATGGATGTCTCTCTTGGTATTTGCTTTGTTGAAAGAGTTGTGGTGCATTTGGTGACCAATGAGTGGTGAGGTTTTGTAGGCGTAGCTTATTACCTTGATTTCTTTTTGGTTTTGCGGATCGATAGTATGCATTTAGTATTGTGGCGGTGTTGGGATTTTGGTTTTTGAAATGATGCGAGGTAAGGGTGATATATGGACTCATTGATGTGGTGTTGGGTGTGTGTGGTTGTGGTGGACAGGGAGGCATGCTGCAGCTGGTGTGGTGAGGGTGTTTTTTGTTGCAGGTTGTGGTGGGTACTTAATTGTGAGAATTTAAATTATGTCAGACATCCGAAGCCGAAGCCCAGTGGATCGTAGGATGCGTACTCAACGGTATTCCTACCGTGGTGCACCATATAGGCGGGAGCCGAATCGCGGTTACAGGTTCTTTGGTTTAATCATTAATATGCTGCTTAACAATTACTCCGTATTTGTTTTGTTTCATATGTATCCTATAAGCACATATTGGTTGGAGGAAAAAGTTGAAGTTGGGTGCACTATCAATGTAAATTAAAGTTCATAATTAAGTTCCTCCAGGGTTATTACTTTCACTAAGGTAGCATGATACCATTACTTTTTGAATTTTTGACATTCTTTTGGGGTTTGTGCATTATACATTTGCCTCAAACTCTTCTTCTGGTAAAATATGTGTATGTATATAATGTGAAATCGCCGAAGAAACGGTATGCCATCATTTCCATTGCATGTTTTTTTCTGCTCTTGCTAAATTTTATAATAACATTTACTGTTTCTCCTTTACAGCCAGGATAATCTGTGCAACAATTGCAAAAAGCCAGGTCATTTTGCTAGAGATTGCACTAATGTGGCAATATGCCATACCTGTGGCCTCCCAGGGTGTGTCTTTCTGTAGCTCTAGTAATTATTGCATGCTCTTTTCTGCCCACTAGTCTGCCCCCACCCACACACACACAATTGAGACCAAATAGTTATGAGGACACAGTGTGTTTATTCTTGTACGTATATTTTCATCAGGCACAAGTCATCAGAGTGCACAACACAGTCACTCTGTTGGAACTGCAGAGAACCTGGACACATGGCTGGTAGCTGTCCAAACGAAGGAATCTGTCACACGTGTGGGAAAGCTGGGCACCGTGCAAAAGACTGCACGGCCCCTCCAGTGCAACCAGGTGACCTGAGGCTGTGCCACAACTGCTACAAGCAAGGCCATGTTGCCGCGGAGTGCACAAACGACAAGGCCTGCAACAACTGCAGGAAAACTGGCCACCTGGCACGCGAATGCCACAACGACCCGGTGTGCAATCTGTGTAACATATCCGGGCATGTCGCAAGGGATTGTCCAAAGGGAGGCGACATTGATGAGCGAGGTTATGGACTGCCTCGTGTCGGGTTTCGGGACGTTGTGTGCCGGAACTGCGATCAGGTGGGCCATATGAGCCGGGATTGCATGACCATGATCATCTGCCAGAACTGTGGAGGTAGAGGACACTCTGCTTTGATTTGCCCATCTGGTAGATTTCTGGACCGTTTCCCCCGGAGGTACTAGTTCTTCAAAACTCTCAGTGTCTGGGCTCCACAACGGTTTTGGTTGTTGAATTTCCTTCACAATCCATTGATATGACTAGTAGTCCTGTACTTTTTTTATATATATAACGGAGGGAGTTGGTATATTATATCTATGCATGCTTTATTTCTTTTAGAACATTGAACTGAGTTGTTGCTAAATTGAACTGGTTAAGATTTTGTTGATTTCATTGACTGGTGAAAATTTGTCACTCATTGTCATATTCTATAATTGAATGTCTGCCTGTGATTTTTGTCCTAGAAGGATTTTTCGCTGCGAGGTAAAACAACTTGTAGACGAAAACGTTGTTTGGTTTTATTAATATTCTCTCCCCCATAAAATTCAAAACATTTTCCGATTTCAAAAACAGACTATATTTTCTATTCTGGTAATAGATATGTGGCTACCAACAATAATCTCCAAACAAATTTCAACTATATGTTGGCCATGTTTGGCATCGGAGTTAGCATTTTAAAAAAGCTATTCAACGATAGTCTTTAGCGTTAGCGTTTTCAAGAATTAATTTACACTATTAAAATTACGCGAGGGCTAATGGAAGACGCCGTTCTCAAACAAGGTTGTTAATTGAGAGAGCATTGTAAACAAAAGAGTCAACTTGTGTGTGCACTTGAGCTTCCATTTGGTGGGGGGTGCCTCTCGGCTTACTATTCTCACGTGCTGTCCTCTCCTCCTCTGTCATGGTATGAATTTGCCTCCACAATAAGACACCTCTCGTGATCAGATCACGGGGCTGTGTGCCTTTGGACAAGTTGGAGATCTTGTGTTCCAATCTTGAATAATATTCCAACTGCTCCTTTAATCTCAAATTAAATTATTTGTTTAATATTTACATGGTTAAATTTCATTTACTTTGTTTAGCTATATTCGTTAGTTATTTGATAAAATAATATAGTCATGTATCACTAGTTTTGTATATCTATAGATGTGTTTTTAAAATATGTACTCCCTCCATCCTAAATTATAATGCATATTCACTATTCACAAGGTCAAATTTTATTCATTTTTTTCTCTCTATTTTCGTCAGCAATTTGATTAAATAAAGTACTATTGTCATACTAGTTTTGTAGATCTTTTGATGTAGTATTTTAATATGTAATTTTTATTTTTTAACCATATACCATTTGTCATATAAAATGATTTGAAAATAATTTCAGTCAAACATTGTAAACTGAAATAGGCGTTATAAAATGGGATAGAGGGAGTAATTTTTATTTTTTAATTCTGCACCATTTTTTATATAAAATAATTTAAAAATAACTTCAGTCAAACATCGTAATTCTAACTATTTATTCAAACACTCTCAAAATCAAACAAAAAAGTTTATTTGAAGATGGAAGGAGTAAATACTTTTAGTTCTTGTTTGGCCAAAGAGTTGGAGATTAGAGTTAACATTTTAAAAAGTTATCTCTTGATAAAATTTATTTTTAGTTTTTTAAAATTAATCTAGAGGAATAAAATTTTATTCAAAACATTAACACTAAAAAACATTATTCTCAAACAAGACTTTAGTCTTTTATGGAGTATATTACACCGTTCAAGTTGTCCATAGAATCGTCTCTAATAATTGTCTAAAATAGTAGTCTCGAAACAAATAAATAGATCATACTATATGTGAAGACAACATTTTAGGCATTTTCGCCTTTCATGTAAAGGAACAAATTTAGAGATTTATGAAATAGTCTGTATTTTTTATTACTCTCTCCGTCCCATTTTAAATTGCATGTTTGCCTTTTTTCTCCGTCCCAAAATAAGTTGCCTGTTAGTTGTTTTCGTAAACTTTTAACAATAAAATACCTAAACTACCCTAAAATAAGTCACACTTCTTCACCTTATCTTCTCATTCATCATCACCTCTCCTAAAAAATAATGTCAATTTCAGAAAATCAACTCTATTTTTTATTTTCCTTAAATATGCCCAAAAGTCAAAACAGGCGATTTAAATTGGGACGGAGGGAGTACATTAACTCACAATATTTGACTGACTCCCACAGTCCCACTCCACTAAATCCCTCGTGTAGCAGATTATTCTTTCTCTCTCTTCCCCTCTTCCGTTTCAGGGCTCTTCTCTCCCGTGAATCCTTTCATGTCTCCACATAAACAGAAGTATAATTAAACTTATTACTCATCATTTATTTATAAACCCCATTTTTACAGTATAAATCCCGTCTAATGCGGAGCAGATCACTGTAATTTTTTACAGTTATACTCGATCCGTATATTTACCCTTTCACTCGCATTTCCCCATTTATTTAACCAATCAATCCGGATAATGACTAAGAATAAATCTCTTCAGCTTCTCATCATCCTTTCCGCGGCAATTTCGCTTCTCGGTGAATTGCCGGCGACGGAATCGAGCAATTACAACCACGACTACTCCGACGCCCTGACCAAATGCTTGCTGTTCTTCGAGGGGCAGCGTTCCGGCTACTTGCCGGCGGAGCATAGGATGAGATGGCGGGGACATTCCGGGCTGGGCGATGGCTGGACGGTCGGCGCGGACCTGACCGGCGGCTACTACGACGCCGGGGACAACGTCAAGTTCGGATTCCCGATGGCCTTCACCACCACAATGCTCGCCTGGAGCGTGATCGAGTTCGGGCGGTACATGCCGCCGCCGGAGATGGAGAATGCGCTGGTGGCGATTAAGTGGGCCACCGATTACCTTCTCAAAACCGTATCTCAGCCCAACCGCATTTTCGTACAGGTTTTCTATAAATTACGTAAATTGCTCCATTATCTTTTACCTCTGATTTTTCACGATATCCAGGCGATCCGGTTTCCCGGTCCAATTCATAAATCTTTTTTATTTTGAAATGGTCCAATTAATAAATCTTGTTTTTCCAAAATTATTTCTTTTTTGAATAATAACTGAAAAGAACATTTTAGAACGGATAGAGTAATAGATTTAAAAATAGTAAAAAACATTTAGAGCGTGTCAAACCTAATTAAAATGTGTAATCTTTGGTTTTAACTCCGATATGAATTTGGGATGTTCTATGTTTGTTTTAGCCGGTTTAGGTATGTATTGGTGCGGGTAGGTTTTTGCCATTTTAACACGAAATAAGTACATAGAGCATTAGAGTGTATTATTGGGAGATACTTTTCTTGTGTGAATTTAATCTTCGCATTTACTCCGTAATTTTTTTGCCAAGATTTATAAATGGTGATTGCAATATTGGAAAGAATATATTGTATTCCGATGTAAACATATTATCAATAGTTTTATTTTGTAGTTTTGAATTATTAGTTTTTTTTTTTTAAAAAAAATATCTATATGTAAATGAGGTAAGATAATCTTATACAAATTTAATTAGAGTAAGATTGTTATACTAATTCAATTAGTATAAGATTGTTAGTTTGTTACATCAGTTCAATTGGTGTACCTATAGTGCTTTGATCATGAAATTGATTGTCCCTATCCTCATAACCTCACCGTTCTAATTGCACCAACCAAATTTTGAGTGAAAACTTTTGGATGATACAATTGGAGGAGGTGCAAGGGTACGGTGCGTAAAGAACGTGCCCAATATAAGGGTTTTATCGGGAGTTTTGAGGACATTAACAATCAACTTTACAATCAGAGTACCGTAGTTATTCCAATTAAATTAGTGTAACAATCTTACACCAAATAATTATCTTCTATAAAATTATCACTCTTCTATAATTTTTTTTTAGGGCCTAGGGGTAATAGCCGCCCACCAAGGGTGTGTTTAATTTGCTTGAGATCAAACGGGTTAGGTGGGGAATTTTGTCAAAGAATGATGCTATATGCAAGTTGTGCATTTCTTGTTCTTGGGTCTTCACTCCCAACAAATTGAGGAGACACATTAAATCACGCCCTCCTCACCCTGTTTTCACCCATTGATGGATTTATTCACAATCTCCAAAAGTGAACTGTCAACAATTTAAAACGAATCTCAATTTATAACATTAATTAAATAAAATATATTATTATTATTATTGTTATTGTTATTATTATTGAGTTAATTATATTACATGTTCAATTGTTGATCGGTCACTCATACTTTACACACTACGTCCCATAATTTCTCTCTAGGCTCGTTTACTTATGAATAATATAATGTCTAAATAATTAGTTCGGCAAAAATTTATTGAGACGCCAATGGTATCACGGATATAATATTCAATATTAAGGTGGAAATGTTTTTTAAACTACAATTTAATACTCTATCTGTTCAATGTTTTTTTTTTTTAATTTCAGGGTCAATTTTTTTTTCATTGCGCAGCTTAATTGATTATCTAATAAAACTTCAAAAATATTTAAAGTATCATGTGTTTTGTAGAATTTTTTTAATATAATTTGTATATATGTATCAGGTATAATTTTATTTTTAAGATTTACACCAACTTTCAAATATATTGAATTGAAAATAAATTTTATTAAATTCACATTTTGTTGAGGGTGTTACTCCATCCATTTCAAAAGACAATTTTAATGTTGACTTTTGGCATATTTAATGAGAGTGTATTTTGTGTGATATGTAAAAATAAGATGTGAAAGATAATTAAGAGTGAAATTAGTTAAGAATTGTAGGGGTAAAATAGTCTTTATAGAAAAAGAAAGTGCATAATAAGTGAAAAATGAAGATGTAATTATTTTGTATAGTGGAGGGAGTCTATACTCCCTAGCTCTGTCCTTAAATATTTCAATCCTATTTTTGCAATTTTAAAATTTTTGTATTGGCTTAACAAAAATATTTTTAATGTGATGGACAAATAGTAGGATGTGATTATATATTTGTGAATTGATATTATATAATGGGTAAGTTAAGAATTAATAGGATTAAAATTAATTTTTTAATACGGAGTAAAAAGAAAAACAACATTTTAAGATAGGAAAAAAGCGAGACTATTAGGGAAGAAAGGAGGACTTCAAAGGAGTATAATGAATGGATTTGCATGCATGCAGGTTGGAGATCCGGTACTGGACCATAACTGTTGGGAAAGGCCGGAAGACATGGACACAGCTCGGACTGTGTACGCCGTCGACGCCCCAAATCCGGCATCGGACGTCGCCGGAGAGACAGCCGCCGCTCTGGCGGCTTCATCCCTAGCATTCCGGCCGTCGGACCCCGCCTATGCGGATACTCTGCTGTCAACAGCCACTCGGGTGTTCACTATGGCAGACACATACCGCGGTGCTTATAGTGACAATGCTAATATCCGCGACGGCGTTTGCCCCTTCTACTGTGATTTTGATGGATACCAGGCAAGTACTACTCTATGTAGCTCTTACATAAACTCAGTTCAACCAAAAGTTCAATTTTGTAATTTTAGGCACGCGAAATGTTTTTACATTGTAGCAATCAAGCCCCGTCACGTGTATGTGCTAACTTCTAACGCTGATGACAAACGGGGTGTATACTAAAAATGATTGATCATATCAATGAATGGCAGGACGAATTGTTGTGGGCCGCAGCATGGCTAAGGAGGGCAACTCAGACTGATACTTACCTAAACTACTTGCACGACAATGCCCAAACCCTTGGCGCAACTGACAATATTATTAACGAATTTGGTTGGGACAACAAGTACGCTGCTCTCAACGTCCTCGTCTCTAAGGTTACCAAAAATTCAAACTTGTGGTTAAAGATCTTTTTATTCTAACATATCATAATATGTGTTTGAAGTATTCTTGATGTTTTTATGGATATATATAGGAAGTGTTGGAAGGGAATGTATACTCCCTTCAATCCTATAGAGCCTCCGCGGATAGCTTCATGTGCACGTTGATCCCGGAAACGCCATCTAGCCACGTAGAATACACGCCGGGAGGGCTTATTTACAAGCTTGGAGGCAGCAACCTGCAACATGCGACATTACTCAGTCTCATGTTGCTGGTTTATGCCTCCTCCTTGGAACGGTCTCCCCATTCGACTGCCGTCAGCTGCGGGGGCGCCAGTGTTGGCCCCGCCGCGCTGAGGCAAGTCGCCAAGAGGCAGGTCGACTACATCTTGGGCGACAACCCGAAGGGAATGTCGTACATGGTGGGGTACAGTTACTACTTTCCCCAGAGAATCCACCACCGCGGCTCATCCCTTCCTTCGGTCAAGGACCACCCGCAGATGATCGCGTGCAAGGAGGGGTCCGCTTACTTCAACTCGTCCAGTCCGAACCCGAACTTGTTGGTCGGGGCGGTCGTGGGTGGCCCCGGGGAGTACGACGAATACGACGACAACCGCGGCGATTTTCAAAAGTCGGAGCCGACGACTTATATCAATGCACCGTTTGTCGGTGCACTTGCCTACTTCGTCGCTTATCCGAGCTAGCTAGCTAGCTATCTCGGGTAGTACTCCATATATTATGATGTCATATGGAGTATGTATGTATATATCATATCCAGTTCATGATTCAATTGCTGATTGAATAGGGAAATGCTACTTAAACTTCAGGCCGGGAAGATACCATTAGATCAAAGAAAGACGATTAGACACTGAGAGTAATTGTGTATGGAGTATATGATACACTAATGAATGATGTTAAAATTGATGTCATTCAATTCATGTTAGTGTCACGTACTATAGCATGATTCTGTTCCGTTAAGAGTGTAATGGAAGGAGAAAATGTATAAAGAGCCTCTCGTCTTTGATATGTCAAAGAGGGAAGAGTCACTACAAAAAAAGAAGGCAATACTGACAGGGGTCAATATATCGCTAATGGTTAAATATCTGTCGTTACTCGCTTTTACCGACAGATAATTGTCTGTCGCTAAAAACTCCGTCAGTAAAAGTATTACCGACAGATAAAATATACTGTCGCTAAAATAGTGTAATAGCGACAGACCAAAGATGTTGCTAAAAAAGAGAGAAGTACCGACAAAACATATATGTCACTAAAAGTTGAATTGCCGACAAAACAAAGTGTGGGTAAATCCTTCTTTTCTGTCGGTAATACCTTGTTTTTACCAACATTAACATTTATTATAATTGTCACTAAAAGTTAGATTACCTACAAAAAAAATATGTGAGTAAAACATTTTTATCTGTCAGTAATAGTTTATTTTTACCAATATTAACATTTATTATAACTGTTACTAATACCATGTTTCACACCAGCTATATTTAAGTGATATCAAAGAATTTCATTGACAAATAAAAAATAATACTCATACTTGTATAGTTGTATTAACAATAATACATAATACGGTAGCATTTCAAAGGGTTACAACTAACCAATTTACTAGAAAGTAAACCAACATCTCAAAATTAGTTCATCATTTGCGTACGTTTCAAGCTAAAGTATAAACCGTCAAAGTGAACTAAATTAAAATACACATTGATATGGAAGATATAGTCCAAAGCTTTAATGCATGTCACTATCTACATCTTCAAGTTCATCGCTTTCAGCTTCATCATCTTTGTTCCATTGATCCTCATCATGACTTTTCTCAGTGGTTGTATTACCATCAATTGTAAGGTCATTGGTCTCAGGTTGATTAGCCATTGAACCCTATGCAAAAGAAAATTATAAGCACATGATAACGTAATTACAAATTTTGCACCAAATTTACCTAAAACTCATGCTAGGTGGCATAACTTTAAACTATATAATGAAGTAAATAAATTAAAAATCAAATGAAATATGAGAGAATGACATACAAGCTGGATGTGGATTGCACTAGGTGTTTAGATGGTTTACCTCTTGAAACATAGTGATGTCCTTCATTTTGTTGATTCAACTCATTTCCACTATGTGGCTCCTTTCTTGCAATGCTTTCACCTAAATGAAAATCATTAAAAACGAAATAACATGAAAGGTATTTTGTTATAACTTAACAAAAACATACATAACCTATTAAATTATATGGTAAGAATATTTTAACTTAATTTGAATACCTGGGTTTGACAAATTTGGTGTGGTCTTCTCGGAGAATAAAGAATGGCTGATTGATGTTTGTTGAAGTAGAGCACTACAATCCTTCTTTGAATTGGCAAGACAACTTTTTTCCGTATTCAAATAATCGTGTAATACACACAATCAACCTTTAAATTCATAATGTATGTCAAAAATCATCAAAATGTATAATTGTATCTTACAATAAGTTGAATGCTTGCAATCACTTGCTTCTTTTGGTTCTTCATGACAATTTTCCCTGTACCTTTCATAGTCCAATACAATTATAAACATTATTTTTTTAATAGAGACATGAAATGAACAAACAATGAGATTCAAGAATTCAATATATGAAGCAAATTTAGTGGAAAAAAACAGATTTTCTTGATCCTTTAGCACCTTTAGAACAGAATTCAGTATCCATAAATCAAAACTTGATGTAAAGTCATGTTATGTGCTTTCATATCAGTTCCTAAGCAAATATTTAACAACTAGAATTCATGATTAAGCACATAAGCATCTAAGAAACTCAAAAAGTGACTAGGCGGTGTTCTAGCCTGTAAATACAGCTTCTAGCTAAAATCATAACTTAATGCATAGGTCATTACATTCGAAGAGTAATACAATGAATACAATGAATATGATTTATACAGTGAAATTGGCAGCACTAATTTGATAAATAGTTGTTCAATCACCATGCATAAATTCTATTACAAAAATTAATTACGGAAATTGAATATCAAAGCATATTTCAGACACAAAGCTCAGAAATTAAGAAAATTAGATCACTACTCAAAACTAGGGTTTCAACTAGAAGATATGTAACTGAAACCCACAAATTCAATTACTTAACCCAAATTTTGAGGATTTCAATTAAAACACAAAATGCAGAATGTTTAACAAATTTCAAGGTTGTACGAAGTAAAGTTCAATGGACTGGAATTAAGGAACCGGGTAGGATCGAATTCAACAGACCTTAAACTGAAATTTTATGAAAAGAAGAGTGAAATGCGATGAAGATCGAGAATAAGGTTGTAAAATTCGAGTTGGGGTTTCTATCATACCGAATACTTCGAAAAACGATAGCGACTGACGAAGAAGGATAGAGGACGGCGAAGCACGACGAGGGAGACGAGGGCAGGCGGGCGACGAGGCGTGAGAAACGAGAAACCTCCTCGGTATATGCGGTATACTATTGTGGGTGGATTACCACCATCGGGCCGGGCCATATGAACTTGACCCATATGGCCATATCTATTTTCGGTTTGAAATATACTATGAGTACACCAAAAATTACGATTTTCGTCTCAACCTATTTGTCAAGTTTGACTCGTTTGAATCAAATTTGATAAATTTTAAGCTTTAATTCCTTTTAATTTGTATTGCATATTAGTATAATAAGATAAAAATTTAAAAATTCTCATCAAGATAAATATAATAAAATCATTTTTAAACTATTATACTCCGTACATTGTAATTTGTAATTATTTAAAGCTCAAAGTTCATTCAATATGACTCAAAAAAGTCAAATTGGACAAATATATTGAGACGGAAGAAGTACATTTCAATTATACACTAGTGGATCTCAACCACACAATCCTAGTGGGGATAAAAGAAATTAATAAATGGATACATAATGTATGATAAATATTATTGGCTTACAAATTTCTTTGGGTTTTGGGCTCAAATTCCACAATATTAAAAAAAGTACTGGTAATAAAATTTTAATGAATGTTTTATTATATCCTTATTTTATTTTTATATTATTCATTTTATTCCATTACATCAAGGGCAATCATGAAAAATTTTTACACTTTTTAACTTTTTTTAATCTCTGTGTCAAGTCAAATCGAGAAAGAAATTTTAGAACGAAAATTTTAGGAAAAGTCTCGGCGAGACGCACAAGGGCTCGATCAGTCAAAGACCCATTGGGATCGTCCATCTTCGACCCAAAATCCTGCTTTTTAAATCGTTAATTTTGCAATTTTGTCTTTTTTGCGTCTTTTTCCTTGAATTTTAACTTTTAACTTAAAAATCTTAAGTTAAAAATTATAATTTTGAATTTGTAAATATTCAATGTAAAAAAAATATTTTTTATCTTTAATTTTTAGTTTTTTATCTTTTAAATTTATAATTTATTTTTAATATCATATATTTTTGTGCGACCAAACAAAAAAATTCGAATTGAGATTTTTTCATTTCCAATTTCATGACCTCAATTTCATGTACTAAATGATGCCTAATTTTATGGTTTTCTATAATTAAGATATTTAAATTAAATGTCAATAAAATCAATACCGACAGATAAAACGTTGTTGCTAAAAGTATAAAGAATACCGACAGATAAATTTTTGTTGCTAATACTATAAAAAATACCGACAGATATATTTTTTGTTGCTAATGCTATAAACAATACTGACAGATAACGTTTTGTCGCTAAAACTATAAGCAATACCGACAGATAAAAGTTAGTTGCTAAAACTATAACCAATAGCAACAGATATTACTCTTTCTGTGGGTCAAATAGGTTTTGCCTACAAATGATTTTATCTGTCGGTAATATTCTCTTTTTAGCGACAAATAAGGTTTCTGTCCCTAAGAATCTGTCGGTACTGCCCTCTTTTTTGTAGTGAGTATCCATTTACCAAACTTCAAACATATATATCTATATACTCTTCGGTTTAATTGTTCAGGTTTAATTGTTCAGTTCAATTACTCTCCAAAAATGTGTAGATGAAAATACCGAAGTAAGAATGATGTAGTTTTAATTCTCTAAATAAGATTGTGATGAATGTGTGGTGTCAATGTGGTAGACCACATGTCAACGGTGGTCAATGCCGGCGCTTTGGCAAGCTCGTGATGGGAGTAAGAGATGATTTTAATTTTTTCCGAACAATTTCATTCCAGATTACAGAATCCATTGCATATCATTTTTCTTAAATTTCAAAACTTATATCATACGGAATATCATATTTCAAAAATTCACTTTGGTCCTAAGACTTATTTTCGTATTTTGATATGAATTATTTATATATACTTCTTTTTAAAAAGTTCGCTCTAATAATATTTTCGGTAAGCATTAACTTCGTTCTTTAAGTTCGATATATTTTGAATTACTCAAATGAAACCTTTTTAAATATGACAAAGAGAGCAAAGAAACAAAAAACAATGCGGAGTATTATTGTCAAAGATATTTCCTCTTTGGGGGAGGAAATAGAACACAAAATCACGGACCAGAAATGATTTTATTAACTTCAACGGGCCTAAAAAAGAACGTACGTGCAATCACAGAACCACACTTCTTCTATTAATGGATCGGTAGGCGAGTTGGCAATTGGGAAATGTTTGAATTTTTATGGATCCCTTGAGAAAGATGGAAAGGGGGACTTCTCGAAAATAAATTCTCGAAAATAAATTCTGAAAAATAACTTTTAAAAATTAGTTTATTTTGCGGTGTTTAATTGGTTGAAAATTTGAAAATAAAAAAGATCAATTTTTGCCGATATAATATAATGAATGAACGACAATGTTCACATGACAATGTCATGGGATGACCCGGGGGTGCTCTGATGGCCCGTTCGTAAAATTGACAGTTCCTTTCTCCCCTAACCTCCCCGGTAAACCCTCCACTCTGTCCCGACTCAAACACACTTCCTACCCCCTTTAATTGCACCCCACAAGAGAGAGGCTATAGGATTCACGCATCTATCCTTTTAAAAAGATGATTATTTTAAAAATATGTCTTGGGTATACAAGTAGACCATGGTATCACTAAATTATTACGGAGTAAAATGATAGGGCGGATAGGCGTGCCGGTGGAGTATTTAATTTGTTGTTAATCATTAATTAAGGATGGGGAAATATGGGGAACGAACAACGCTTTATATTTATACGTATGGAAAATTCTTGCCGTGTTACTCCCTCCGTCCCGCTATATTCGTCCACTTTTGACTTTTAAAACTGTTTATCTAAGCACTTTGACTCATCAAATTCTCTCAATGTGTAAGCCTAAATATAGTCATGCGTGATCTTGTTTGATTTGTCTTAACATATAGTAGTAGATTATTAATATATAATTTCTATAATTTTTTAATATACAAATTACAAGATAAAATAGATTAAAGAAGTGTATTGGATGGTGTGCAAAAATGAAAGTGGACAAATATAGTAGGACGAAGGAAGTATTTATTAAGGAATTCTTCAATTGTCATTGCAAAAATTTGTATAGCACACCATCCCAACATATGATATGATATCATAATCATAACATAACGCACATAAATTGAAATAATACTACCGGGCCGGACTTATTCTCTTTTAATTTATCCCCACTGATTTTTTCGAAAGTTAGCTAAAATATGTCATTACTCTCCTTCACCATCTTTCTGTTGGTTCCAGGGTGTTAGCTAATATTTTGGCAAAATAGAATCTCATATTTGTTAAGTGTTTTACTAAGAAGAAACCTCTATTTGTTAGGAGAGGTTTATTTATTTAGACTTCTAGAGTTGCTGCAGTTTTCGAGGTTGACACAGAAGATGCTACAGCACGATGCTACAACACACTGTTCGGGATCAGAGGTCTGAGCACGGGATTTTAAGCTACAATCTGAATTAGAGACCTATTGGGATTGTGATTACATGATAATATATCCAGCTATACATGCTAAGGAATCCCAACTCTTTAGGCTACTTGTGGATCAAGATTAAGGAAGTAGAGTTCAAGCCAACTTCTACTATCCTATTCCTACTAGGATTGTGTTAAGAGAGACCTATAAAAACGCAGCAGGTCCCTGGGAATTACTTGGAGCGATTGAGAGGGAAAACAAAGAATACTCGCTGATGTAGAGCATTCCCGTCGCGTCCCGGAGCTTCCCTTGCGTGAAGAAGGTTACGATCTACATGATTGAGGAGATCTTCAACGCCAAACAGATCGTGACAACCAGGAGATGAACCAGAGCTTAAGGAGAGGGCCGCCAACACGTTTGTCCTCGTGATCTCGGTGGAGACGTGATAGCCAAAGCGGATCTGAACAGAGTTGGGGTTAGAAATCCTAGATTAGAAGTTTTGTCATAACAATTCGGAGAAGTGTGTCTCATCATGTTGTTATGTACCGGTGTAACTTGCATCTAGTGATTTAGTGGAGGGCTATTACACGGACGTGGGCCCCGCAGATTAGGAGAGTTTCTCCGAACTACGTAAACATATCTGGTGTCATTTTTACGCTTTTATAGTTACAGCATTCTGTCCAGTAGGCGCTGTAACACCCTCTACATCACTTGCTTCTGTGTGTGCTTGTGACAGAGAAGTGTAATAGTACACTGTCCGTCATCTGTTACTGTGACAGTGCTGCAGCGTCTTCTCTGCAGCACAGTTGGTTGACTTGTTTGCATAACTCTTAATTGGTGATTTCCGCTGCGCCCCCACGAACTTTCACTTTCGTCTTGAAATGATCCGAGAAAAGTTTAAATACCCGGTATTAATGTACTATTCTCATAAAATTTTTGCTCATTCATATTCTTAAAGTTTACATGTGAAATACTTCCTCCGGTCTAAAACCATCTTCTCATTTGTGTTTACGAGGTTTGACCGATTTTATTTTCAATTCAATTTATTTGATTGTAGGTGTAAAATTAAAAAATAAAATTTACATATTTAAAAACCACATTAAAAGTTCTACAAAATGAGAGGTGATAAGACAATACTCCCTCCGTCCCCCAGTTTTTGTCCACTTTCATTTTTGCACACCATGCAATGCACTTCTTTAATCCATTTTATCTTGTAATTTGTATATTAAAAAATTATAGAAATTATATATTAATAATCTATATGTTAAGACAAATCAAACAAGATCACACATGACTATATTTAGACTTACACATTGAGAGAATTTGATAAGTCAAAGTGCTTAGATGAACAGTTACAAAAGTTAAAAGCGGACAAAAACTGGGGGACGGAGGGAGTATTATTTTATTAAATAAGTAGCGAAAATAGGTAAAAAAAATGAATTAAGTTTGACGTGAATAATAACTTGGAAGTTAGTTTTAAGACGAAAGAAGTATGAATTTTCTCATATTTTTTAGAGTAATATTTTAAAATGATCTTTTATATTAAGGTGTTTTCCAAAATTGGTCTTCAATAAACAATAGTTACCAGCATAGTTCTTTGTAATTGAGAAGTATTCTTTAAATAGTCTTCTATAAAAAACGCCTATCAAATGACATTTAAATTTAAGATATTTTATATTTTTTATTATCTAAATTATGAATAAGCTTTCAAATTGGTTCTCTAAAATTAATTGGGTGGCCGCTAGAGGAACGAGCTCACCCCGAGTAGGCTCATGAACTCCATTTCTAGAAAACAATTGCCTAGAAATTATTAGTTTGGAAAAATACTTTATAATAACGGAGTATTTTGATAACATACTTTAGATCTAGATGATAGAAAATACCAAAATACATTTTATTTATCTGTCATTGAATAGACATTTTTGAAAGAGGACTATTTAAAGAATGAATCTCAATTATAAAGGAAAATACTAGTAATTATTATTTATTAAAAAGTAATTTAAGAAAACGTATTATTAGAAGGGATTATTTTGAAAATTTATTCTATTTTTTAATAAGTGACTAATGGATTTTTTTGCAAAAGGTGAAGAGATGGGTAAAATCGGCACAACCACTTTGAATTGGAGGCGCGTGGGTATTCCCAATCGGGACCACCGCCACCATAGGCCCCGAAGCCCACGCCCTTCCGTTGGAATAAAGTAAAGTGCAAGCACGCGATATTCCTGAGCCACGCCGGCACGTGGCGGCGGGTGATAAATCCCTACGATACGAAGACTTTTATGTTGTTCTCATTAATTATTACGGAGTAACTAACTACTCGTAATTAAACAAAGCCAAAACGCTAATTTCCCATTTTACCCTCTCCGTCGGTTAGCGCAGCTTTTCTCCGGCGCATATGAATTATGAATTGAAAGAAAGTGACAATTTTTTGACTCCTTACCAAACCCAAACTCTCTCTCTCCCACAGTTATTAGATTTGAGACTGCATTTATAAATGTAACTTCTTTTTTTTTCCCCTTCTTTCTTTATGTGTAAATTCTCTGCAGCGTTATCATAATCTGAGCTGCGAATCCTGGCCGGAGCTCTGTTTTTTTCAGTTTCGTCTGTTTCAAGAAGCTCAGATTGGACCTCAAAGGTCAATATTCGGTGTTTGAAGCTCCAATACTTCGCAAAAGTTTTGATTTTTACCGTCAAATGCCATTAAATGCGCTCTCCTCGACAGTGATAAATGCTCGCTCGTCGTCCTGCTCAGAACGCGCATTTTGCTTTAATTTTCGTTGAAATTTCATTCGGAATTTGGTTGATGTTCGAATTTGTTCATTACACAGAGTTCTAAATTTAGCTTCAATGTCTTATGAAGCTACTTAATTTTTAGCCGGAGTTGCTTAGGTTTGAAGCATTGGTGCCATTAAACAAAGTTACCCCTTTTTGGTTCACACTGTACGTTATGATTTTTCAATTTTTTTCTTTTTTCAACTTCCTGTTGAAGCATTTGATTTCAAAGGGCAATGGGTTTGTTTGATCACAACTAACCCCTTAATTAAGGAGTCTGAGGTGCTTATTAGATACCCAATATTAATGCTTTCTATAGTTATTAGGTACGTTAGCTGATTAATATATGCTGTCTTGATCTGGTTTATGTCCACTCCCAACTACCGGGTGTCTAAATCTGGTTTAATGTCTTTCCCCTTTTTTTATATTCTCTCAAATTTATATTTTTTATTTGGGCAGGAGAATGGAATTGTGAGAAGCTCGGCTCGTTGTTTTGAATTTTTTGGTTAAGATTTTGAATCTCTCGAGCTAGAGTGTTGCATTTGGTATGATCTTGGTGGGTTAACAGACGAGAAGGTNAAGGGACCGGTCTTGGAGGAGATGAAAAGATCTTGGTGTTGGTGAGGTTGAGACCTTTGAGCGAAAAGGAGGTTTCAAGGAATGAAGTTTCAGATTGGGAATGCATCAACGAAAACACCATTTTGTATAGGAACAGTCTCCAGGAGCGCTCTGGACTACCAAGTGCTTATACATTTGGTAAGGGAATTCCCTTGCTCGTTCTTTTTTTTTTTTAATTCAAGCGTCATATGGTGTAAGATACAAGATGTTGGTTGATGAAGTTTGTCTGAGGTTTGGGTCTTCATATTTTTTAACTTAAGGTGTTAAAATGCCATTTTAATACAGATAGGGTCTTTAGGGGTGACTGCTTAACAAGCGAAGTGTATGGAGGAACAAAGGACATTGCTCTTTCAGTTGTGAAGGGCATTAACTGTAAGTGTTTTTTCATGCCTTTTCTCAGACTTTTTGTCCCATTGATCCAGAGGAAATTCACTACTTCCGGTACTAAATTTTTGTGCAGCAACCATCTTTGCATATGGACAAACCAGCAGCGGAAAGACATACACCATGAATGGAATAACCGAGTACACAGTGGCCGATATTTATGATTACATGCATAAGGCATCACGACTCTTTTTGGGATTGCATTTTATATTTGTTATTCTGATATGGCAATTGTATTAACTGAAGTTATTTGTGTTAACCAGCATGAAGAAAGAGCATTTGTTTTGAAATTCTCTGCAATGGAAATCTATAATGAAGTGGTTAGAGACCTCCTCAGCTCAGATACTTCCCCTCTAAGACTGCTTGATGATCCAGAGGTAAGTTTGGATTTTTCTCTGTAAGTTATTGGTTTTTACAGTGTTTCCATACCTTTTTCAATGGTCATTTTTGCTTCCCCAGAAAGGGACTATAATTGAAAAACTCATAGAAGAAACTTTGAGGGATTGGAATCATCTCAAGGAACTCCTATCCATATGTGAAGGTTGTTGCGGCTTTTTCAACTTCACCATTCTGTTGCACATTCGTGATTTAGCACTGCGAATTCCATTTTCATATTTTGTGTGTTTTTGGTGCCTTTTGCAGCTCAGCGAAAAATCGGAGAGACGTACTTGAACGATTCAAGTTCTAGATCTCACCAAATTCTTAGACTGGTATGTGGCTCTGTGTTCTTTTGTGGCGAATTCTTTCATATTTTTACTGGGCTGAGTTATTGTTTTCTCTGGTGGTTTTCTCAGACAATTGAAAGCTCTGCTCGTGAGTTTTATGGGAAGGGAAACAAAACTACTCTTTCAGCCAGTGTGGTATGTGTCACTTTGTTTGGTTTAGGGTGCTTTTTTATTCATTATGTGGCCATTATCAAACAACGAAGGCAATCATTAAATGTGGTATATTCCATAACTTTTACATTCAGAATTTTGTTGATCTTGCTGGAAGTGAGCGCGCTTCTCAGGCATTATCAGTTGGTCAAAGACTTAAAGAGGGCTGCCATATAAACCGTAGTTTACTGACTCTGGGAACTGTGATTCGGAAGCTAAGGTTCGTCAAGTTTTTACCAAATATATGTGCCTTGCATATGCGTCTTGAATTCTTTTTTGTTGGAGTGTTTATCGGTCTGGAATCTAGCCCATGTAATCTCTTGTAGTTTTCTTTAGACACTGTGACACTAAGGCATCGTCCATGTTTTGCCCAAAGAGCGTCATGAATATGTCCTCGAAGGCCACTTCACAGTCTAAGGAGATTTTTTTTTTCCGTTCTATTTAAGCAAATCACTTATGGCCCTATTCTGTAGGCATATTTCTATGCTAACTGGTTTATAAATGCTCTTTCAATCTGACTTTTTAATTTTTATCTACCCGTTTTCTTGACAATCAAGGTGTCATGTTGTGACCTTTTTTGGGACACACGGCATTGTAACATCATTACTTTGACATTTCACAGCAAAGGAAGAAATGGCCATGTAAATTATAGAGATTCAAAGTTAACACGTATTTTGCAACCTGCCTTGGGAGGAAATGCTAGAACTGCTATAATATGCACCTTAAGCCCCGCAAGGAGCCATGTCGAGCAATCTAGGAATACTCTCTTGTTTGCTTGTTGTGCAAAGGAGGTGTCTACTAATGCACAAGTCAATGTAGTAATGTCTGACAAGGCTTTGGTGAAGCATTTACAGAAAGAGTTGGCTAGATTGGAGAGTGAACTGAGAGTTCCAGGGACTTGCTGCGATCATGTGGCGTTGCTTAGGAAGAAAGATATGCAGATTGAGAAGGTGATGCTTCTCTTCTCTTCAGTATCTTTGCTCTTCATTGAAATCAACTCTAATATCCTAGTTGTGCCATTCATGCCTGCAGTTGGAAAAAGAGGTCAAGGAACGAACGAAAGAACGTGATCTTGCACTATCACGTGTTGAGGATTTGCTGCAAATGATAGAAAACTTTCAGGGCTCGAACCAAAAGGTTTGAACTATCGTTTCTTTAATTAAATATGTCCTCTGGACCTTAATCCTTACTAGGGAGTATAAGGCACAATTGACCAAATTACACAAACTAAATGAATATGTTTATAAAATAAATATGAACACAATATTTATTAGAGGAAATCATGGAAAAAAACAATAAGAATTTCATTAAAATAACAATGTTCTGTAAAATGGGGCATTGTTTCCTTTTAAAAGGTGCGAATAAGGACAAAGGGAGTACTTTTTATAAGATGGATTGCAATAGTTTCTCAATGTGCTGTTTCTTTCTTTCCACTCTTTGTTTTTGTTGTAGTTATTTAGTTTTTCCTTCTTCAGGTGCAGAGAGAACTTAATCATCCTTCTGAATCTGTGAACGAGAAGACTTTTAATGAACCCTCAGTTTCTGGTTCAGAGAATGAACAAAGTTTTCTCTCATCTGATCTGATTCAAAGAGAGGAACATTCTTTGAGGAGTGAAGAAGAAGTTTCCGATGAGCATTGCAAGGAAGTTCACTGTATTGAAGTGCATGATTCTGGCACAAATATTACTCCTGACTCTTCTGGTTTGCTCAACAATGAGAACATGGAGAGGATTTCAGTATCACCAACTATCACACATGTCACTAACGCTCTGGAGTTATCATCAACCTCTTCTGTGCAATCAAGTGGTGCCGGAAATTATTCCATCCCGGAAGCCGTAGAAGAGCAGAAAATGCAAAGCATGCATGAAACTGCAGAATCTGCTGTCAGACCTTTCCCTGAGAGATCACCTCAGTGGAACATACTGCACAATATGATAGATTCCAGAAGCCTGAAGCTAACCAGAAGCAGGAGCTGTAGAGCTAACATAATGGGTGGCTCTATCTCTTCACTAAACTCTGAGGTAGAAGAACCAAGTTGTGAGACTACACCACCCAATGGGTTGGAGAAAGATTTTCCTGGGAGACCTCAAGGCTTCCACAGAAAACATTGGAAACTTCCTCCAATGATCTATGGAGCAGAAAATCCTAAACTCTCAAGAAACAATTCCCAGTCTTCCTTTGGTAGTGCTTTCGTAGACGAACTCAACGGTAGGAGCAATGCACCAGAGGATGAAGAAATTCCAAGTGTTGACACTTTCGTGGCTGGTCTCAAGGAGATGGCTAAATTTCATTATGACAATCATCTGGTCCATTACTTTGCAAGTACATAGTGTTCGTGCAGGTCTTTCATTTTACGTCCATTTTTTCTAATGTGAAGTGTTGGATATTTTCTTGATAGGTTGAAGATGCAGATTTTAGGGACAATAATTCCCATAGGACTGCGAACGATGTAGTAGTACTGGATCCACTTGGGACTCCAAATTGGCCTTCTGTATTTGAAAGGTTGCGAAATTCGATAATTGAGCTTTGGCAGAGATGCAACATATCATTGATCCACAGGACATATTTCTTCTTGCTCTTTAAAGGTGACACGACCGACTCTATTTATATGGAGGTAGAGGTTCGAAGGCTTTCCTATCTCAATGGCTCATTTGCTAAGGGAAATCCAGCCATTCAAGGTGCCCAAAGACTCACCCTTGCATCAAGGTATTCGCATTGTATCTCTTTTCAGTTTAAAGAATGACAAAATCACCCCAAAATGAAAAATAGAATGATAAATCGTATTTAAATCGCCCCAAAATGAAAAATCACCCAAAAGAACTCACTCTGCACCTTTCATTTCATAATAAGATTGATCAATTGAATGAGAGGAATCACCCAAAAAGACTAAAATAGAATTAAAACATTAAAAATATAACAAAATAGGAGTTCCATATTTTTATTCCCAAAATAGGAGTTAAAATGCGTATACATCATGATCGTATACATTATCAAAAAGTATTGTGAAATGTCCTTATACAGTGCCACATTACCATAGTGCAAACTCTAATTTTGAGGATAAAAACATAGAGCTCCTATTTTGGTAGTTCTCTATGTTTTATTCCTATATAGGGTGATTTCTTTATAACTTTGAGGCTAACCTCACATTTAAAATTACGAGTGAATAAAGGTGAGGTAAACCTTATAATCATTTTTTTAAGGGTCTTGTCGTTTTGAAGTACGTTAACAATTGATGTTCCCTGGTGCTTGTTGGAGAAACAGCCTCAAATCAGTTCGCCGCGAGCGGGGGATGCTAAGCAGACTAGTCAATAAAAGGTATACGGAGAATGAAAGGGACGAGCTGTACCAAAAATGGGGTATAGCCTTGAACGCGAAACGGAGGAGGCAGAAACTAGCTAACAACTTATGGTGCAGTGCGGATTTGAATCATGTGAGGGAGAGTGCTGATGTTGTGGCAAAGCTGATTGGGTTTGCAGAGCATGGGGGAGGAGACGCCCCCAAGGAGATGTTTGGGCTTAGCTTTACGCCGCGGGTGACCAGGAAATCCTTTGGTTGGAGGATCAACAGTGTGGCATCATCCCTCATCTGAATGCCACTCTGGTTAGCCTCTTTCTTAATAGTTCATTGATGGTTGAATCTGCATTCTAGCCGGGGGTTTCTTGAAAACAACCTTTCTACTTCTCTACTGTCGAATAGAGGTAAAGTTTGCGTAAAAACACCATATACATACCTTACTTTCGTGGGACTTTACTGGGTTTGTGGTTAAAAATGATTGAATCTGCAATGGATTGGTTGTTTAGAAGTTAGAATAGCATGCATAATACTTTCTGTATTTTCATTCTTGGAACAATGGTATTCAACTTTAGGGATCACCCAGACAAAGTTTACTTTGTTTCCACAAAAAAACCAATGGTTTTGCCCGCGAGATGTAACCCTATTGAACTCCCTACTTTAATACTTCGTATCCAATAACAAATATATCTAGCAATTTCATAGACACGGACGCGGTGTGTATAGAGACATTACTCGTTTTTGAAGGGGAAGATACATTTTTTTTGGAGCAAATTGAGACATTTTATTGATATGATTTTGTACATTTTGTTGTAATTATGAAAGTACCTTGTCCATATATAAAATCCTATTTTTTTTTTCAATTGTCCCAAAAATGAAGTCCTGTTCCGTTTTATGCTATGTTTGCTTCCCGGAATTAAGAAGAAAAAGAAATCTTTTTTTTATTTTTCTCGTCATATTGGGAAAAAAATTGTGTTCTTCTTTTTTAGTTTATTTTTTCTTCTCATTTTCTTTTCACTTTTTATTCCTCTTGTAATCAAAGAAGAAGAATTTAGTTTTCATATCATGTTCTTTTCACTATTAAATTTCTTGAATCAAACATAGTGATCAACACTCTAGACAAATGGTATCCGGCTTAGAGAAAGACATGGAACCCGTAGAAAAATCATGAACGATAAACCTTAATTAGAAAATTATCGAAGAGAAAACCTTAATTAGAATGTAGTTTTTAAATATGTAAATTTATTTTTTATTTTTATATTAATTTTTAAGTAAAATAATTTAAAAAATTACTTTATTTAGCATGATGTTATAATTTTTTTTGTGACCGAGGAAGTATAAACAAGGTGACAACGTTAAGGTGTGATAAGGGGTGGCCCAACCTATTGGGGTGACCCATTAGTGTAACTTTAGTACTCCTATATATATACCAAGCTCATGGGATGCGTAATCAGGGCGTGACGACTTGTGGAACACCAAGCAAAAAATTGAATAACAATATTAATAGGAGCAAAAAAATTACATACCCTCTCTATCTCATTTTAAAATATCCATTTCAGTTTATGATATGTATCTAAACTTTTTTTCGACTCAACTTTATGGAAATTGTGATGAAATTTAAAAATAAAATTTACATATTTAAGAACTAAATCAAAAGCTTTTCAAAATAAGTAGTGACATGACCAGGGACTGACGCACTTGAATGGAACTGGGGACATTCGAGCATATGCCCCCACTAATATTTTGTTATAAGGTAGGAAAATTTTAAAAATTTTGTGTATACATGCCCTTAACAAAAAGTGACTCCATCTAAAAAGGCCAAATTTAATTTTTTGTTAAGTTTTTTTGGTAAGTGAATTTTCTTACATACTAGTACAATTAATTGTTTATCAAATAAAATTTCACATTGCCTATTTAAAATATTTTACATTTAATAAATGTTTGAAAAAAAATTATTATTTTTTTCATTTCATATAGCATATTTAAAAAAGAGTAAATTCTATAATTGGTCTTTTATAACAAGAGGATTTCCCTATTTAGTCCTCTATTATCAAATATTACCCAAGTGGTCCTTCTTTTATGGATACCTTTTCACAAATAGTCCTTTTTTGATCTTCTATCATGTTGGTGTTAATTTGAGGGCTAAAAGTGTAATTTCACAATGATTATATATCTTTTTTGTCATACACAATTCCAAAGGCTGTTCCGTTTGCATCGTTTGTGAATTACAGTCACTTTTTTCGACAACTATAGTCTACAAATGTGATCTTTCGTCAGAATCCTAGTCCACAATCATAGTCATTATTTTTGTGTTATCCGCTTAACCAATATCAGAACACGTCACTAGACATAATGTTGACGTCAAATTATACTTTTAGCCTTTAAATTAACACCAACACGGCAGAAGATCAAAAAAAGGACCATTTGTGGAAAGGTACCCTTAAAAAAAGGACTACGGGAGTAATATTTGATAATAGAGAATTAAATATGGAAACCCCCCTGTTATAAAGGACCAATTATGGAATTTACTCTTTAAAAAATCCTCCTCGGATGCCCGACTAATATAATGGTGTCCTCATTTAGCTCAAATTCTAAACCTGTCACTAGATATGACTACATTTTTATCAAATAAATAACGAAATTTAGTTTAAAAAAAGTAAATAACATTTGATTATGAAATACTCGCCGCGTCCATTAATTTCTTTCTCACTTTTCATTTTGGACCGTCCAAATCTTCTTTCTTCTTTTTTTGATTTTTTTAATGAATGTGACATTATATCCCCACTTTTATCTACATTATTCAGTTTATTCTATCATATCAAGGACTATATATGAAATGTTTTTACACTTTTAACTTTTTTTAATCTGTCAAATCGAGAAAGAGATTTTTTTGACGGGAAGAATAATAAAAAAGAAATATCAACAAAATTAAAATGCATTTAAAAACAATATTAAAATGGAGAGCAAAACTCATATATCCCCACCACAGCCGTTGACCAGATATGGCGTCCCATAGAAAGTGGAGCCAAATTCGTCGGCTATGAACTCGTCGTCTCCCGCGAATTCCTCCGCGCGCTGCTTCAGAGTCCCGAGCATCACCTGAGGATCGTGTTGCATTACTCGCAGCACTTCCGCGCAAGACTGGCCGGAGACGGCGCGCGTCACGCTGAAACCGTGCGCGCCGCCGTCGGTCACCCGCACTTCACTCGGGCGGCCAAACAGGTTGTGGATCCCACCCATGGCTTCCTCGTAGGCACCACCCAGAAACATCCCCAGATAATATCCTTCACCGGCGCCGGCGCCGCCCCTGAGTTCGTGGAGCGGCAACGTTGACTCCCCGCCGATGAACTTATTGATCTTCCCGTCGCTGTCGCATGTCAAGTCCGACAACACTCCTCTCACTCCAGGACGCTCGTTGAGCCGGTGAATGGGGACGATGGGGAACAGCTGTCCGATCGCCCAATAGTCGGGAATTGAAGTGAATATGGAGAGATTGACGTGATATGTTGCCGCCGGAAGGTGATCGGAAGAAGGTGGTCTGGCGGCGGCTTTGGCCACCAAATCATAAACCCCGTCCACGGCGGCCATTTGTTCCATTCGCAGGCCGCCATTCTTGAACTGCTCAACACACCTCTGTTTCAGCTCCTCGGCGTAGATGACACATGCGCCAAAATCGCCGCGAATTGCGGATGCAGAGAGTTTCTGGTACTCTTCCCGCCAATCCTTGTCAAGAAGGTCAACGCATGACTGAATGTGAGCCGTTAGATTTGACGAGTCGCCGTTACCCTCGCCGGCGGGCGTGGCGGAGACGGCTTCGAAAATTAGAATTGAGTGATGAGACACAATTGCCCTTCCGCTCTCACTGCAAATAACAGGGTGGTTGACGCCCTTGCCGTCGCAGACTGACCGGACGGCGTTAACAACGGCAGAGGCATATTCCGTTAGCCCATACCCAACGGAAACGTCTGATTCGGTTGATTTTGACCCGTCGTAATCGATTCCGAGCCCACCCCCGACGTCGATGATTCTCATGGAGGCGCCCAGACGGACTAATTCGCAGTAAATATGAGCGGCCTCAGAAACGCCGTCGGAGAGCAACGCCGTCGACGGAATCTGAGATCCAATGTGGAAATGCAGCAATTGAAGACAATCTAGCATTTCGAAATCTCGAAGCTTCTTCACTACCCTCAAGATCTGAGCGGTGCTCAGCCCGAATTTCCCTTTCTCGCCAGAAGCCGGCCCGAAATAGCCCGATTGCTTGGTTCTGAGCTTCGCCCGGATCCCAATCACCGGCCGGACGCACATTCTCCGGCTGATTCGGATCACGAGATCAATCTCCTCCTCTTTTTCAAGAACGATCACAGCATTGAATCGAAGCTTCCTTGCGACCAGAGCAAGGGAAATGTACTGTTCATCTTTGTACCCGTTGCATATGAAGAAGGCCTCCGGACTTCCCTTGCAAAGAGAGGTCATTGCGAGGAGAAGTTCCGGTTTGGACCCGGACTCGAGCCCGAACCGGAACTTCGACCCGAATTTGACGATGTCATCCACCACAAACTTATCCTGGTTGCACTTCACGGGGTACACTCCCTGGTAATGGGACGTGTACCCCTGGGAGTGCACGGCTGCATCGAAAGCCGATTGTAGGGACTCGAGACGGTTCTTCAGCACGTCCGGGAATCGGACGGTCACCGGGAGAGGCAACCCGAGATCCGAAACCTTGTTCAGGACCTCGAGCAGGTCGATCTCCTGGTGGGAAACAGTGTCCGTCCCATGAGGACGGACACAGATACTACCGGATGAATTGACTGTTAGGTATGGAGCACCCCAGCCATCGATCCGATAAAGCTCGGACGACTGCGCGGGTGACCATTTCACCGAGGCGGGCGGAGATGCGAATGCGGCTTCTGAGTAGGGAACAGGCATACTTGAATTGGCTAGTGGAATGGATGGGGGAAGAATATGAGTGAAGGTGATGGTGATGAGAGCTAGTAGTGAATGAGAATTGCATATGTTGAGGGTGGCTTTATATAGGAGTAGTAGCAATCAAAAGGTGGGTGAAGGAAAGCAACCGGAAAAATGCGGAATCAAGACTCGCGGCGGAGAAGCGGACTCGAGTTTGAGTTTCACCAAAAGTTTGCATGGCGAGCAGCTTCCCACTTTGAATAAATTTAAGTGTTGGTCAAAGTGGAGGCTGCATAGTCTTACTAGTCTCCTCTCTTTATATCAGTTTTTAAATGATTAAAATTCAAATATAGTTTGGTAAGATACCAAGTTTTATGATTATTATTATCCACGTAGATCTATTTGGGAATAACGTCAGAAATTAGCGATAAAATTTTAACGTAATACATTACTTTGAAAACGCTAACGTTAAACGTTGTCCGTAAAATCGTAGATAACCTTTTCAAAACGCTAACGCTAATCTCTAACGCAATTTCCAAACATGCTCTTATACTACCTCACCAGCCGGGAGAAGAGAGATAGGGTGGGTGTGGCTGCCGTCCTTGTTGCACATGAGAAGCTAAGGCCGTGGGGAAAAAGCTAGAAATAGAAAAGAAGGAAGAAGAAGAAGAAGCGCGGAGAGCCTCTCCCGTTCATCTTGTTCCGTGGAAGAGGGGGACGCTATTCTGGTGGGATACCACTTGCCACGTCACCTTCCTGTCACATAACCCGTGGTGTATAGTTATAGTATAACTATAACAGTTATACCAACAATAACATCAATCATTTAATTCCATAGTATCAACGTAAAATCATCCATTCTTTCTTTCTACTCCATCCGTCCTAATTTAAATTGTCTGTTTTGGTTTACGATGTTTGATTGAAGTTATTTTCAAATTATTTTATATAAAAAATGGTGTAGAACAAAAAAAATTAAATTACATACATAAAAACTAAATCAAAAGATATACAAAACTAGTGGTGACAAAACTATATTATTTTATCAAATGCTTAATGAAAATAGGGAAAAAAAGTGAATGAAGTTTAACCTTGTGAATAATAAACAGTCAATTTAAATTGAGACGTAGGGAGTAATATTCATATATAAAAAATTCTTGAAAATAAGTATCATAATTTGACGGAATATTATTTTATACTCCGTATATGTTTATTGGCTAAACAATAAAATTTGATGGCGTGCAAAAAAAATGATGGCAAAGGAGAAACCGTTGAAATAATCTACACTCCATAATAGTGTAAGGCCAGATTGGTTTCAGAATATCGTTAGAAGTTAACGTTTTGAAAATGTAATCTACAAGTAACATTTAGCATTAACATTTTTAAAATTGATCTGCACTGTTAAAATTTTATCTAAAACACTCACGTTAATCAAAAACGTTATTCTTAAACGGCTCTAACAAGGAAATGCAAGTGCACAAACGGGTGATTTACCATAAGTCAACTCCCTCTATCCTAACTCCTAAGTGAACAGCATTTACGAAATTGAGTTGTGGACTAGTTTTTTTTTTACATGGCCATACTGATACCACGTATGACAAAAAAAAATCGCATGTTGTACTATAAATAATTAGGTGGTGAATAAATCCATTCATCAACGACGTAACAAACTTGGCAATCTCGCCGTGATGGGAACCGTCAGTCATATCTCCAAAATTAGAAAGAGATCTGTTCAAAAGGGATGTGATACACACGCATCACTAAACTTAGACTACCTGGGAATTAGATGAAAATACAAAAATAATTTTTATAGATTTTTCCGGCCAAAAAATTTCAAAAAACTGATGTGTTGTATTGAAATATGCATTTTTTTTATTTATTAAAACACCAAAGTACATCGCAATACAAGGAAATGTAGAGGTGAATGCATGTTTATTTAGCAGAAAACTGAGCAGTTACTAAATTTACTACAGCAATAAGAAACAAGCAAAATAAACACGTGTTAAGGGATGAGAGTTCAAGAATGAAGAATTGCACTGGAACATCTAAAGCTTCTGGGTTCTGACCTTCATAAGAATCTCATTTCTTTCTCTGCTTCCAAAGAGAAACACACAACTTACAATGATGATGATGATGATGATGACGATGATGATACCCATCCTTCTCTTTTCTCCTCTTTAGTCTGCTCTGGATTGGCCAGCTCGGGAAGATAAGATGATGCCAACAATGAGCCCGTATAGGGCCAAAGCTTCAGCAAAAATAAGAATAAGGATCATCCCAACAAAAAGCTTCGGCTGCTGTGCATTAGCCCTGCAAATTAAATTTCGCTTTCAGTAAGTGTTGGTGCAAGACAACTGGAATTTAAAGCCTAAGAACAAGATCCTCTCGGGCTAGATCAGTATGAACACGATGGTCTGAAAATGCTAATATAACAGAACAAACAGTAAGAGGGGGGATATGCTGGTATATCCTGAGCTCACGGATAGCATTCCACACGGCTCTAGCATGATCAGCAGATAGGACACCAAGAAGTCCAAGAATGCAATAATCCCCAAATAAAAAAACAATGATGGGTAATAATAAGTAAGGAAACAACAACTAGGGGCAGGTGCTATCATCTGATTGACATGCACCTTGTTCAAGTTCTGACACACAAAAAACAGCTAAATCTGATCATTTTAAATACAACAACAGCAACAACAACCCAGTAGAATCCCGCAATTTTAAATATATTTATAAATTAAAAAAAGTGTTCCACAGAAAATTGTGTGCGTTAAAAGTAGTTAAACCATAAAACATAATTACTCTGTAGAAGATATAGCCATATTAGTACCTTTAATTAAAAAAGTTGTATTGTTGGTAAACATGACTCTTTGTATGGGATAGGGGAGTATTGAGGTTTTATGCAGAAAGAAGCAATTTATTATCCTTCAATACATATATGCTCACATTACTTTGCAAGAACTTCCAACATAATGGTCTCAATATATAATAGAATCAGTGTACACTAAGCCAACTTGGGCCTCTTTTGTTTAAACATTTTGCTGTGTGTTTTCTTGTAGCCTTTTGTTTCTGATTCTAGCAGCTCTAAAACTGATCTTTTAGAAGGTGCAGTAGCGTTTCAGCTACACTATTTGATATTTCCAATAATACCCCCAGCTTTTTGCAAAATATCTTCTTATTTCAATCCAAATACCCCTACTTTTTCAAAAATACCCTTTGCCACTAATTTTACATCATAACATCAACTCAAACAAACACTCAAAATCAAAAATTTCTCAACAGTTCCCTAGACATCAACTACAACAGCATGATAACATGGTCTCTTAGTCAGATGCAATGAAACCCAAAATAAGAAGCTTACAAAAATACAAAGTAAAAGAAGTAAATAGAAACCTGTAGACATGGCCAGGACCCCTACAAATCAAATTTAGGTGGAACAGTAACACAACTCGTCCATATACTTTTGTATAGTACAGATTTTATACTTAAAAAAAGTCTTTTTGAACTTAGGTGGCCCAAGGCCAAAGTTGGCCCACCCGATGTGCAAGCCAGAATGTGCTCGAACATAGTCACAGAATTCGCTCCCAGAGCCGCGACTTCCGTATTGGTACGATTCGTACCCAATCGCAAGTCGCTTGCGATCCGATCGCAGCCGGTACGGCGATCCAAATCGCGATGGTACGGCGATCCAAATACCCAGGTACGTCGCACCCATCGCTGGCGGTACATCGTACCAGTGGCGACTTCCTCTTCCCAGCAAAGCAACGTCGACTTCCTCTTCGCATTTTGCCTCTTTCCCTTTTCAACGATTTCTCTTTCCCAAGTCTTTGTAAATTGAATACGTTCCACTTCCCAGGCATGTTCCACTTTCCCAATTAAATATTTCTCTTTCTCATTCTCATCATTTAATATTTAATTTAAAATTCAATTCACAATTAAATACTCCGTATTATACTTATTTTTATCTATTTTTGTTTACTTATGTTTTCACTTTTGGTACGCCGAACCGAATACATGGTACAGTGTACCGCTTCGTGCCGCTTCGTACCAAAATGAACCTACCCCCTTTCGTACCGAATTCGTTACCTCTAGCGAATTTCGTACCCGTACCACGTACCCGTACCAAAACATACCGTGATTTATGTGACTATGTGCTCGAATAGGGACATTTTTCATAAATAAACCAACCCTTGGTAAAGCTTAGTCTGGTTTTGTAAACCACTAAATATTCACTGCAGCTTTAAAGTCCACATAAAAGTTGCATATGGTAGCTTTAGCAAAACCAATAAATTAATTTGAAAAGTAGAAATATAATTCATCAGTTATGACAGCTTTACCTTACCATGAATTATAAGATATACTTGTGTGCTCTTGTATGAAATTCATTCAAGTTACTAGCATGCTCACAATATTTGTAACTATTTAAGTGATGCATATATACAAGTAATAGGCTGTGAGTCAAGTTAGATAATGGGCATACCCAACAGCCCCATGTAAAAGCTAAGAAGATCATGACAAGAACTAGTGGTGCGCATCCATGAGGATTAGGCTATAGAGCTTAACAGAGTTTGATAATATGCCCAAAAGGCCAAGCCACCATGTATGACTGCTTGAAGAATGGGCTATGTTGTTCTAAACACGGGGGGTGGGGGTGGGTTATTGGATATTTTTGGTTATGGTATTAAGTGTGACACTATAGCCCTCTACCACCTTATCATCATCAGCAGCACGACCTCAATCCTAACAGACCAACTTGTTGTGGTTGGTAGCATTATATTAAGAGTTTCAATCAAATGTATAAAACAATACTACGGAGTACGTATAAAGTAATTTACACTATAAACTCAAGCAAAGAGAACGTTGGCAGTGTATTGCACTGAATGCTTTTTCAGTAGCTATGTTTATGAGAATGAGTTATGAAACAAAAATTCTAAACCATTTTTATTATAAGTTAATCCCAAGTGCATGATAGATATCCATGATCATGTTATTAACATCATCATTGTAATAGACTTGCTATATTCATGTACTCCCGGATATTTAGCTAAGATAATCTAGTTGATAATAAGACTTACTCTCATTTTCCATCATTATATCCTCCACTAAAGGTAAAAGCTTTGACTTCCGATTGCTATTCTTCAATAGAATCATTCTTGTACTAATTTGCAATTTTCTAGCTCCATCGCGGAGGAGTATATGTATCAATTTGGTTTCAGACTTTCACAGACCTAGGCAATTAGCTCAGTAAACAACAGACAGAAGCGATGAATTGGTTAATTAATACCTGACGCCGGCATCTCCAACAATTCCAATGGCCATTCCGGCAGAAAGGCCAGCAAGACCACAAGCGAGACCGGAAGAGAGGTGCGCATACCCATCAAACAGATAATAGGACTTGGTCTTAGGGTTAATCCCGGTACTGATTATCACGGCAATAATCAGACCATATATACCGAGCACACCAGCCATGACAACCGGCACGATGGATTTCATCACCAGCTCCGGCCTCATCACGCCCATCGACGCCACTCCCACCCCACTCTTTGCGGTTCCGTAAGCTGCCCCCATGCCTACAAAACCAATCAATTAATCAACCGATCCAGGATCCAGATCCAGATTAGATAACGACAATCAATTAACTACGGAGGGATCCGCACAGGAGAAAACGAGAGCGGCAGCAGCGCCGAGGAACCCGAAAAAGGGAGCAGTTTCATCGCCGCTGAAGGAGGAAGACATGGTTTGGATCCTTCGAAAGGGATTGTGGATCTGGGGAGTGCAGTCGAGAGCTCTCTCTTGGTTGGTTGGTTGATGTCTTCTCTTCTGTTTGCTGGAATTATTAAACGAAATTGATACGGGCAAGAGGTCCCTATGGCCAAACACGTGATTTACGGGGGGAAGATGCTTCTTTACGTTTGGTTATTCACTTTGGTTAAAATTTATAAAAACCATGAAGTCCAACCTTTTTTTTTGAATGGTATACTCCTAATCCCTATGTGATTAGGAATAAATCATGCCGGTAGAATTTAACAAGTCCTAAACGATCACATATAGGTACATCATCTAACCGTGTTCTATAATCGTAATATTGTTTTAAAAGATCTATTAAGATATTCAATTTTCTTTTCTTTTGCATTACAAACATTATTATAAGATAGATACTTATCATATAGTGTTTTTAATTACTATGTGAATTACTTGTTTACATTGAACTTAAGATTTAGTGTTGTACTAGACGATAGTCGTGCTTTCACGTAATTACTGATGGACTTACCATCATCCTTCATATATTTTGTATGTTTAGCCATTATCATTTCCACATTATGATCTAGAAAAAATAATACACTCTTATTCCTTCATCATACACCGAATGAAATGTATTCCTTGTAACACGTGTTAATTTGGCTCAAGTGTCCAACATTGAAATACAAACTATGTTTCATTAGCATTTCTTGAATTTAGTTATTTATTTTTTAGTTTTTATGTTTCATTATTTAAATGCACATTTGGTTTTCAAAATTAAAAGGTTTTATTACATTATCAAGTCTAATTTAAGTATGTCTGTAGTTACTCCAATTTGTTCTTAAATTGATACCAAACCAATTTTTGGGATCTAGATTGATAAACGTAAGATCTCATAACGAACAATAATATTTAATTAGGTATCGGTACGAACTAAATGTCGTCTCACCATTATACATATTATAGAGTAGCTTCCAAGCAATACCCTAACCTAAGACTGTTGGCGACTAAACTCATTCGACGCTGCTCCGTTTCCCAAGGGTTCCTATTCCGGCAGACTATACCTCACTCCGGCCACCCTCATCGCCTTAGTAGGCTGGTAAGCTGTTTCTCAACTTCGTGCAGTTACCAAAAATGTTTAATTATCAGGAGAACCGTTTTTTGCCAATTACCCCTGCAATTTACTTCTCCAGAAATTCGCGGTTGACTTTATGTCCTCAAAAACCTACTTGTTCCCCTCGCAATTTGCTTTTGAGGGATTTTCTCCCGGATTTTTTGGTGGATTGATTCATCAAATGTGTTTACATCTCGAAGAATTTGATCTTGAAACATAATAATCAAGCACCTGGGAAGGTAAACTTAGTACACAGACGAGCTAAATTACTATTAGTTGTGTTTTGGTCTAACTTTAGGTTAGGAGCTCTATTCAATTGCTAGCACCAAAATGATTTTAAAGTGATTTTAGGGTTAGAATGAGAAGCTATTGTGATTTGAGATTGCCAGACATTGGGAAGGTTTAACTTGATGAGGAAGCACTTTTAGCAGCCAAAGATTCCATGCATTCAATTGTGTCCATCTGTGGTCTTGAATGAATCATGATTGCTACTCTGTCAATCCGCGGTAGCCACTCTTTGTTGCTGCCATAGGGATTTGCCGGTCCCTAACTGGAGTAAAAAAAATGGGTCGGGCATTATCTACTCCTTGAAGCTCCCTAGTTCATCCACACGTATTCGATTGGAAGCTTCTTGAGGGCCTTCTGAAACAACCACAGTTAAATCAGTTCTCCACAGTAAAAAATTGCAGCACATGCTTAGATCTGTCATTCGTTCTTCCGCGAGCACTTGATACTTTTCATCTTTGGAGTAATAGATCTTTTTTCCGTCTGTGTTCTAAAATATTTTATAGTAGCATCTACAATCATTAATAACTATGGTTTGGAAAACATGTACTACAAGATATTCTAGTTTTCATTATAGACTTGGCTTTAGAATGCTGTTGAGGCTTTAAAGCTTGACTCTAGGGAAAACTATGAAAGTCGCCTTGCTCCTTGGTATGGAGAAGCTAATGAGCCAACCTCTGTGACGCTTACACATCACGATGCATTTGAGGCTTAAGACTCTAATACTAGGCAAAGATTGGACATTTTACATGCAAACACTGCTCTTTTTTTTGTGTGTACTTTAGCTGATTAAGATTTGCTCTTTCTCAAAATTAGAACAATTAAGAGGCTATTGGTTATATTTTTCTTTTTAATATTGACCCAAATAGAACTCTAGATCTTTATTTGTTTTATCTACTCACTTGAGTTCCTTCTACTATACTATGATTCTACTTGGCCACTTTCCTTCATACTCTGTTCATACTTTATGAGTAGAAGTGTATAACTTAACTTTTTTAGTATCTACTCACTTGTTGGTTCTCCTTGCTTTTGTTTATCATGCAATTACCTTTTTTTTTGAGTTAGTGGTCATACTTATCCAAAAATTTAATTTTTGTGATTTTTACACATTGTAAAAATGATTTTTTGCAAGTATTGTATATTTTACCTATCAGGCTTATGCCCCTCTTGCGAGTTGTGAGCGATTTCCTTATGCACCTAAATAAATTATGCACTGGAACATTTTATTACCCCCCCCCCCCCCAAATGCAGTGTGATTACGGGGAAGATAGCATGCCGACATTAAACTTTGCCGAATAGGATATAGTTTCTCTCTATTTACTTGGATCAATATGGATGATCGTGAGCGAGGACACAGGAGAGAAAGGATGAATTGCTTCAGGGGAGGAGGTCACCCACAGGTAATCAGTTGGAGTGTACGTAGTAAAACAAGTCCATGTTTTTATTTGTGTTGTTTTCTAAAAATTAATTAAATTCCTTTGATAACTCAGTGGAGCATGGTTTCTCAGCAGCAACACATGAAGGAACAGAATGCTTTTTTTATGAACATGAAGATGTTATTCGCTGAGAGGGATGCAGCCATTGCGGAGCGCGACAGAGCTCTTGCCGAAAAAGAAGCAGCCACAGAGGAGCGAGACATGGTTATCCGCCAGCGCGACACAGCATTTGCTGAGAGAGACAATGCTTTAAGGGAACGCGACAATGCGATCGCAGCCCTCCATTTTCAGCAGGAAAACAACGCGAGCGTCGGTTTCAGTTACAGGATATGCGGAACGAAGCGCGCGAACACGGTCCGCGTGACCGACGCGGTCCCCATTTCGGCCGTTTCGTCCGAAGCCGCCAAGTCGCAGCAGAGGAAACAGCAGCAAGCGAAGAGGAAGAGGACGAAGCGGGCCCGCGACGACCGGAACCGGCGGGTCACGACGGATGGGTCGAAGGCCGAATGGGACGCCCGGAGCCAGGTGGGGCCCGCGATCCGTTTCGACGAGTCGACCATGCCGCCGCCCGTGTGCACGTGCACGGGGGTAGCCAGGCAGTGCTACAAGTGGGGGAGCGGCGGGTGGCAGTCGTCCTGCTGCACCACATCTCTGTCGGTGTACCCGCTCCCGCGACGCCCGCAGAAGGACCGCGGGCGAATCGCCGGGCGGAAGATGAGTGGAGGTGTCTTCAGCAGGTTGCTTACGAGGTTGTCGCTGGTGGGGCATCATGAACTGTCAACTCCGCTTGATCTGAAGAACTATTGGGCGAAACATGGGACCAATCGTTACATTACGATCAAGTGATTATGTAGTACGGACTACGGAGTGGTTTGAGATTGTAAAGTTTTTTTGGTGCATATTCTCCGTAATTTGTAGTCCTTAGCGCATTATTGGATGCGTACTTGAATTAGTTAGGGGTAGTCTCTAATTGAATAATTGAATTCCTCAAGAAATAAGACTGTGTCTAGTACAATATTTATATACTCCCTTCGTCTTAAAATTAATTTCCCAATTTGACTTTTATAGTCAAAGTTTTTAAACTTTGATTGTATATTAAAGAAAAAATATATTGAATTTTCATATAAATTTAGTATCAATAAATTCATTTTGAAACATAGTTTTGAAATATATTATTTTGATAATATATATTCATATAAAAATAGAGATATTAATGGTTAAAGTATCGCATTGGGGATCGTGAAAAGTCAAATGTGAAGTTAATTTTAGGACGGAGGGAGTATAAACTATACATATAGAGACTAGACTAGTTGAGCTAACACCCTTAATTATCTACGACTGTTAACGAGATAAATATTATAGGACAATGTAGTATCGTTTTATTTGCCAAATATCTTTAGGCTTGTTTGGTGAGTTGATGAAACCTTAATATGATTCAAATTTGATGCTTGTACCATCATTATAATTCATCAACCATCCACCTGCCACCACACGCCCATTTCAGATTTCTCCAAAAAAAATTGTTTCAAATTTTAGGTCCAATGTGATGAGTTTTGATGGTATGATCGAATTTTGAAAAAAGTATAGTAATGTGCATGTGTACGAAAGTGCAAACTCTTATTTCAAAATTAAAAATATCGATATTTTTTTAATATTTTAGTCTTATTTAGTGTGATTTCTATAAATAAGATACTGTCATTTGATATATAGCAATAACATTATTGATATTTAAATGATCAAAGTCAGAAATTTGCATTCACAAGGGAAAAGGGGTGTCTCGCACGCGCTAGAGAGGCGGTGGCACGGGAAAAGGCCTACTAAAAATATCATTAGTACAAGTAGTAGTAGATAAAGAAAATGATTGCTAAATAATCTGCGGTGATAGAGGTAGGGACTGAAGTCCGTGGGGAAGAAAAAAAAACAAAAGATTCTGCAAGCCCGTCTGTGCAAAAAATCAATAGTCGGAATGAAATTGAAATGCAAATGCCCCGGAAATGAAATTCAAATGCGCATTAAATGCACGCGTCTCAAGCAGTAAAAGCGTGACTGTGTGAGAACGCGATTGTCGTACAGAGCTCGCTCCCCCCCCCATTTGTTGTAATAATAATACCAGTAGTTGCAGTTGTTGTAGCCTCCGCCTCCGCCTCCGCCTCCTCCTCGTCGCCGCCGTCGAGACCGAGAAGAAGAAGAGAGAGAAACACATAACGCACATACTTTCTAGTGAGAGAAAGCTACACGCCGAAGGGAAGGGAGGAGAAAAGATAGAGAGAGAGAGGCAGGGACGTTTTCGCCTTGGCGGGATTCGGTGTCTCCGTCCCCACTCATGCCCTAAAATGTGGAGGATAACGTGCGCCGTCCTTCTCCCCAAATGTAAAGTGTTCGATTCAGGCAAATCCGCCGCTCACATCAACTTTATTCATTGCCTTTTTTAACTGAATTTCAGTTCTTGGATATTTATGTATTTTTCTTTTTTTTTTAATAATTTAAAGAAGAAAATCTGAGATTGTATGGTTTTTTTTGAAAATATTTCTTGAGGATTTGATAGTGTCTTAGCCTTTTGATTTCTGTCTATTGTAAATCAGGCGCTTCTGAGATGGAAAGCTTAGGTCATAGTCCTGCTTGAGATCACTGGTTGAGTGTTAGTGGCAGATACATATATTTCTCTTTCAGGCGTTGAAATGGGCGGTAATACTGAGGAAGTTAATACTGAGATTTTCCAGAGGCTTCAATCATCTTTTGGGAAGTCACAGCCTTCAGCAATCTCCAACCAACAATCCGGATCAATGAGCCAACTTGACATTCCCCAGCTCAATTCTTCCCAATTTCAGGCTCAAATGCGGCAGTTCTCTCCGAATTTCTGTGCTGAAAACACAGGTAAAAGGGCTGGCATCCCGCCTTCTCATCCTCAAATGCCCCCAATCTCACCTTATTCGCAGATCCAGCAGGCATCGCGTCCCTCAAATCCACAAATGGGTGTCCAAAATTTCAACACTTCGAGCTCGGGACCTTCTCATTCTCGATCTTTATCACAACCCTCATTTTTCTCCCTTGATTCATTGCCACCCTTAAGCCCTTTGCCATTTAGGGAATCCCATGTTTCTGACCACATGTCTAACGATGTATCAATGGGGGAGCGCGATGCCAATTCACATTCTTTATTGCCCCCCTCTCCTTTCACAAAGTCTAATTCATTGCGTGCAGCTGGGGATGGTCATAGTCTTCCTCCTCGTAAGTCACACAGACGGTCCAACAGTGATATACCTTTTGGGTTCTCCAATATAATGCAATCTTCGCCCCCACTTGTCCCCTTTGATAGGTCACTGGCACTGCCCCCAAAAGAGAATCTTGGTGGCAAGCCTGTGCAGTTGGTTAAACGGGAGACTAGTGGCAGCGAGAGCAACGGTGAAGGGATGGGGGAGAGAAAATCTGAAGGAGAAGTTGTTGATGACCTTTTTTCTGCATATATGAATTTGGACACCATAGACGCATTGAACTCTTCAGGTGCTGATGAGAAGCTGGGTAGTGAAAACCATGAAGATTTAGACAGTAGGGCCAGCGGTACAAAGACAAATGGGGCTGATAGCAGTGATAATGAAGCTACAAGCAGTGTGAATGAAAGTGGAAATAGTATGCACATATCGGGAGTACCTTCTTCTTCAACTGAAAAGAGGGAGGGGGTTAAAAGGAATGCAGTAGGAGACATTGCACCAACAACCAGACATTATAGGAGTGTTTCCATGGACAGTTTTATGGGAAATCTAAACTTCTCTGATGTCTCACCGAAATTGCCCCCATCACCGGGGAATCACCCTGGGAATCTCTCACCCACCAATTCACTTGATTCAAATTCAAACACATTTAGTTTGGAGTTCGGGAATGGTGAGTTTAGTGGTGCTGAACTGAAGAAGATCATGGCTAATGAGAAACTGGCTGAGATTGCTTTAACAGATCCAAAACGTGCCAAAAGGTAATATTCGTACTTATTTTATTTTATTCATTTTCTTTCCTTTGTGAAGATTATGTAGTCTAATCATCTTCTCCAGAATTTTGGCAAACCGTCAATCCGCTGCTCGTTCAAAGGAGCGCAAGATGAGATACATTGCAGAGTTGGAACACAAGGTGCAAACATTGCAGACTGAAGCTACCACATTGTCTGCTCAACTAACACTTCTGCAGGTGGTTATTTTCATTTATTAGAATATTATGAGTATTATTACTTAATTAATTTATTTATTTATTATTGTGCCAGATAAATTTTTTTACTAATTCTTAGTCTTCATGTTGTCACCCAGAGAGACTCTGCTGGGCTAACAAACCAAAATAATGAATTAAAGTTTCGTTTGCAAGCAATGGAACAACAAGCTCAACTACGTGATGGTATGTTTGTTAACTCATTTTCATGTTTTGCTTATATCAACATGGTTGCTTATAAAACATATGTGTAATTCATGTTATGTTGAATGTTGATGGCTGTCAATTGAACTTAAATGCAATCAAACTTAAGCATTGATAGTTGTCAACTGAATTTGTGTAGTACTTTTGTTGGTTTTCAACTAAAATTATGTGGAATCATTCCAAATGTACAGACTCAACTATGCTGGTGTAATTTTTTAACGTTTTGCTTGGATTTGAAGTATTTTACTTGATGCATGTCTGCCTGTGGAATCGGTGCAGCCATGCAGGTGAATCAAATTGGGCTACAAAAGCCTTTAGCGCCATAAGCGTAAAAAGCGCTCGCCATTCACAACTATGGCTACAACATACATTACACTAATTCTGTACTTCTATCTTTTGTTGGATATGCCTCTAGCCCTCTAAATCTTTTTCCCCAATCTTTTCACTATTTGCCACATTAGACCATACCATCTCGCTATTTCACTCCAAGTGCATTTTTACTTTCTCATAATTACTCCCTCTGTCTGAGTTTAGTTGTTTACTTTCTTATTTTTGTATGTCCTTAATTAGTTGTTCCATTTCCATATTCAATAAATGAAATTATGTTGAATTGCCTAAAATATCCCAAAGATGTGGTATGAATGGAGTAGGACATTGTTGACATGAATGATGGACACACTCACTTGAAACACTTATTTGGAATCTTAAACTCATTTCTTAAAAATGGATTGTTTAGATGGTTGACAATTAAATCTTGATGGAGGGAGTACAATATTCTATCTTTTTAGCACATTAGACTTGCATCTTATTTACTCTTTTCCATAATGTAGGATACAATTGGGTTTGTAAGGGGTTTTAAGAAAATAAAGAGGTTACCTTCTTTAAAAGTAGGGAAAAAAGGTATGGGATGGAGGAAGTAAATGAGATGTATGGAGAGAGTAAAGATGATGTGGGTCCATGAAAATGTGACCCTCTAAATGAAAATTTTGATTAAACAGAGAATATAAAAAAAGATATATTGTGAGGGTAAAAAGTTGGATGTGTTTAAAATTTCAATTAGAAATGAACATTGTTGGGGGGCCAAAGGAAAGTAGATGTAACTAAATACTCCCTCCGTCCCAAAAAACCTGTATATACTAGTCCATGTGCATGTATATATCAAAACACTACCTTATTCAGAATTAACTAGACCATGGGCTCTTAGTTCTTTGCACATTCGAAATGTGTTATGTGAAATACAAAAAATATTTGAACTCAAGAATGATACTGTTGGGCACAAGTACATGGAAAACAATTGAAATTGATCTTTATGATATCTTTGTTTAGTCGTGAGATTGTCAGCCTGTAGTGTTTGGAAAGATATGGAATCCAGGTTGGAGAGGTTTATCGTTTTTTTTTGTGAACAAAAACCTGAAATGCATTCAGAAAATCCACTTCAAGTCTGCAACTTTCCCTATCTCAATCCACACTTCTGCGACTTTTTCTTCTTTAGTTCCTCCGTCAGTTTGCCCCGGAGGTGACTTGTGAAGCTGCGACCCTTCTTCCTATCCAGGTTCATTGTCTCATTAAATAAATATAGTAACTTGCTCATGTTTTTATGAGAGGCAGTTGTTTTCGTAAACCAGGTTTATTGTTTCTGTTTGTGCGTTAAGCATCATGCTATGCATAGACCAAAAGTTTTTTTCCCAAGAAAACAATTTTAAGTAAGAAATTCTCTTAAACCCGAGATGCCTTTAGCTTCACTACTCAATTAAGGTTTCCACTTCAGGAAACATAGTGCCGATTTTGCAGACACAATGCTGGAATGTAGGAAGTTATTTTGTTCCTTATCCTCATTTTGATGGGGAACAGTTCAAGTTCCATTGCTATGAATTTTTCAGCTTTTATGTGTACTTTGGGTGCCTGTGTAAATGTTAAATTTAATGTGTTCCAAATGTATTATTACTATAGACAAACCAAATAACTAAGTTTGTGGGGACTGTGCAGACTAACTAAGTTTTGTTGTGATTTTGAAATGTTATAATAATATTATAACAGCCTTAAATGAAGCTTTGAGTGCTGAAGTACAACGCTTAAAGATTGCCACGGCAGATCTGAACGGAGATCATACCAAGTTCCAACAGCTTTCATTAAATCCTCAGATGTTTCAGTCTCAGTCGGCTGCTGCTGCTCGACTAAACATGCATCAGCAGTTGCACCAACAACAATCGTCTCAGACCCAACAACCTCAGCATCAGCAGCATCACAACAACACTGCAACATCAAAGCATGACACAAATCAATAGCCTTTTGACGTACGGTACCCCCCCCCCCTCCAAATTTGTCTCTGCTCTTTATTTATCCTCAATTCCTTCATTAGTTCTGCGTTTGCAGGAAATATGTCGAGGCACAACTCCTTTTTTACTTGTACACTCTTTGAATGCTTATTAGTTTCTTACTTATATCACACACACATATATATATATCGGCCTTATTCTTAGGAGTATATATACATATATATATCTATCGGTGTACCTGAAACTTGTGTATCTTTTGCATGACATTTGGTGGAAGGTGGACTCAGATGTTTTGTCAAATGTATTGATTATTTCCAAGCCCTTTTTTTGCATTTACATTTTCGATTTTCTACCAGTTGTCGAAAAACTCTCACTTACTATTCCTGAATTCGACTACATTTTGGTTCTGCGTTTTACGAATAAATTTATTTAAATTGAAATAATATAAATATATTACTCCGTATATATGAATGCTCCGTAGTGGAGTACGTAGTGTTCTGTTTATCCCAGATTCTCGGCGGAATACTCCCCGCCTTTTTTTCCAATTGTTCATTCTGGTCCAATTTGTTTTTTTTTTTTTTGGAAATTTGACCTAACAATTTGCAAAAAAGGAAAAGTATCTCAAACAAATACACTTTTTATTAGTTTTCTAAAATTAATCACACGTTTTACCGTTTAGTAGTATCTGTGAAATTCGGTTTTCGTTTACCCAGTACATACCTAACGGAAGCAATTGAACTTTTTTTCATAAACTGATAAAAAGTGAGTTTATTGGAGACCATTTATTTTTTACTTTTGGAATTATGCTGTAGTTTTTATTTTAGGCAATATCGCTTTTTTATTTTAGCTGCCACATTAAATATTTCTTCAGTTAAATAATCTCTCTATCCCAGAAAGAATGCCACGGTTACTATTCTGGCATCTCGATAACTTTTGTTTGTTTACTCGTTTTGGTTGACCATTTAATAAAATAAAATATTCTTGTCGCATTTTGTTTTGTAGAACTTTTCATATATACTTTTGAATGGTGTAATTTTTACATTTTATTACTCTACTAATTTGAAATTAAAGTGATTATAAAAGAGATGATATTTTATACGTCGTTCGAAGTGTTACAAATAAATTGGGACGGAGGGAGTATTCTTTTAATTTTTTTATTTAAAAAAGCCAGAAGACAAAAGTTGTATTTGCCGTCAACTTAATTTTTTTTCCAATTTTAAGATCTAAAAGTAAGTTTTCTTGTAGTTTATGAAACAAGTTATTTTAAATTTAATTTATTTTTAATAAAAGCTAAAAATTAAATATGTATAGAGACTATTGAATAACTATAATGAAAAAAATTTCAAAAAGTCTTATATTACTCTCATGTCAAAATATTCTTCCATTTTATTTAAATCATAAATCAAATAAATGTATATTGAATTATTATATGGATTACTTATTTTATGGAAAATTACTAAATATTTAATTCATTGTATTCTCGTATAATACAAATTTAATATAATTAACAATTGAAATAGTCTAATTTGATTCAATGAACCAAAAGGAAGGAGGAGTGTGCTAGTAGAGAAAATTACTTCGGATTACCCTTGATTTTCTTTTAATAATTTTTTCTATACTAGTATACTTCCTCCGTCCCACTATATTTGTCCACTTTCATTTCTGCACACCATCCAATACACTTTTTTAATCCATTTTATCTTGTAATTTATATATTAAAAAATTATAGAAATTATAAATTAATAATCTATATATTAAGACTAATCAAACAAGATCACACATGACTATATATAGGCTTATGCATTGAGAGAATTTGATGAGTCAAAGTGCTTAGATGAACAGTTCCAAAAGTCAAAAGTGGACGAATATAGCGGGACGGAGGGAGTATGTTGGTAGTTTGGTACATTCTGGTCAATACAAGGGCAGTTTCGTCCTAGTCCTTTCCCGAGGATGATTTTGGTGATTTGGTCGTTAGGTTTTGTTTATTTATAGGAGGTGAGGGTAGAATCGAATTACAGACAAACAGAGAGTTAGTAGTGCTGCAGCTCCGTTCTAGAGAGAGAGAGAGAGAGAGACGACGTCGTCTTCAACATAATGGGGATCGGAAAATGCAGCAAAATCGGCCACATTGTGAGAATCCGACAAATGCTGCTGCGGTGGAGGAGGAAAGCAGCGCATCCCGTTCCGGCGGACGTGCCGGACGGACACGTGGCGGTGTGCGTCGGGAAAAGCTGCAGGAGGTTCGTGGTCCCCGCGTCGCACCTGAACCACCCCGTCTTCCACAAGCTCCTGGCTCAGGCCGAGGAGGAATACGGCTTCGCCCACCAAGGCCCCCTCTCCATCCCCTGCCACGACTCCGTCTTCGAACAGACCCTCCGCTTCGTCAAAGCTGACCTATTCCGACGGCGATGCTGCGGCGGCGGCCTTGTCCGGGACGAGGATGTTTTCGTCGAATCTCGGCCGATGCTTCAGATTTGTTAATTGATTTCCGTTTATCTCTTCTTCATCGACAGCGGCGGGGTGACATTTTTTTACCATGGAGATGGCAGATGATTAATTAGAGAGAGCCGGCGTGGCAAATACTGACGGGTCAACTCAGCCATCCCGAGTTCACTCGGAGTGTTTTTTTAATTTGTTTTTCTTTTCCGGTCCGGTTCATGTTTGGGCCGGTCATGTGCTGAAGAAAATGTTTGAGAATCTTGTCCTAAGCCTTTATCTTTTTTTTTTCTTTTTTTTTTTTGTAGCTAAGCCTTTTTATTTTATTTTTTTGCTGGTTTTCACCTCAGTTAAAACAAGTGTATGGTCGAAGTCTTAAAAGAAAATGGTTATAGCAATGCTCATTTTATTATTTCCTAGACCATACTCTTTATCTGTTCCATTTCAGGTGATAAAATTTTATCATACTTATTTGCTAGTTTTCCTTATTTATAAAGAATATATGGAGTAGCATTTTTTGAATGTATGACATTTATTTTTTTTTAATTTATACGATTTATTAATTATATTAAAACTAATTAGAGTCAAATATTATAAACCATAGACCAAAGTTTTGTAAAGATACTCTTGGGTGCTCTAAAAATCTTTTTTTTTTAAAGATTTGTTGAACAAATATGTTGAGTGGCAAATTTCTTTGGGTAGTTCTCATGACATTACCCAGTAATGTTATGGGATGATCCGGAAGCGCTCGGTGACCCGTTTGTAAAACTAACGCTTCATACCTCCCTGGTTCCAAATTCGTCTACACGATTTTAAAAACACCCATAGATTGAACAACTGAATATCCGATTCAGATGTTATTTCGGATTTTCCAAACCTCCAGTGTATACGCTTCCTTCCGTTGGACGCAAACAAGCGCACCAGCTATATGGATAAAATCCCCTAACTGATTCGCACCCCCTTCAATTGCACCCTCAAGTTAACTTTGACTTTGGAGTCAATTTAACTCCAAAGTCAAAATTAATTTGGGAGTGCAATTGAAGGGTGTGGGGGGGTGCGTTCGGTCGAGACGGTGGTGGGGGATTACCGGGTGGAAGTCGGTAGGAACTGTCAATTTTACGAACAAGACACCGGAGTACTTCTGGGTCATTCCATGGCACGGGGTTCCAATGTCATCTCGGAACTTCTTTTCTCTTTAATTAATACTCTGTAATATCTTGTAGTCAAGTGACATCATATCTTTAATAAAATAAGTTACAAATTTGAACAGCAATGAGAATATTGATTTTCTTGTGTTTTTGGTTGTGAAAAATATGTATGAACAAATATTACTTTATAATTGAGTCAAAAGTATTCTAATAATAATAATAACAATAATATTATCATTATAATTATAATTATAATTATAATTATAATTATAATTATAACTATAACTATAATTATAACTATAACATTCCGTAATTCTCTTGATCCTAATTCTCTCTTCTCTTTTGTTCTTGGAGCTTGAAAACGTTCAAAGTCTTTCTTATCTTGATACGATATCTTATCACAAACATAGTATTAGCAAAATATTGAGCTAATTAACTCTTAATGTGAAAAAGGTTTTTTTTTTCTTTTTATAATTTTGATGTACGGGAAATGGAGTAATTCAAGAGTAGACTTTTCACATAGGCAAAATGAGGAAAGAGGTTTACCTGTTTGTCTTGCTTTTAAGTCTGGATTGATGTTTTGTTGGTTGGTTGGCATTTGTAGGTGATATGATATGGGACCAACACTCACATATATGGAATACAGCATATATTTCAACAAAAACTACATTTTGATTTTTACACCAATTATTATATGCACTATTGTATCATCAAAAAAAATATGGACTATTGTTAGTTCATTGATTGTAGGACGCAGTAAGTACTATTTATTCGTATCACTTTTTGTTGATATTATTAGTATTAATAAAGATAATAGGAAATAGAATATTAATAATCCGGTATTATTTATTTTCTTTATTTTGTTGTTATCATAGTTTTTTATTTTATTATGATTAGAATTCTTTTTTGTGTTTCCTATGTATAAGGATGAAACCTTCGTTATTTAATAACACCAAATTATTATCAAATTGTATCAAATATTTTGTGTTCCTCCATATCTAAATTAAAATCTCTTTTTTAGTTTCACTTTTTCTTTTTTTATTTGTACGGAAAAAATTTTATTATCTATTTTAATGAGTGGCTCACAACTCTTTTTCGTCCTCTAAACAAATTAAATTCTACTTTTCAAACACATTTTCAAAGTTAAATAATTTTCTTATGTAACAGAGAAAGCATAATTTTTATTGTTTCTGACTTGGCCGAATTTGTTGAATGATGGCTTTAGCCCAAAACTGGTTACAACTCAAAATAGCCCAATATCCTCTGTGTATTTCTTCAGCCCGTTTTTTTTAAAGGATGGGGCACCACTAGATCTTAAAAGTACACCCATGGACGTTGCAATCTTAATGTTAAAAATCCTTATATCATTTGTTTTTTTATATGGTACAAACACTTTCGAATTCTTACAAATTTTTTTAAAAAAACTTCAAAAAAAATGTTTATAAAAAAAGAAACAAAAAGTGAGAGACCTGCCAATGGATAAAACTTCACTTTTTGTTATATGAGAGTGGTATTTATGGAATTAATCCAATATGAGAACGAGGAACTACCAACAATTACTCCCTCCGTCTCGGTATTGTCTACATGTTTACTTTTTACAGTTTCTTATGCAATACTTTGGTCATTAATATATCTATTTATATATGAGTATAATTTTAGATGATAAAAATATGATATTTTTAAACTTTATTTTAAAATGAATCTATTGATATTAAATTCATTTCAGAGTTCAATATTTTCTTATATATTTTAGGGTTAAATTTAGAAAATTTTGACCAAGAAAAAGCAAACAAGAAGACAATTCCAGGATTGAGGGAGTACCGTAAAATATTAAGTACAAAAAAGAAGGAAAAAAATACATTTATTAACACGTAACAATAGAGTAGCAGATGGAATGTCACATGCAATAATTACAACAAAATTTAAGACTCGCTCTTGTCAAAGTGTCCGTCTAGACATTCATTCCTAGCGGCCTGTTAGTCTTTAGCCCAGTTGTCCGATGGAGTATGTATCGAATGGCCTGTGGCCTGTTTAACACAATTGCTCGTCTAGAAGTCCTTAACCAGCGGTTCGTGATTCTTTAGGTGTTGGCGCTCAAAAAAATCAAAGGGGTAGGAATTCATTTGTAAGTGGTTAACCGGTTAGATTCCAAATGGCTCGGTTGTTCACTGAAGGAGAGTGTTAGAGTGCATCCCACACCGAAAGTCAAAGAGTAAAATAACGGTATATAAGCTCTTGAATTCAACTAATTAATCGGTTGCATTCAATCTTTTAATGTGGTTCTACATAAATGTTTTATGAACCGGTCTAGTAAGGCGGAAGTATTTTGTGATAAAAGCTGAGAAAGTGTACTTATTAGCTAAACATGGCGGCATTATTGGATTGTGCACCAAAATAAACCAAATGTTGAGAATACGATGGAATGAATATAATAACAGTAATGAATATATAATGGCGTTTTGTTCCCAATCCTTTCCATATACGGATTAGGACTCCTTAGTAGTTAGTCCGTACTACCCTGGCGGAGTATATGCCAATGCCAATATATAATGGCGTTTTGTTCACAACTATTGTACGTCTGTACTTGCTGGCCAAGTGACTACTCCTTCCCCAATTGATTTTGTCTTCTTTCATCTCATTGTGATTCATAGTTGGCAAATTTTAATACTTGAGTGTTGTCAAACTCATTCATCTTTTTTTATATTCATCAAATTTATAATAAATGTCTAATTTTACATTTAAGTTAGTCTGTATGTTATCTTTCATTATTTTAAAACATCAAAAATAATTGTCTTTTTTTTATTACAAAATATGTGGATATAGCAAAAAGAAGGGTAGATATGGCAATATCCTTCCATTTGCAGTGACATTTAATTTTTTGTCAATGTAAATCATCACACTACCAGAAAATCAAAATGTTCTAGGATCGTGTTGGGACGAAGTACAGCGCCGAGAAGCCCAATGGTAGCCCGAACTTGACGGGGAGATGCTTTAGAAAAACACTAGAGCCGTGTGCACTCGGAAGTATAGAAGTTCGGTGCAACGTGCTCAAGATGTGGCCAAGTGGGTCCACCCGTTATTATGAAGGAGAGAAGAAGGTTTTCAAGTTCTAGGAAATCTGAAATTTTTTTGTAGAAGAGCCCCAAATTCAGCATTGGGGCGGACACCGGAGGATCCAGACAGAATGATCCAAACTATCCAAGACTAATTCGTACTAAACGAGCGGGGCAGACATTCCATCGACCTCAACGCCACGAGGGATGACTTCCCTATGGATTGGGCAACAAATCTAGCAGTCAGAGCCGTCCGATCCAGACAAAGGCGACAAAGAAGACGAATGGGAAGGCCAACACAACGGGACCTATCCTAGTATGCCACTCCACCTGCAAACTCGGTGTTGGACAAAATGAATGGTAACCTTGAGAGCATGATCTTGGTTGTGTCATTACACCAACCTTAGCAAACTAATGGCAATGGATACGTCGAAGATGTCAAAGATTGGGCTGAAGTACCACCACAACATGATGTCGGCGATCCACATCTTGATAAGCAGGGCAACTTAGTAGCATTTGTTTTTTAAGTCTTTATTTTCCAAGCACTCCTTTAATTTTTTAGTTTTTGTAATTTTAATTTTAAGCATGACAAACTTCCCCTTTTACCAATGTAGTATTTCGTAATTTTAATGTTATATTTATTTATTTTTAATTTTAATTGATTTAATCCTATTTTATTATTTTTAAATTATTCATCTATTTTAATTAATAAACAAATATTTGTAATAAATTTATATAAATTTTGAATTAAAAATGATGAATAATGTAGGTAGTTTTTTGAGCACATTAGCATTACAAGATTTTGGGTGAGGACTGAAAATTAGTAAAATACTAATGTGGCAGGTAATGGAGCGGGACGAGATTCACCAGATTCCCTCCCGTTGTAAGTGCTCTAACGCCAAGGCTATAAAAGACCTCCAAAAATATTTGGGGGAATTGCAACAACATATGAATGCGCCCGAAGGATTGAGGATGATAATAATTCCGGTTTTCACGTATTAAAATGGGATGGTTTTCAAGTCTGACTAAAAAAATTGATATGTTAGAATTCTTTTTTTTCTTTCACTTCGGAGTTGAATGGAGTACTGTAGGCCAATATGGTGTCGAAAGGAACCTGGTGTCATATTATGACACTAAGGTTCCGTGTCAAAAGAATGTGTCAAAAGAATCCCGGCGATTTAACTTCATTAAATCAACTTTCAAAAAAAAACTGTTAGCAAACTAATATCCAAATTAACACCCACAATATATGGAGTATTAAAGAATAATTACATTTGAAACATCACTCTCTTATTTTTCATACAAAGAGATTATTGGAATTCAAGGTAAGTTTATCTTTACCAAAAAATAAGAACACGCCGACAAATACACACACATAGACAAATCACTTAAGCCTATGCACATAACAGAGAAGATAGAACAAGTTCTCTGGCAGGGAGAGTAATTAGCATGAAGCATACCCCTGCCAGGAAAAGCTAAAGATCAAAAGGTCTATACAAATCAACCCAGCCATGAACATTGCCAGGAAATAGGCCAGGTTAATTACATATAGCTCCTTGATCCAAACATAACTAAAAGAATTGTGACAAGCTAAATTGATGTACTTTTGGTGGAGGAAAACGTTCAAAAAAGATGAAGCCAAACACAACAGAGGAACCAGAGCTTCGTCTTAGACCATCTTTCCCTCCACCTTCCTATATGTGTATTTCTTCTTTTTCTTCTTCTTCTTCTTCTTCTTCTTCTTCTTTTTCTACCTTAGCATTGCTGTGAGAGATTGGAAAGACTTTTCATCACAAGGAATGGTAATACCCATATCGTGATGGAACCCAAACTCCTCCTCGGCTTGTCTGAGGAGAAGCTGAAACTGGGGGTGGGACAAGATTGAGATGGGCACAATGTATCTACTTCTTTTTTCGCCTATGTACACCGCAAAATGACCTTTCGGCACGTCCCCGGGAAGCCCTTCGTCTTCATCGTACCACCCGTGTCTCTGCCTAAACTGGGTGGAACACTTTTTGATGATCTGCTTCAGAACTGCAGCTTGTGAGAGCAGCTTGCTTGATTTCCTCATTCTCAATGTGTTGTATAATGAAGTGAAATACACCAAGGAATTCAAGAATGTCAACAGAGGAACTGAGCAGAGAGATTGCATAAGTGGTGGAGATGGATGTGTTGTTAGAAGGATCTGAAAGAATTTATTAAGGGAGAAAAGAGGGTGTATGGGTTTTTATTTTTAAAAAAAAAATCAAGAAATTATTATACTATTTAATCTGAAATGAATGAATGAATAATAATAAGTCTAAATGTTGGGTGATTTGGGAAGGGTGGGGTGCATATGTGTGGGGGCCAAGGCACAATGGGATTTATATTCAATGCAGGCTGTCCAAATGACATTGGGGCCTTCTTTTCTCCTGTTCCTAAATTCTAAATGCTTTGAACCCAAAATAATCCCTAGGGAAAAGATTGAGGTTCTTTTCACATCACTTGTGTAGTTGTGGGTGTCATAATATGACACCGGGCAATTTGAGGGGCCACTCATGGGTGTCATAAAATGACACCGCGCAATTTGAGGGCCCACTCATGGGTGTCATAATATGACGGGCCATATGAGTCTGGAAGAAGATAACAAAGAGTATCCAAGGTCTAGAGGGAGAAAAACACAGAGAAAAAATATACTTCGTATACGATAACATTGATGACGATCTCTATGCGGTATAAAGTTATATAAATAGAATACATGCTATAATATAGCTACACGGAGATAAATAAATGTACAACGTAAAATTTGGGTAGGGGTTGTGTCCCTCAACCGCGTGAACGAAAATATTTAGCAGTACATTAAATATTTTATCATCTTTGATAACCTAACAAGTTTTATTGTTATGCTACAGCCTAACCGTAAAATCTGAGGGACTTGGGAGTTGTAGAGGGTTAGGAGAAGTAGGAACTACTTCAGAATCGAACGAAGTACCTTAAGGCCCCGTTTGGTACACGGAATTCAAGCCATAGAGTTATAATTGATTTCGATTTCAATTCTACTATTTGGTAGCACAAAAAATATGTGGATTTGGAATTGGTAGTACAAAAAGTGAACTAGAATTGGAGAACTCAATTCCATCCAACTCAATTCCATAGAATTTTAATTCTAATTCAATTCCAAATCTATCAATTCCATATATCGAACCGACCCTAAGACCCTAAAATGACCTATTGTCATATTATGACATTAACCCTTGGTATCAAAAGAACCTAAGAGGAAGAGGGAAAATAGATAGAGTAATTATTCTTAAATTGTAGATACTTGTTCAAACTCTTTTATTAATGCATTTCTATCAATATGAAGATTAAGAAATCTATACACGTTTTTTTATTTATAGATTAAGAGATGCCCATTGTGCTTTTATTTATGTAATGTTTTTTTGTAACAAGTTGATAGGAAGTTTATAATATTTAATTTATTTTTTTGGAAGCATAAAAAAAGAAAGAAAAAGGAATATAGATTTCAAATTAATACAATATTTGGAACTTTCTTGCAACAGTACGCAACTCATTAGCTTTCACAGCTGGTATTGGTTCACTTCCAATCCCCAACACCATTCCTTTCAGATTATACTTTTGTTCCCATTCCCAACATTTTGTCTCTAACTCACCCACAAACCTTTCCTTTTCATGCATTTATTTCTCCAAGTCATATCCTCATATACCAGTTTCAGTTCATTTTACTTGTGAAACAAATAATACAATCTCAACTAAAGAAAAGAAAAGAATACTTTAACTCAAGATAACTTCTCATGCAAGCAGTAAAACCTTAGAATTACCTGGAACAATTACTATATATGTTCCCTTGAAAAGAACTGAATGCTAAGATGGTCATTATCAATTCATCTACCTGCATGTTTGGAAAGGGTAAACAAATTATAAAATGAATTTGATAAAATTGTGTTTTTTTTCTCACTGAGGAAACTAAAATAATTTAAAACACAGCATCTTGGAACAAAACTAGCTGTACTGAATAATTTAGGAGCACTTTTAAATCTCTGTTGGAAATTTTAATTGCTGAATATCCACTCAGCAAACTCAACTGCATTTTGCTTGTAGCCTGCCCATATGACCATGTACCCTACAACATGAACAGAAATAGAACTGATCAAAAAAAAATTAATAAAAATTAATTGACTTGCTAATGGTTCTGTAGGCAGCACTACCCAGCACAAGTAGCTGTATGGAGTTGATTTCTGTAGTCAAAGCTTCAGACATTTTTAAGGAAGAAATAAACTTGGGGTACCCCAATTGTGTGACCCCCAACCCTCAAATTAAACCACCCTTAGCATATGATTCTTTAAGGAAACAAAGTCAATAGTCCTAGGCAACTAACTAATATAGTACCCGCTTCGTTTTCAAAAAACACTTCTTCTTTCATCTCTTTCTCTTTCAACGAAACACTTCTATTTTCTATAAAAAAAACTACTTTTACCCCAACTAATTCTTAACATACTTATCACATTATACTTTTTCACCAATAATCTACCCACCAAATCAAAACTAAAGTTTATCCATCACAACAAGGACAAAATTGGAAAGTCAACTACAAAAATACACTCTTTATTTCTCACATTAGTCAAAATAGGAACTAGTTAATGCATCACGTGCTGGCTCTATCCAGACCCTGAGTTTTAGCAGCTCATCATCTGCAGAATTGGTAAACAAAAATGGTGAAAAAGAATTACACCACACTTTAGGCCAGCATTTTAGCACCAATTGGGTGTGTAGGCAGCTCACCAGTGCAATGTGTTTATAACTTATACTCCATAACAAACAGCACTGTGGAACTTAAGTGTAAAAACTACAAGGATAAAAGAAATACACTCAGGCCTTTCATCAAACAACTGATAGGCATAAAAGGTCAACTTGTGATAATTATACAACCTTTATATATGGACCCAATTATGAATATTTCCCTAGAAACAAACGGAACAACGGTATCAAGTATCAAGACCCCAAGTTGAATTACACAGACATTTGGAATTTAAAGGGAAAAAAAATGAAAAAAAAAATGAAAAAAAATGAAAAAAAACCAATAAGATGCGCTTGTTATAGATCCTTAGATATGTACTTTTAATTCATACGCAGGCCCAATACTACGAACCCACAGATAGTTGGGTCAAACTGGTTGTGTATTTCAGGCTAAGCTTGCCTTGGAGAAGCCCGGCCCAGAAATTAAATTTTTTATTTTCTAAAAATGAATTATTATGCTCCCTCACATTCCATTTATCGTAAAAAATTCTCCCTCCATCTCAAATTAACGATCTCTCGATGATTTATATCTATATACACGTTTTCATTATTATTTATTTGATAAATAGAATATTTTTAAAATCTCTTATTTTGTAAAACTATTGGTGTAATTTTGAATGGTGAAATTTACATTTTTTATTATTGTACCAATTCAAACCAAAATTATTTAAAAGTGAAGCGATTTGGCACATTCTTCTAAATGAGAAAAATAAATTAAGACAGGTGGAGTACTTTCCCAAACCTCGTCGTGTAAATGGGTGTAATTTAATTATCCAATTATTTTAGACGTCTAAACTCTAAACACTTGATCGTCTTTTTAGTTCTTGGTTCTTTTTCAAACTTTAACACTATGTTTGGCTCTGATTCAAAACTAAATACAAATCGTATCGGATAGAAAATAATTTCAAGTGTCTTTGGGCTTAAAAAAAGAGAGGGAAAAAATTGAAGGGGAAGGCGAAGAATGCGAGCAGATAGAGAATTAGAGATGAGAGATATTGTAAATGGCAGACTTGGGCTCGTGAGCAGTACATTAGAATTTTAGGGTATGGGCTCAAACCGAAAGTGTTGATATCACGACCATGGACATTCATAGACATGTTGGGCTGGGTACAAATATTAATGTCCATCATCATATGATCCAATACACATTTAAGATAGCAATGTCTTTATTACAAACATGATACATGTAAGTGGTGCAAATGTTTTAACAAACATTAAAAAACATTCAAAATATTACTCTTGTATAAAGAAATGTAAAACACTATCTATTTCCTTTATATCTTAGAGAGTGATCCAGACTTTGTATTTATGAAAAATAGTCAATCACAATAGACCGACACTTTATATTACTTGACACACTTAGCCCACCAAAATTCTAATATACTATCAAAATCAAGTTTGATTCATTTTGATATTCATCAGGCTAGTTACAAAGAAATTGAAACGTTAAATTCATTCTTTCAAATAGTAACTAAACTAAAAAAATTACTCTCTCTATCCTAAAATCATCTAGTCAGTTTGACCAAAGTTCATTTTTAAGGAAATGAAAAAATTACATTGACTTTCCCAATATGCTCTTGAACCAAATATGCTTTAACACTTCACAAACCCTGCAATAGTGGAACCAAGACCTCACCGTATGCACTTTGCACCTCTACTCTATTGAAAAAGAAAATCAATGTGTAGAACCAATCCCTAAATATTGTGGATGGGCGTCGTTAGCCATTAATGGAAACGAGAAGGCATAGCAAGTCCGAAAGGTAATGGTTTTCGTTGTTTGAAATGCATAATCCAAACAACGACAAGAAGCTAAACAAACATATTTTAGATCTATTTCACTCGAATTCATCAAAAATCATCGTCGGATCTTAAATCTCACCCGGATCTAACCGTTCTTTGCATCTGCACAGTTGGAGGAAGAGAGATGAAGAGTAAGAAAGGTAGATTGAGAGAGAGTAAGACACGGTGGGGAGGGGGGGGTTTGGTGGTAGAGGTGATGAACTAGAGTGAAGACATGGAGGAGGCATAAATGTGGGATGGATGAATTTGATGGAGGAGTAAATGTTGTATCGGGTAACATTGTCTTTTTACACTCGCTTTTATGAACGGGGAAATTAGTTTTTGGACAAGGATAAAAGAAAAAATAAGAAACAAAGTTTTAGTATGAAGAGAGTACAATTGAATGAGAGGACATCATATATGAGGTAGACATGACCACTTGAAGTGCGACGCGCCATCATATGCTTTGTGCCACGCATGCACAATTATATATGGGTGTACCAAGTTTAATTACGTATTGCCTTTTTAATTTCGCATGACCAATACTCCCTCCGTCTTGTAATTTGTATATTAAAAAATTATAAAAATTATAAATTAATAATCTATATGTTAAGACGAATCAAACAAGATCACACATGACTATTTTTAGGCTTACACATTGAGAGAACTTGATGAGTTAAAGTGCTTAGATAAACAGTTCCAAAAGTCAAAAGTGGACAAACACTCAGGGACGGACCAAGTACATTCTAATTAAACGTCTACGTGGCAGGGGGCTTTGTTACGTTGAATTCCACGTGAATGGGAGCCCTACATGTTCTTTTTTTTTTTGCATTTGGGATATGCCGCACCAATTCCCTGCAGACAAACCCCTCAACCAATATATATAATCATAGCTAGCTAATTATATGCTGGTATTATTTTATTTATTTACGTACGTGTTTATCTTGATATCCATAGTTCTTGGACTTCTTGCTTCAAAATTTGCATTCTATTTCCGAAAATCTCATATAGTTCGTAGCACCAATTTTTCATATATAAAAAATTAGAAATAACTTCAGTCAATGAGTCAAATATGATAGAAAGTAGATTTTAAAAGCGTACTTTTTTTTGTATTGGAAGAAATCATGGGACAAGCATATCATAAGGAGTATATATATATATATATAATAAAAGAAAATAGTTGGAGTTGGGTGGTGCGTGGTTTGTTGTGTTCGTATAAGCAGCTTCATTATTTTGAGAAGGTGTTTCATATTTCCCGAAGCTTCGTTTACATACTAGGGAGAGTAGACACGTCCACGTGAATCTTTATTTGCTTGCTTAGCAATCTTTAACAATGCAACTGGCATTTGCATGTTACCACAATATTCCTCTTGATGAGAATTTTTTCCAAATCCAAACCTACTATAAATATATATATATATATATATATATATATATATATATATATATATATATATATATATATATATATATATATATATATATATATATATATGTAGGGGAAGGCTAGCTAGACAAAGGATCATCATCAAATCATCGATCAATATATACCAACTCTCATCTAGTCATCCAACAATACTTCAAAGCTTGCTCTGATATTCATTCCATATACTCTTACTCAAGTAACTCATCTACAATGGGGATCATGAAGAGACTTGTTGGGATTTCCGAAGCAAAGAAGAAGCTAGCAAGGACGCTCTCTCCCAAGAAAGGGAGCATTAGGGCGACGAAAGACGACAAAGTCGCCGTCCCAAAGGGGCATTTTCCGGTATACGTCGGGGAAGCGAGGCGGCGGTTTGTGGTTCCGATAGAGTATTTGGAGCACGCTTTGTTCCGGGATCTGTTGGAGTGGGCGGAGCAAGAGTTTGGGTACGAGCACCCCACCGGAGGGCTCACTATCCCATGCAGTGAGGACTACTTCTTGAGCCTCACGTCCCTCCTCATCAACTCCAAATAAGTATTCATATAGATAATTAGATAGACAAATAGATAGCTAGCTAGAAGTAGAAAAATGTGTTATTGTATACACTCAGACGCCGGCGTTGTAATATATATGAATTATTGATATACACATTTAATTTGATGAACATTATTAATTTTTAACATGTGTTGAAATTGAGAGAAAAAAAGAAAAAAATCTAGATTTTTGAATGATCTGTTTACAAAGTACTCCCTCCGTCCTAAAAAGTTTGTTACGTTTAGAAAAAACTGCGTTCTGTAAAGTCCGTTACATTTTTATTAAAAACTCACTTTTACCCCTTACTTATTCATACCCTACCTATCACATCATACCTTTTTTCTCATAATCTACCTATCACTTCCTACTTTTATCCATCACATCAAGGGTATTTTTGGAAAATTAATACCAAAATATCCCTCTCTTAATTTTCCAAAAAGTCAAACCGTCCTATTCTTTTTGGGACGAAGGGAATATGTGATGGATATAAACTCAAACGTTGACTCGGGTCAGCGATTTAGACTTGCTAGCTCTCAGGCAATGGTACGTCTTTCTCATGGATTATTCAACACTACATGGATATAGTTCGGGTCATGGCCTCTAAAATACACATTAATTTTTCAAATGTCATAAAAGGGAAAATTATTACTCCCTTCGTCATGATTTATTAGTAAAATTTTCACAAAAAAGTATTAAAAAGTTAAAATACACATTAATTTTTCAAATGTCCTATAATTATATCATCCTATCATTGGATTTTTTTAGCTTGATGTAAGAATTGAAAGTTGCCTAAGAAAATTAATACAAACCATGTCTACTAGTCCGGAATTCTAAATATATATATTCAATAAATCATGACGAAGGGAGTAATAATATTCTCTTTTATGATTTTTGTAAAAAAAGGCTTGGATAAGTTGAGCAATTCGATGATTTTTTGGTGAGCCAAATATAGCGTGACGGGACACATTTTCTTCCAAATTTGTACGATATGCCTAACACACAAGTTTTTAAGAACTTTATCTTAAAATCAATTTGTGATTACAATCAAGGGAAATTTACGTAAATAACACTAAAACATAATGACTTTCCTTAAATAGTATCACATGTATTTTTTTTTAATTTAGCACATCTAGTCATTATCCATTAATCGTTATTCAAGTAAATGTTTGTCATCGATATTATAGACATTATTAAGTGTTATTTAGAAAATACAAATAGTTTAAGTGCTATTTAAAGAAATGACTTAAATTTTAGTGCTATTTGGTGCAAATATATCTAAAATCAATTAGTGATAAAAGGAAATATAATTAAAATTTATATATGGGTTACTCTTTCTTCTCTTTTTCTCAGTGTGATGGAACTCTCAACACAATATGAGGTGAATGATGATGATGATGATAATAATGGGTCGACATGCACATATATAAGACGGACATGACCACCTGAAGTGCGATGCGCCATCATCTGGTTTGTGCCACGCATGCACGTACAAGTGCACAACTATATGTATGTACCACGTTTAATTACGTGTACATATACCCTTTTTAATTTCCCCTGACGTATAACAACGTAGTACTGTACACTTTAATAAAACGACTACGTGGCAGGGGAACTTGCATGGGAAGGTTGGAGTCCACGTGATTTGGAGCCTACTTGTTTTTCGCATTTTGCATGCCTCAACCATTCCCAGCACTCAAACCCCACAACTAAACAATACGTACTCCGTATTTTTTATAATCGAATTAATTTCCCAAAACAAAGTTTTCTTTTTAAAATTCCACATGTATAAAAGATTAAAAAGGAAAGTAAAATTAGGAACCTAAGTAATCCTCCCTTTTAAAAAAATACTCCATTTATGTAAAGAGAAATTTTCCTAAATAGGACTAAAACATAATGAGTTTCTCAATATAGGACCATATGTTTTTATTTCCCAATGTAGGATCTTTGGTCATTATCACGAAGTCATTATTCAACTAAATGTGCATCATTGCTGGACATTATTCCTTCCACTAGGTCATTATTAAGTCCTATTTATAGAATAAAAAAGTTTAAGTCCTACATTAGGAAAGTCATTATGTTTTAGTTCTATTTAGTGCAAATTTCACTTATGTAAAACATCGATATTAATGAGCAAGAAATAATTTTATGAGATGGCCAACCCAAAGATATCCAATTCCACTACATATGCGTACACATGGATTTATAGACAAAAGAAAAAAAAAGCAAAACAAGCTAGCTAGCATATCGTATAGCAAATCATATAGTAACATGTATGAATAAATGAATGGGGACCCAGAGGTTTTTGTAGTAGAATAAAGACACCAAATTGGACACAACTCTGCAGCTGCTGATCGAGAGGTTTGTTTCTATGCATGCAGCTCTATTAAATCCAGAAGAAGTACAAGTTTAGAGCTAGTGCCATGCATTTATATATCTTTCCTCGAAGCTTCGTTAGTTTACATATTAGCAAGGCTAAGGCAGGCACGTCCACGTGATTATATCTTTATTTGCTTGCTTTGTGATCTTCACAACTGGCGTGCATGTTACATTGGATCAATCTCCTATTCTCCTTTAGCATTTCCCAATTCCAAATACATATATATATATATATAGGGGAAGCAAGAGAAAGGTCATCTCATCAATTCATCAATTCATCAATACCAACTTGAAAGCAAGCTTGCTTTGATATTCACTCATATTCATATACTTAATTACTCATTAATCAATTACATGGGGATGATCATGAAGAGACTTGTTGGGATTTCAGATGCAAAGAAGAAGCTAGCAAGGACGCTCTCTCCCAACAAGAAAGGGAGCATTAGGGCGACGAAAGACGACAAAGCCGCCGTTCCGAAGGGGCACTTTCCGGTATACGTCGGGGAGGCGAGGCGGCGGTTTGTGGTTCCGATAGAGTACTTGGAGCATGCACTGTTCCGGGATCTGTTGGACTGGGCGGAGCAGGAGTTTGGGTACGAGCACCCTACCGGAGGACTCACTATCCCATGCACTGAAGACTACTTCTTGAGCCTCACTTCCCTCCTCATCAATTCCAAATAAATATAATCTTCGAGGAATAGATAGATAGATGGATAGCTATAGTTAGAGGATGTATTGTATAGCCACAGACGCCGGCGTTAGTGTCGACTACAAAATTATAATGAATTATATTGAATTCAAACAAGTCTTCCTACAAAATTATTCTTTATATTGTTTTTACTCTTCTTCATACAGCAGTATTTCGTTTCCTCGTCGTTTGGTTCATTGGATTCGAAAGAAATAAAAAGAATATGATATGAAAATATTGGAGTGAAGACGTGGAATTTCCTTTCGAGGAATTTACCTAAATAGTATTAAAACATAATGACTTTCTCAATATAGGACCATATGTTTTTATTTTCTAATGTAGAGTCAATGGTCATTATCTATTAATCATTATTCAACTAAATGTCCAGCACCACTTGGATATTATTCTTTTCATTAGACATTATTAAGTCCTATTTAGAAAATAAAAAAGTTTAAGTCATACATTGGAAAATGTCTTATGTTTTAGTTTTATTCAATGCAAATTTCACTTTCTTTTTTCTCCTGCTTGTGAGTCGTTCTCTGCTCCTCTATCACTTTCCCTTTACATGCTCTCAAAATTTAGAACAAATACAGGAAAATGTGAGTTTCCAGTTTTACTTGATCACCCAAATGATTTTGTTGGACAGAGTGAGGAAAAAATGACGCAAGCTATTAGGTATGCACCCTCATAATTTTTTGGAGTGAAAGAAAGATAAGGGACAACAATTGATTGGAACGCTCACTCTTTGTTTTTTGGAGATGAGAAAATTCTGATTCTTGGTACCATGATGTAATTTGATAATAATTAATTTTATTGTAGAATGAAAGTTTTATCCATATATATAGTGAATATATTTTCAATTAAGGTTGTATTAAATAATACGAGTACTCTATTTTCTATTATCCATAATAGAAAATACGGAGTAGTTTCTATTCTGTAAAATAAAATACGGAGTAGTAGCTAAGTAGTTTGAGGACTTGTTTTCTTCACTCGATCTGAATGGTTCTAATTTGATTTGAATTAGTTCTGATCTGATTGTAGATATATATATATATATATATATTTAAGTTTGATTTAATTTTGATCTGATCTGTTATAATCTACTCGTAATATATACAATAAAAATAAGCAGTAAGTAATAAAAATAAGTTGTAGAGAATAATCAAACTAGCTCGCTCTTTTCTAATAACTAATTTAAGGAGCTTTAATATCATGACGTACGAACATTCTTAAAATAAAAAAATGATACGGAGTATATCATGTGGGTGATTCTAAAAGGATACTCTGATAGTTAGTTAATCCCACAAATTGGATAACACATAGACAAAAGTTTGCATGATTAAGAGGGAGAGACATTGCACGTACGGAGAATAATTCATTCAAAGCATATTTCACATTGCTAAAGTGAGAGAGATCGATACGCTATTATACATTGTAATATATTGATAATAATTTGCAAGAGGCCGGATATATATGTATAATCTTTTCTTGTACAAAATGATTTGATACTCCGTACATTATTTGACGAGCTAGCGGAATAATCCTCAAGTAATCAGATCTTTTCACTCGCGATTGTTCTACGAGTTAATTAATCAATATATGCTGATTCAAAACAGGGTAACAACAATGTCTTTTCAATATGCCTTGAAGAAGGTAGTCAATAATTCCATCACAATTTCTGCTCCTAAGGATAATGACAAAACTGGAGATTATAACTTAAATTTCGCATCATATCTATTCATTATAAATTTAACTATTATATCTTATTTCATTTACAATAAAGTAATGACAAAAGTAGAGACTAAAATCTTACATTTTAAAAAAAAGGAATAAATGTTAACCACTTACCACACTTTTTCGTGTTAAAATTCCGTTGATCATAAACAACGAATTAAGTAGTGTTGGGTAAAACTAGCCACTTGCATATAAAGTAGGGATCCACTATTCTAACCAAAAAACTTAAGCTAAGAGGTAGAGCTTCAACTGTTAGAGTACATCCCACATCGGAAATCCAAGAGTAAAATTATCGGTATATAAGCTCTAGAGTTGAACTAACTAATCGATTGAATTCAATCTTTTAATGTGGTTCAACCCAAGTGTCTTATTGCCCAATCCAGTTATCTCTACCCAATCCTAAATTCTATCATGGTATCAAAGCTAGCCCACCTCGTTTATCAAAGTGTCCGTCTAGACGTTCATTCCTAGCGGCCCGTTAGTCTTTAGCCCAGTTGTCCGTATGGAGGTTGTACCCAACGGCCTGTGGCCTATTTAACACGATTGCTCGTCTGGAAGTCCATACCCAGCGGCTCGTGGTCCTTTAGGTGTTGGCGCTCATAAAAAAAGTCAAGGGAATGGGAGTTCATTTGCAAGTGGTCAACCGGTTAGATTCAAAATGGCCCGGTTGACCACTTGAGGGGGAGTGTTAGAGTACATCCCACATCGGAAATCGAAGAGTAAAATTATCGGTATATAAGCTCTAGAGTTGAACTAACTAATCGATTGGATTCAATCTTTTAATGTCGTTCAACCCAAGTGTCTTTTTGCCCAATCCAGTTATCTCTACCCAATCCTAAATTCTATCATCAACTTTCTATAACATCTTAATTTCTTATAGCAAGCCCACAGAACAAGCGTTGGTATCTCAATCTCTTATAGCCAACTCAATTCAACCCACGGACGGGTAGCTCATTTTCTTAAATCTACGTCCAAACAACCAGAAAGAATCGAGCCCAGGCCATACTTGCTCCGATACCATGTTAAAATTTTTGTGAGTCGAGAACAACGAGTAGAGTATCGAGTAAAATTATCTACTTAATTACATATAGAGTCGGGATCTACTCTTCTAACAAAAAAAAACTTAAACTAATAGGTAGACTTTGAACCTTTATACACCCTCCGTCCCGTGAAACCTTTCCCCTTTCTTTTTTTATCCGTCTCACAAAACACTTCTCATTTTTATTAAAAAATCACTTTTACCCCTTACTTTTTCATACCCTAACTATCACATCATACCTTTTTACTAATAATCTATCCATCAAATCAGACTTTTATCCATCACATCAAAGGACATTTTTGAAAATTCAATATCAAAATACACTCCCTTAAAATCCCTCCTAAAAAGCAAATGTCTCATGTTTCACGGGACGGAGGGAGTATATTTTTTTTGAAGGAATTCAACCTTTATATATGTTAGAGATTAATTTTTTTAAAAATTTTTTATTTTTCGCTGTGATAAGTCCAACATTTGGGAGCCCTTAGAAAATCAAACCGAGAATGGGGAGTGTATATAACATGCATATATATGAATTGGGGGGGCCTAAAGGTGTTGTAAAATATAGACAGGGAATTGAACACGCCATATGACGACAAGGCCACAAGACAAAAAAGGGGGTCCGTCCATGTTCAATGCCCCTAAAATATGGAACTTCAAAAGTTACTAGAGAGCATTATTATCGTCTGACAAAGAAGGGATCCCCATATATCACCAAAGAAATGAAAATGGTTCCAGGCCAGTTGGCTGCTGGTGATTTATTTGCTTTAATTTTGTTGTGTTCGTACATGCAGCTTCTTTATTTTATTTTTTACAAGGTGTGTCATATATATATTTCCTCGAAGATTCATTCGTTTGATCCGTAGTAAGCTAAGGTAGACACGTCCACGTGAATCTTTATTTGCTTGCTTTGTAAACAATCTTCACAATGCAAATGGCATGGCATGTTACCGGCCACGTCAATATATATATCTCATGCATGATGATGAGCTACGTACTATATATACGCAGGGGAAGCTTGACAAAGAACCATAATCATCAATAGCAACTGATCTTATCCAATACTACAAAGCTTGCTTTCATATTCATTCTTATACTTTTAGATACTCAGCTCATCAATTAATTACAAAGATAAAATGGGGATGATCATGAAGAGACTTGTAGGGATTTCAGAAGCAAAGAAGAAGCTAGCAAGGACGCTCTCTCCCAACAAGAAAGGGAGCATTAGGGCGATGAAAGACTACAAAGTCGCCGTCCCTAAGGGGCACTTTCCGGTATACGTCGGGGAGACGAGGCGGCGGTTCGTGGTTCCGGTAGATTACTTGGAGCATGCCTTGTTCCGGGATCTGTTGGAGTGGGCGGAGCAGGAGTTTGGGTACGAGCACCCCACCGGGGGACTCACTATCCCATGCACTGAGGACTACTTCTTGAGCCTCACGTCCCTCCTCATTAATTCCAAATAAAGATCCATACGTGGATTCGATAAGAAGATAGATAGATAGATATGGATTAGTGTGTATAGTGATAGCTAGACGCCGGCCTTGTATTAGCAATTGCTAGTAAACGTGTACGTTAGCGTTAACTACGTATTGTTACTCATGAATTCAAACAAAAGTTATCATGCATCTAGTTTGACTCAATATATATACAAATACTTGTCCTAAATAGCACTAAAACTTAAGTCATTTCTTTAAATAGCATTTTAAATTATTTTATTCCATAAATAGCTCTTAATAATGTCCAGTGATAGAAACATTTGCTTGAATAATGACTAATGGATAATGACTAAAAGTGCTACATTGGAGAAGAAATACATGTGATGCTATTTAGGGAAATTCATTACTCTCTCCGTCCACCTAAGATCTTCCCATTGCGCGTTACGAGGCTTGACCGACTTTATTTTCAATTCAATTTATTTGAATATGGGAATAAAATTTTAATATAAACTCTATATAGTAATAAACTACATGAAAAATTCTACAAAACTAGATGTGACAACACTATATTATTTTATGAAATGAGTAGTAAAAATAAACAAACAAAGTGAATTAAGTTTGACCCTGTGAATAGTGTCTGAGAAGATCTATGGTGAACAGAGGGAGTATATTTTAGTACTATTTACGAAAATTCCACATATAAATTCATAAAAAAATAATTTACATAAGTAGGACTAAAACATAATGACTTTCTCAATATAGGACCATATGTTTTTATTTCACAATGTAAGATTTTTGGTCATTATCAATTAGTCATTATTCAACTAAATGTCTATCATTATATTGGACATTATTCCTTCCACTATACATTATTAAGTCATTTTAAGGGAATAAAAAAGTTTTAAGTCCTACATTGGAAAATGACTTATACTCCATCTGTCTCATAAAGATTAGAACGGTTTGACTAAAGTGGTAAAATAAGGAGGGATACTTTTATGTTGACTTTCCAGAATATCCTTGATGTGATGGGTAAAAGTAGAATGTGATGTTAGATCATAAGGAAAAATGTATAATGTGATAGGTAGTGTATGAAAAAGTAAGGGTTAAAAGTGATTTTTTAATAGAAATGAGACGGACTTTAAGGGATGCAAATTTTTCGAAACGGAACTGACTTTATGGGACGGAGGGAGTATATGTTTTAGTGTCATTTGAGTAAATTCTCCGATCCTAAAAAGATTTCTAACAACTGATCAACATATGGGTGCAGCTAGACTAGGCGTACATTTGATTCGGATGTGAGGTATAGCATATGAAATGTGCATGGATTCCCATGTGATTAGACCTAGCTAGGGGGACTGCTTCAAACAAATTCAATAATTCTCCAAACTAAAGGGGATTTGCCCGCGAGTGGTTAATCAAGGCCAAGGCACAATCAATTATATTAATGCATGACACTTGCACGTACACTAGCCAACTAATTAATACACTTATCAATAATACTCCCTCCGTCTCCCAAAGATATTCTCATTTTGATTTTTGGTGGTTTTTAAGGAGAGTTGAAAAAAGGTGAAAGTTTACTATAATACCTTTAATGAAAAATGGGTGGAGTGTATTAAATGAGGTGGGTGAGGTGTAATAAATAAAGTAAGTGGGGGTAGTTGTAGTAGTTTAACTGTTAAAAAATGAAATGAGAAGATCTATTGTGGACATAGAAAAAGAGCTATTGGGAAAATCTATGAGAGACGGAGGGAGTACTTAAGTGCGCCTCCGTTGACATACACATCCACACGTACAGCTAAAACCCGCTAATACATTAATAATGAGATTACCGCGTGGACACGTGCATGCATGCTACCAAAACTCGATCTTGTTCACATATGCCCACACATGGATTTACTTTAATTATACCCCGATGATATAGTCTTTTTTTAGCATATTTTTAATTTATTAATCATTTAATAAAATAGTCATGCATTTGGAGGGGGCCGGGGTAAGGATGGGGGTAGGGGTAGGGGTGGAGTTAGGATTGGGGGTTTAGAAGTGGGTTAGGAGGATATGAACCATTAATTTTTCGATTGAAACACCTGAAGTGCTTCAAAAACTCAATGACACTGCTAGTGTTACCGTTGGGGAATGTCAATGGAAATGTGCCTTTATTATTTATATACTCTCTCCGTCTTAAAACGTTCTCCTAGTCATTATTCACACAGTCCAGCTTTTATTTTTTTTATTTTACATCTACAATCAAATAAATTGAATTGAAAATAAAGTCAATCAAATCTCATAAACAAAAACGAGAAGAACATTTTAATAAGGAGGGAGTAGTTATTTTTGTGCATATTATAATATACTACCCATTTCTATTAAAAAAACCACTTTTATCCTTTACTTTTTCAAACCCTACTTATCACATCATACTTTTTTCCTAATAATCTACACATCACATCCTACTTTTACCCATCACATCAAGGGTATTTTTGGAAATTCAACACAAAATTATCTCTCCCTTAATTTCAACTTTAGTCAAAACGTGTAAATCTTTTTGCGACGGAGGTAGTATTACTCAATTAATAAAATAATGTTGTTATTATGTCAATTTTTGTATGAAGTACGGAGTATAACGTAGCTTTTGATATACTCGGAATCGTTTTCTAAATTATATAGTGTAAATTTAATTTTGACTCGAATATCAAAAATAAATTGTACTAACAATAGCACTTGGGATGATATCACTAATTCACTACTCTCTCGATTTTTTACCAACAATTACCGTACGTGAAAAATATAAGCAGATGGTAATTGGTATCCACATGGGATAAAGTGGCAAAATATCCCGCAAATGTATGGTGGTGTACGTATAATTTAACATGTATAGTTGAAACGGGTCCTAAAGGTTATATAGAGGAGAGACACAAAATAAAGACTGCCTCCACACTAGACAAAAAACATGTCTAAGTTCAATGACACAAAAAATTGAAGTAAAAAAAAAAAAGATGGAGTCTCTTTGATCTGATGTGACCAAGTGATCCTACGTATATGGAGGGAAATGCTTAACCAGTCGGCTGGTGGGTGGTTTGTTCTGTTCGTACACCTTTATTTTATTTCATTTGGGACGTACAAAAATTGTGCTTTATTTCCCCGAACTTTCGTCTACTACCCATATATACAAACAATATTACGTATTACCAAGACACATCCACGTGACACTTTATTTAATTTGCTTTTCCAATTATAATCTGATTCACACCTGGCATATTATATGCATGCATACGTAGAAAGTGTCTCTCTCTATATATAGGGGAGGAAGCTTGGCAAAGGGTCATCATCAACACATCATCATCATCACAATCTACTTGAAAGCTTTCTTTGATATATTCATTCATATCCATATACATAAAATGGGGATTATCATGAGACTTGTTGGGATTTCCGAAGCAAAGAAGAAGCTCGCAAGGACGCTATCTCCCAAGAAAGGGAGCATTAGGGCGACGAAAGACGACAAAGTCGCCGTCCCAAAGGGGCACTTTCCGGTATACGTCGGGGAAGCGAGGCGGCGGTTTGTGGTTCCGATGGAGTACTTGGAGCACGCCTTGTTTCAGGATCTGTTGGAGTGGGCGGAGCAGGAGTTTGGGTACGAGCACCCTACCGGAGGACTCACTATCCCATGCACTGAAGACTACTTCTTGAGCCTCACTTCCCTCCTCATGAAATCCAAATGAATCTTCGAGGATAAATTTAGTGGGAAAGCTAGCTAGCTAGGGTTAGAGATAGAGTACGTAGTTTTGTGTAACGACAGAAGTCGGACATTATTTTTGCCATTATGCATGCATGCATGCATGTTGTATGCATCTTTGCTAAAATAATTTCACGTAGTGATTAGTTCTGACTACTAAATGTTAACTCGAAGAACTGTGTGTACGCACTATTGACAATCATCAAGAAATCATGATAATCACTTTGTTCTTGACAGTTTTACTCCTTCCTTAATTTAATTTTGTAACATCTTGTTTTTTACATCCACGCTCAAAGAAATTAAATTGAAAACAAAGTTCGTCAATTCTCGTAGTGAGAAGATTTACGAGAGATAGAGGGGTATGAATTTTATTTAATCAATAGTTAATTTTTTTAAATATAACTTCAAGCATTGAACACTACTAGACAAATACTCTAAAATTAATGCATGGATGTAGCAATGCTCTCTGGTTAAGCAATGAAGGGGAACCCAAAACTCAGTGGCGGAGCCAAGTAGAGACCTGTGACTGTCATAATTAATACCAAGCCATTCTAACAAAAAAAGATTGTAGAATCCTTATAAACCGAGATAGAAAACCTGCAGATTCAAAACCTTATCATAAAAAGTGGTGCTTTTGAAGTTCAACCGTCTTCTTGAATCGTCCGTCTTCTTTGCCCCTGACTTTGTCATCTTCTGCTTGCTCCAAGCCCAATCGTCTCTTAGCGAATTAATTTTTTGCCCCCCATAGTCTGAACTTCCTCGCTCTGCCACTGCCAAAAGTATTTCTCGTATAAAAAACTTTCTCTCTTTCAAAATAGAATTTGATATGATGTCAAAAACTCTAAGAAAAATATTTTGAAATTTAAAAACTATAGAGTATGTATACTTAGAATAAATGATGTGATCTATGCATTTCTTTACTCTCTTTAACTTTTTTATATAGGGTAACAAAAATAAGTACCAAGTATAATCCATGCATTTGCGAAAAAAATACTCCCTCTGTCCCTTAAAAAACTTCTCATTTTGACTTTTAAATAATTTAAGGGGAATATATATATTTTGGTGTTGACTTTCTAAAAATACTCTTTGATGTGATGGATAAAGTAGGATGTGATGAGTAGATTAATAGAGAAAAAGTGCGATGTGATATGTAGGTTAGGAATTAATAGGGGTAAAAGTGACTTTTTAATAGAAAAAGAGAAATATTTTTTTGGGACGGATGGAAAAAGAAAGAGAAATGGTTTTGTGGGACGAAGAGAGTATATATTATTCTGTTTCAAAAAGATTTCCCTCTTTGATTTTTCAATTTTCCATTATTTTTTAATTTGGCCCAAATAAACATAAATGTGTTTGCTTTTTTCTAAATCTAACCTAACTTACTCTAACCTCCCACTACTCCCTCCCCAGTCCCCATTGACATTTCTCAAATTCCTCTCCTTGCAATTGTAATTGTTTCTCCTTCTTCAAACATTTGTAGCTTTGTTCCAAAGGTTAGCTACAAAAGTTTTGCGAGAACTGAGAAGGTACAGTCTAAACGTATGGAATTCCCAAAAGTGTTAAAATTAAATAAGTTTAGGTGAAGATATTTAGAGAGTATTTTAAAAGCATAAACGTTTTTTTACAAAGGGAATGAGTGAACTACAAATAAAACTTGAGACATTTTTCTAAATAACACTTAAACTGTTTTATTCCCTAAGTAGCATTTAATAATATCCAGTGATGACGAATATTTACTTGAGTAATGACTAATGTATAATGATTAAAAATGTTACATTGGGAAGAAAAACGCATGTAGTGCTATTTAATGAAAGTCATTATGTTTTAGTGCTATTTAAGTAAATTTCTCTTAATTTAATAGCGATAAAAGGAAAATCTATTTAGCACATACGGAGTACTCCGTATCATTGAATAGTTCCACCGTGGCCAGCAAGGGGAGAGGGTGGGAAGATGGCTCCAGTCGGGTGGTGAGTGGCTTGTTTCGTTTGTACAAATTTAATTATTAATATATTGGGTCGTACAAGTTTGTGGCATGTTCCCCCTAAAGCCTGCGATACCTGTAGGCCATCCGTCCATTTTATAAACTCCCCCCTATATTGTCACTTTAAAAAAAATGTATGTTTTTTTTATCATCAAATTATAATATAAATTCAACATAAATAAGTTCATCTTATTATATAATTTTGATATATCAAATTTCAAAATAATAATTCATTTATATTATATTTAATTTATGGTCAAAGAGTATCAAAATTTACTTAAAAAAATTCATACATGAAGAATTTTTAGGAGCGGATAAGTGTCTTGATATATATTGATTTTTTTTAAAAAAAATCTTGAAATATATTGTGTGCGCGAGCTAAGTCATAGCTAGCTTGAATTCCATATACGGCGGCTGGGGATAGACTATACATCGCCATGTGAACCTTTATTTTGCTAATCCCTTATGGACCCTAACATGTTTCCTGCAATTTCATATGATCTGATCTATAATGATCCACTTCCCATTAGCTAGCTAGCACACTCCAATTATATATATATATATATATATATATATATATATATATATATTCATGGGTCTATATATATATATATATATATATATATATATAGAGCGAGCTAAGCAAAGATAAAACCACTATATTCCATCATATATATATTACGTACGAAATATATTTACTAATTCAACGTAATAGAAATGGGGATGATGAAGAGACTAGTTGGGATTTCAGAAGCAAAGAAGAAGCTGGAAAGGACTCTCTCTCCCAGGGAAGATGAAGTAGTTGCCGTCCCTAAGGGCCACTTTCCGGTATACGTCGGGGAGGCGAGGCGGCGGTTCGTGGTTCCGATAGAGTACTTGGGGCATGCACTGTTCCGGGATCTGTTGGAGTGGACGGGGCAAGAGTTTGGGTACGAGCACCCCACCGGCGGACTCACTATCCCATGCACTGAGGACTACTTCTTGAGCCTCACTTCCCTCCTCCTCAACTCCAAATGAATATCATCATGCATGCATGCATGGACACTAGATAGATGCGACGACGACGTACGTAGCTTAGCCTGTTTGTACGTAGTAGGAATTCATTCATTAATTAATCAAAATATCTTTTTATTCTTGAAGAACTTTATTTTTTGCCATGCATTATTGCAATGTGTGTGGCTAAGAATCATATGTAAGACTCAATATATTGTTGATTGTTTTTGGGAATATTAATTAAGATTTTTTCTTAATGAGATTAGTTTTATTTAATCCAAGCAAGAATATTTATACTCAGCTCGTTGAAGATAAAAACTTAATGAAAAAATTATTATTAACTAGAAAAAAATTAGTAAAATTTGCACTAAATAGGACTGAAACATAATGACTTTCCCAATGTAGGACTTAAAATTTTTTTATTCCCTAAATAGGACTTAATAATGATGGACATTTACTTGAATAATGACTACTTGATAATGACAAAAAGTCCTACATTGGGAAATAAAAACATATGGTCATATATTGGGAAAGTCATTATGTTTTAGTCCTATTTAGGTAAATTTCTCAAAAATTTATAAGTGTTTGTTCATTCAGTAAGGATCTTTAGATCTTTGAACCACAAGTCATATTATGACTCGAGTCTTTTACGGTGCTCCAAGCGTAAAATTGATGGTTCTAATCCTCGCCTTAAACCCTATCCCAACCCACTGCACCCCAGCACTCTCCTGTCCCCCGGTGCGGGGGTGGGGTGGGGTGGGCAGGTAAGAGGCAGGAGGATAAGGTTTAGGGGGGTTAAAGAGGTAACAACCATCAAATTTCTTCCCCTAGACCAATTTTCTATTTCTAAACATTAAAGTAACATGGAAACAAAAAATAAATAGGCATGGCCCAATGTTTGATGGGCTTAATAGTAAGGCCTGAATTTATCAGGGAAAGTATATTATCATTCCATGGAAGAAACTTGCACCAGCCCAACGAAACAAAACAAGATATTCCGTACTGATATTCCGTACTCCTATTTCAGATTACGAAATATATTCTGCGTTCAGAGTCTTGTTTATTTTACCTATTTAATAGTGAAATTTGCATAAATAATACTCTCTCCGTTTCACAAAATTCTTTCCTTTTCATTTTTTTCACAATCAAACATTCTGACCAAATTGTTCTTGTATTAATATGTAGAGTGATGATTCCGTGCACCCAAGGTCTACGCCAAATTTTTGGATCTTCTCACATTAATTGTTGGAATTATAAGCTAATGTTGAAAATACATGTTTCACCCAAATTAATTCTAATCCTAATTATAACCATAATCCTAATCTTAGTCGCAATCATAATCATAATTCGAATTCTAATATTAATACTAATACTAATATTAAAAAGGGTAATTTACCTAAATAGGACTAAAATATAATGATTTTCTCAATATAGGACCATATGTTTTTATTTTTCCAATATAGGATCATTGATCATTATATATTAGTCATTATTCAACTAAATGTCCAGCATCACTTGGATATTATTTTTCTCACTGGTTATTATTAAGTCCTATTTAGGGAATAAAAAAGTTTAAGTTCTATATTAAAAAATGACTTATGTTTTAGTACTATTCAGTACAAATTTCACTATTTATTAAAAAGTCCACATCGACAAGGTCTGATTACATTCTACACGGGTCTGGGATGGGCTTGATGCCCAAGGGTGGTTTCCCTCACTTGGAAAAAACACAAACATTAATTCCTCAAGTGGAATCCCAAATTCCCCACTTGGAAAATCGCATGTACTACATGCAAAAGTATTTTTTTAATTTTTTTTTAAAATGTCCAATCTCAAGTTCAATTATCCACCCCTTCTCATTCTTATTCCATACTCCCTCCCTCCCAATTTATTTGCAACACTTCGAACAACGTGCAAAATATCATCTCTTTTAAAATCACTTTAATTTCAAATTAGTAGAGTAATAAAAAGTAAAAATTAAACCATTCAAAAGTATATGAAAAGTTCTACAAAACAAGATGCGACAAGAATATTTTATTTTATCAAATGGTCAACCAAAATGAGTAAACAAACAAAAGTTGTCGAGGGGCCAGAATAGTAACGGTGGCATTCTTTCTGGGACGGAGAAAGTACAAAATTCTTACTCCCTTTGTTCTTGAAAAGTGATTCCTAGTTTGACTAAGTGTAAAAATAAAAAAGTGTCAAATTGTAATTGACTTTCAATTTTGTATTTTGTGTGATAGATAAGTTAATAGAGAAAAAGTATGATGTTAAAGATGGGATGTGAAACAATAAGGATAAAAATGGTTTTTTAATAACAATAGAAGTGTTTTGTTGGAAATAGAAAAAATAAAGGGGGAAATATTTTTTAGAACGGAGGAACATTCCCTTGAATAATAACTAAGAGATATTTATACTAAATAGCACTAAAACGTTAGTCCTTTCCCTAAGTAGCACTAAAACGTTAGAGAAAAACCAAGGGCAGAAATGTCATTTCATATCTAAAATAGGAAAGAAGGGGTGTCTGTGCATTATTTAAAAACCATAGTAGTTTTACAAATAACTTTTGAAAGTATAGAGAGTTTTGGCGCTCTTTTTGTAAACCACGAGAGACATCCATGTTATTACCGCATTATATATAGTAGTCTTTGTAGTTCAGTTTAGCTTCCTATTCCTAATTATGGTAGTTATAGTATTTTACTCCCTTCGTCCCAATTTAAATCGCATGTTTTGACTTTTAGGCATATTTAAGGAAAATAAAAATAGAGTTGATTTTCTGAAATTGACATTACTTTTTAGAAGGGATGATGATGAATGAGAAGATAAGGTGAAGAAGAGTGACTTATTTTAAGGGTAATTTAGGTATTTTATTTTTAAAAATTTACGAAAACAACTAACATGCAATTTATTTTGGGACGGAGAAAAAAGGCAATCAGACAATTTAAAATGAGACAGAGGGAGCAGTAAGTTTTCATTTCTTATTTTTAATTGTCTTAGGAAGATAGTTGCCAATCAAGTACAAAATAAAATTTTAAAAAAAAATTGCATGTGTTACATGCGAAATGGGTTTAAAAAGGATTTGCATGTTCTACATGCGAAAGTGGAGTTGAGGAAATTACTTTCCAACTTTTTCCCACTGAGGGAATTCCTCCGATGCCCAACACCTCGCTACAATCAGCTAACTGTTTTATTATTGATTGAGGCGACCCATCTATCCTACCCGGAGTATAACCCATTTGAGAGAAATCCGCTAACGTGTGAGTTGGTCTCAAGGCCCAAATTCAAATAGCTCCCAAAATACCGGACCATAACCACCAAGCTCATGTACCATATAAACCCCTTTCGTTGAAATTTAAGAAAAAAAACGAAAAGGGACTGAAATATACTCTAAGTATAAAATTAAAAAAAAGATCTTATCTCCAAAATAGAATATACAATATCAATAATTAAAACATTAGATGCCAAAAAAGTCATGAAGTACCCATATAAAGAATTGCATTGTGACTCTGCAATACTCATATAAGGTACTCCCTCCGTCCCATAAAATGTTACCCATTTTGTCTAAAGTTGAAATTAAGGGAGGGATAATTTTGTGTTGACTTTCCAAAAATACCCTTGATGTGATGGGTAAAAGTAGGATGTGATGTGTAGATTATTAGGGAAAAGGTATGATGTGATATGTACGGTTTGAAAAAGCAAGGGATAAAAGTGGTTTTTTAATAGAAATGAGTAAGAGATTGTGGGACACAATATTTTTGAAAGTTGTAAATCTTTTTGGGACGAAGGGAGTATCACATTTATGCTACAAAACAAGGAGTGAGAAAAATATTTTATTTTATCGATTAATGAAAATACACAACTAAATAAAATTTCTTATGATTTTTGAATAATAAAAAGTGTAATTTTTGTAAGGAGTGTATTATAACAAAAAAAAACAAACTAACCAAACTTAAAATTCACCGCCCATTGTCTTCCACGATGAGCTAATATCCATCATATGTCATACACTCCGTGTGATTGAAAGAAATGGTTAAAAATGGATGGCACGGGCCGGTTTATTAGTGCAAATTAAAACTATGGGCTCTTTCAAAAACTCAAATTATTACAGAGTACAAAAAACTAACCAAAGGATTTTTCCAGCAGCAACTTGCGGTACACCGCCGTGCTGGTAAGGGAACAATTTCAGAATTTGTGCGGGGGCTCAACCACGTGTATAATTAACATATTGTAGTTTCATCTTGAAATAATTTACTCATTTTAATTTTCTCATTATTGTATAATTAATATTTTAGGAATATTAAATACCTCATCCTTCTCTAAAAAAATGTTTCTGTATTCTATTTCTTGCACATCTCATAAAATATTTATATTGTATTTCATATGCCTAAAGTACCTTCAAAACAATTTCTACTCATAATAAATGAGAAATGGAAGGGATTTTAAACATTATAATCCCTCCGTCCATGGCGTCCCATATCTTTCTACACGTAGCGCAAAATGCTCAAAAAACTTCAAGTTTTTTCAATCTATGTTATTTAAATATTGGTACAAAAATTAAAAATAAATATTACATATTTAAAAACTAAAACTATAATGCACTGTGAAGAAAGATATGAGACGAAAGAGATATGTGGTAGAAGTGTTTTACAAGATGTGCAAAAAAATAAAACAGGAATAAATTTTAAGGATGGATGAAGTAATATACTACCTCTGTTTCTCAAAAGAGTTCCTCTTTTGACTTTGGGAGAAAATAAGGAAGTGTTAAATTGTAGTTGATTTTCCAATTTTGTCCTTGATGTGATGGGTAAAAGTAAGATGTGATAGTTTAGTTGTTAGTGAAAAAGTATGATGTGATATGTAGAGTATGAAAAAGTAGGGGTAAAAGTGGTTTTTTAATAGAAAGGAGAAGTGTTTTAAGAAAAACAAAAAAAATGAAAGAGGAAAGGTTTTAAGAAACGGAGAGAGTATTAAAAAGACGTAGAATGTAGAGTAGAGGAGACCTATACGAATTAAACTTTAGGAGAAAAAGTACTCCTTCCATCCCCAAAACCTTTTTTATCCAACCCAAAGAATACTCATACTTCAATTAAGATCTCCCTTTTACCCCCTACTAATTATTACTCCTTCCCTTCCAATTTATATCGTCTATTTCGATTTACGATATTTGACTGAAATTATTTGCAAATTATTTTATATGAAAAACAGTATAGAATTATACCATTACAAAGGGTTGGGATAAGGGCGTACATGGTCCCAACACACCTGAATTGGAATATGCATAACGAAGGTGAATTGAAATAACGGATGGAGAGATGAATTGAGTGGAGTTACATATGTAATCGGTGAAACCGTTTAGAGAAATCCAGGAATCGCAAGGACGGGGGGCGAGACTACTACGGGGGTTCGGGGGAAGCGCTTCTATTTTTTCATTAAAATAGCAATGTGAACTTACAAAAAAATATTATTTTTACCCAATAACGCATTCAAATAATTAATGAAAAATCTAAAAAATATTTCCTATAATTTTATTTGCTCTAAATAATTTTAAATTTTGGCTCAATTAAATTTTAAATATTTTATTTTTTAATGGTATATATTTAATTTTTTACTTAAAATTTATTTTTATTATGGGAATTTTATTTTTTTCAATGGGGGCATAACTTTTTTTAAAAGAAAAATTAGGGTATTACTATAGCAAATTTTGAAATTCATTGGGGGCAATTGCCCCCTTTAGCTTATACCTAGATCCGCCCATGGAGAAATATGAGGGCTCAGTGCGTTAGAGGGAGAAGGTACCATGAAACGAGACACTATTATACCAATTCGGGGTTGGGGTGAGGGTACGGTGCACATGATCCCAACACACGTGATTTGGAAGATACATGACTAAGCTGAATTGAAGTAACGAATCGAGAGACAAAATGAGTGGAGAAATACATTTTACTTTGGCTTTATTTGGGAAAAACGTTTTCGATTATCGTTAGCGTTTTGGATAAAATTTTAATAGTGTAGGTTAATTATGAAAATGCTAATGCTAAAAACTATCGTTACATAGCCTTTTCAAAATGTTAATCTCTAACGCTGATGCCAAACGTGTCTTTTGTATTGATCAGTTGAGACTTGAGACTATAAATATATATATATACTTCTCATAAGATAATTATTCAGATCAAATATTAAGTGACCCTATGATGGAATTCTTTAATATATTGGAGTAAATAATGTAGGCCGGTCCAAGGATGGATCAAGGTGCCCTACCGTCCAGATCCATTTTTTGTGGGGGGGGGGGGATATTTTTAAATTTTACTACATTATATTTTGTTAATAGAAAATTTTAAAACATATTTTTAAGATAGCTATTACGATATTTAATTATAGTACTTCCTCCGGTCCTTCAAATTTGTCAAGCTTTGACTTTTTTTGGTCAAAAAGTGACACACTTTGACCATAAATTTAACATAATCTAAATAAAAATTGATATAAAAATTTGATATATCTAAACTATATCTTAAAATAATTCCAGTTCTATTAAGTTTATATTATAATGATACGGTATCGTATCAGGATAGGGAAGAATTTCGAGCACCTTCGAGCTCCAAGAACAAAAGAGGTGAGAAAGAGAGAGATTAAGGTTTAGTAGAAAGTATTTTCTTTATTCATTCATTGATAATATTATGGTGATGGATACATTTATAGGCTCCAACTCTAGAGAATCTCAATAATAAATGGTAACTAAATAAATTAAGAATCCTAATTATAAAGGTAACTAAATAAACTAGAAAACTAAATAATCACCTAACAAATATATTATTCCCTAACAATAAATAACTAACTATAAATAATTCCTTACCATAATAATAATAATAATAATAATAATAATAATAGTAATAATAATAATAAGTCCCGTAACTGTTACAGACCAAACGGAAGAACTCAACCCAAAAGACTAGTCTNCCTTGCAATGGTTTCAGTCCATAACATTCGCCCCTCCTTAAGGACCAACGTCCTCGTTGGTCACGGCCACGTTGGTCACGGCTGGCTCTTTCCTGGCCACCACTCCGAGGTTGGCTCTGATACCATTGTTACAGACCAAACGGAAGAACTCAACCCAAAAGACTAGTCTGATAGGTGAGGGAACTCATTTGGCCTATAAACCCCACATCAATTGCCCATACAACCGATGTGGGACAAATCCCATACCTTGCAATGGTTTCAGTCCAATAATGAAATACTTTTAGACTAATAGACTAATAGCTCAATAATAATGTGATTAGAGGACGGTATAGGAGTTGATCAAAACCAGGTGCTATACAGTCGCAGTATATAGCTCACTAAATTTTAAATCCATCAAAAAACATGCCACATTATTAATAAGTTAAAGTTGATGCATTCATACAAGTTGGGAACTTTTAATTAATTAGCATCTTTATATTAATTAATTAATGCACACAATCTGCGTCCACTGTCGTGCTCGTAAGGGTGAAACGTGGTCCAACTGACCCCCAAACCATTTTATATACACATATTTATATTAAGCACTCTACTGCATATTATTACTCCATATATATAAATTGTCATTATTTATTGAAATCGATATAGATTATTACTATCCATCACGTTATAAACATCATGGTCTACATGAGTTAGTTATCTTTTGCCTCTAGAGGTACTCCAAGCAGTGTATTCTATTTGTACAACAAATATTCACAGAAGACATACACAGACAATCAATGTTTGTACATGGACAGACGTACAGTGTCCGTGTGTGTCTGTGATTCTGTGAAACCTTTGGTGTAAAAATGAGGTACACCACATGAGGGTATCCATAGAATTCTTTATTGGAAGAAGACAATGCTAGGGGTATCCGAAGTAGTAGTGTACCTCGATCATTTTGCACCAAAAGACTCGTAAACAAACACAGATACTTAATGTTTGTATATGTATAGATACTCGGAATCGAAGTGACTCAAACCAATTATAACATATCCGGAGTATATTGGAAAGATATCCGAACCGATTGGCTCGATTGCCACGAGAGGAAGTATATAAAGTGGCAATCAAGCAAGCGCGCTAAGCTCCAATAATCAAGCAAACTGTCTGGCAAGTAGCATGGAATTAAATTATCACCCCCCATAACTCATCATATAATATCATATACTACTCCCGTATTTTTTAAATTAATACGAGAAAATTAATTTTGTTTTTTTTTGAAATAATTGACCAGTAAGTTCCAAATTCCGGAGTCCGCAAGTTGCTACAAAAAATGCTATATAGAACGTGGACAAAGGAAAGGGTTAACCTATGCCGTACGAAAAATTTATCTTAAATAGAATTAAAATATAAGTCATGTCCTAATGTAGGACTTAAATTTTTTTGTTCTCTAAATAAGATTTAATAATGTCTAGTGGAAGAAATACTGTCCAGTGATGATGGATATTTACTTGAATAATGACTAATGAATAATTGCCAATGGTCTTCCAATATATATTGGAAAATAAAAATATATGGTCATATATTAAAAAAGTCAATATGCTTTAGTCCTAGTTAGGTAAATTACTCATGGCGGTGTAACTTGGAAGATTTTCTTTTTTGGAGCTAAAACAAAGTAATTAACCGTTGCAAATAATACCCAGTACAAAGGGTGAGGATACAGGACCATGTCCCGACACTTAATGCAATTTATATGGTGCAACTCGATGTACCGTACACCATGACAAATTTGTAAGTAAAAAATATTTCAGAATGAATGATTCGTTATTTTAGTATATGAACATTAAGTTATTTTAGAATCAACACAATATGCTGAGCAGGCTTGGAATGAACACTACGTTGCTTCAGAATGAATATTACTCCGTACATTGATTCAAAATGAACATTTGTTAGATGTAATTTAACTCTAGATACATCCAGATGTACAATATAGACTCTGGACGAGGGAACCAATCCCTATATATACGTGACTACACACGCCAAATTATCGCAAAAGCTACCAGCTAAGATATTTTGAAGCAAATCCATCAGATCAGATCACAAGTATTCAAAAAAAAATATGGAAATATAATTGGATTTAATGAATTCCAATAATTGAAGATCATATCAGAGCATGGGGATTATGGGAACAATCCGTTTGCAGGCGATAGCGGGCCACGCCAGGCATGTATTTCTGCTGGGGTCCAGAAAGTCTTCGTCGGAGGCGGCGGCGGTGCCGAAGGGGCACATGGCGGTGTACGTAGGGGGGAGGACGGAGGAGAAGAAGCGGCGGTACGTGGTTCCGATATGGTACCTGAAGCATCCGCTGTTCCAACGGCTGCTCCGCCTCGCCGAGGAGGAGTACGGGTTTGACCACCCAATGGGAGGCCTCACCATCCCCTGCACCCAGTCTGCTTTCTCGACCGTCACTTCCGCCATCCTTTTCCAATGTCCGCCGCCGCCTGCCCGCCGGAGATCGGGATCATCTTAATAATACATATGGATTATGATCACCATCGGCATTAATTAAGCTAGCTAGTTAATTTGCATGCAAATATAATCACTAATTGTACTTCTCTTTTTTTTATTCTAAATGAAATCTTATTGTAGCCATAGCTTAGCTTAGCTAGCTAGTACATGGTCCTCGACTCCCCGTACCTAAATAATACTCTCCCTCCAATAAATCTTTCTCGTTTGAAAAAAATGTGTCATTAAAATAAATAATTTTGATGTTATTTTTTAATTATGACTGATTTATATATTCTACATATCTCATTCTACTCTATAGAATAAGGATAAAATTAAAAAATAATACCAAAATTACTCATTTTAAGAATGCATCTTTTTTCAAATAAGAAAAGTTTTATAGAATGGAGGGACTATAATTATTGCGAAAAATAAAATTCCTCAGAGTTTGAATTTTAACATTAGTTAATTGAATTTTTGAAAAGCTAACACTTCAAAATTACTAAAACCCCAGACAGAAATTTGATGTAATGCAATTTGTGAAGGTTTTCATTGCATTTTTTTCTTTTTGTTTTTTTATAAACTAAATACTACTCCATATCAGTTCAAGCAAAAAATTCTTTCCAATTGATGAATCATATCTGGTTTCTTAATCAATCCATTGATGAATCTGACCGGCCTTTACGATTGATGAATGAAGTTTCTTGATGAATTGAATTAGACCCTAGTGTTTCCTTTGATGATCTACCACCTAAAATAGTTAGGGGTAAAATTGGTAACTCAAGATCATGACGTTGTTTTGCTCCTTGAACGCTAGGGGGGTGCAGCGTTGAGCTTTTAGAGTTGAGAAAAAAATCGGAAGAGATATAACAGCATCTTCATGCTTCTCAATTGACGGTAAACAAACACTTCAATTTGAGATGATGAACAGCGTTTGACCATAGAAACGCCTTCCCCAAACATGACCAAAATTAAAATATAATGTGAAAATTGTACTTCGATTCCTCCATTCATAAATCATTTACTCTTTACACAAAACAGAATAAAATTTTAAATTTTTTCAATTCGTTAAAGATTGATATTTAATTAAAAGTAAAACTTACATATTTAAAAAGTAATTAAAAATTTTATAAATAAGAGGTGACAAAAATATTTAATGAGAAATGCTAGTTTCACAAACAAAATAATTACAAATATCACAAATTTATCATTTGTGAAATATAATAAACAAACAAAAGAGTCTAAAATAATTTTAAAAACAGAATTAAGATCACAAATGGTAAGTTTGTAAAATTTGTGACTATTTTGTTTGTGAACCTAGCATTGCTCATTTTTTATTTCATCAAATAGCCAATAAAAAAAGATAAACAAACAAAAGTTCCCATAATTATTTTTGAACAATAAATTGTGTAAATCATTTCGGGACGGAAGGAGTATGTTTTTAGAGCACACGTTTTTTAAAAATTATAATTACACTGTAGCGGTATTGGGTATTCAAATACACGGAAAATAAAAGTTATTTAGGAGAAATACTCAGTGATTAAATAAAAGTGAACATGCTAGTAAATCTCATTGATAATTATCTAAAAACGACTATTTGAATTTCTATTTAACTCATTTTTCCATTAAACTCACGTTCAATCATACAAAACAAATACTCTCTAATTAGATTTTCAAGTGAAATATGATACGGGAGTGTAAAAACACTAAAACTATACTTTTATAGATAAATAAGACCTTAGTTTGAGAACAATAGATAAATAAGACCTTATAGATAAATAAGACCTTAGTTTAAGATGAAATTTTAAAAATAGAGATAAATTTTGAAAATGCTAAAATTAAAGGCGTAGTTTGAGAATATCGTTAGAGCTTAGAGATAGATATTAGAGTTAGAATTTAGTTGTTTACATCAGAGCTAGTGATTAGCTGTTTGACTTTTTTTTGTTTGGCACTTAAATATTTAGAAAAGCTAATGCAGTGTAAATTACTAATATAAAATACACAATTGATCGTGTACTCTTATACTCCCACCGTCCCACAAAAAAGTTCCTATTTTGAATAGTATTTAGTCAAATATTTACACGCTTTGACTACAAATTATGAGAAATGTATATTGAATAATAAAATAAATGTAATATAATTAGATTCATCTTAGGATCTAGTTTTGATATCTCAAACTTTTTTAGCATTTCTTTATTTAGATTAAATTTAATTTATGGTCAAAGCGTGTAACTGTTTGACCAATTTATGGTCAAAATGGGAACTTTTTTGTGGGAGGGATGGAATATTTTAAAAGTTAGCTAATTTTAATATTCTTCCAGTAAATGTTGTTTCATTTGTTATTATATTTTTTAATTTTAGGTTAACAAGTTTTAAAAAAGTGGAACTTGTACTAAATAGGACTAAAACATAATGACTTTTCTAATGTAGGACTTAAACTTTTTTATTCCCTAAATAGGACTTAATAATGACCTAGTATGAAGAATAATGTCCAGTAATGATGGACATTTAGTTGAATAATGACTACTTGATAATGACCAAAGGTCCTACATTAGGAAATAAAAACATATGGTCCTATATTGGGAAAATCATTATGTTTTAGTCCTATTTAGGTAAATTTCTCAATAAAAAATTGTTTTTTTAGAGGAATTGTTAAGAAAAAAAATATTGTGAATAGTTTTAGATTAGAACAACATATTAATGGTTTAGCAGATTGTAAGAATTGAACATTATATTTTAAAAAAATTAAACTTATTAATAAGTCTGCATATGCATATTTGATTATGTTTTAAGAGACATCTTAACTTAGATTTAAATACTAATTAGAGCCCAATTGTGTATTATTCATCATATTCTTAATTATGGACTGATTTATGTAATCTGATTGATTTTAGAGTCCATATTCAAGTGTGAGGATGAATTTCAAGAAACTTTAAAGAGTTGGGGCCAATCTATGATTACGAAACTTTTATTCTAATAATCTAATTTGAAGAGTGATATGTTTTTCTGTGGTAAATTTCAAAAGAGGAGGAAGAGAAGGAAGATCCAACCAGATCAGATTCAATCAAATCAGATTGAATTAGACCAGACCAGACCAAATCAGATTAAAATTTTAAAAGATCCGATAAGTGAGCGGAACTCAACGTGAATTGTATTATCTCCAATGCATGGTCCCTACTTTATCAAGTCCCACTTAAATTAGCATAGTGATAATAATGAAAAAGGAGAGGATGGCTTTTGAGCTTTGTATATCAAAGCTATAGTATTAGGCCGTTTTGGCACAACCAAAATGACTTTTGGCAAATCGAAGAAGCATTGGCATTACATCACACACGTATGAAATTGGAACTGCGCAAATGGACACGTGTCGATCACTGGTAGCTCGAGTCAAAGTTAAAGACGAATTCGGACTCAAACCGCCGCCTCTATTTCTCCATTATCGGGCGTTTAAAAAGGGGCAAGGGCGTCACGGGAAGTCGGAGAAAGGGAAGAAGAAGAAGAGCGCGAAAAGTGTGAAGATGATGAAAAAGAAAGGGCGGGAGGGAGAGGTGGTGGTGGACGGGTCGGATATAATGAAGTTGGTTGGGAATGAGGAGGTGTTCACGAGCTTCGTGGATCACAAGTTTCAAGAACTCGACAAAGACCGAGACGGGAAGCTCTCTGTCAAGGAACTCCAACCTGCCGTCGCTGATATCGGCGCCGCCCTTGGCTTGCCGGCTCTCGGCTCTTCTCCCAGCTCCGATCACATCTACTCTGAGGTGAACTCTTGATTCTCTGGTTCAATTTCTTGACGAAATCTTGGATTCCGGTAAGGAATCTTGAAGAAAGCTCGGGTTTTTGGCCATCAAGAAACACCTCTCTTTCACCCAACCCCCCCTACTCTGTTGGGCCTTTTAGAATCTTTTTTAATGGGTTCGTTTTGATTCATTCTAGTTGTGTTACTTTTGGTTTCACCTTTACGAAATCTCATAAATTATGATTAATTAATTGCTTAAACTGTGGGTATATTGTCGGTAGTGTTTGTTAAGTTTTGGACCCTTTCTTTCTAAAAGTGTTATTTTGTGAGTTGTGACAAGGACATGCATCCCTAGTGCTTCTATTAGTCAGATTATCACTCAATAAAGGATTTTGTCACACTGTTAATCAATGAAGTTTTGGTTGTTGGTGGCTCTACTTATTATTCTCTCCTGTGAATTAAGATGGGTAGTTATGTCAAACTGGTTGAAGGGGTGTCTATATATATATCTCTGTTTCACTGCATGACATTAGCAATCTCAATTATTTGTTTCATTATTTTAAGCATCTCTCGTGTTACTGATATGAGCACAGGTGCTTAATGAATTCACTCATGGAAAACAAGAGAAAGTAAGCAAGAAGGAGTTCAAAGAGGTTCTTGGGGATATTCTACTAGGCATGGCTACTGGTTTAGAGCGGGACCCTATTGTAATTCTTCGCATGGATGGCGAAGACCTTTTAGAGTTTGTAAACAATCCATCTTTTGAGTCTGAAATGGTTTCTATATTCTCCGAGATAGAATCACACGATGGGTCGCTGAAAGATCACATCATCCGTGCATTCGAGAAACTCACTGTTGATCAAGGCGTGCCTCCTGCCTCAGATACTTGGGTAATATCTTGTGTTCATTGACGGTTGCATGCCTTAGAATTTTAGACGATTTATTTTGTTCAGAAGTTAGTTTATCATTATTATGGATGATGGATGTATGGTTCTTTGGCAGGTAATGAGTAATATTGTGAGACCAGCTGTGGAGTCTTGTAGTACTGGCCAGGATACGGTCACGCAAGATGGTTTTGTGGTTGAATGTAAGAATGCTGCATTGATCATGGCTCAACGTCTGAAAGAGCAGCCTGTAATTGTAGCTCACAGTGAGAACACTTTTGATGGGAGTGGCATTAAGAGGCTGTTGTCCAACAAATATGAACTTGACAAGGTCAGTGTTTAGTTTCTAGCTAGAAGCATGTATGGATAAGTCGGTTGCTTTATGAATTTGTTAGCTTGACTAACTTAGTGTTCATTTGGCAACAACTTGAGTGTTTCGAAAGTTAATCTACACCATTAAAAATGAACTAAAACACTAAAAAGTTGTTCCTAAACAAGGCCTAAATTAATCTTTTTGACTTGTGCTATTGAAATCATGTCCTGCAGACTCTGGAGTCTGCTGTTAAAAATGTCCCTAAAGATCGCCATGGGAAGATGTCCAAGAATTACCTGCGTGTGACGCTTGATCTGCTGGCTGCTTCAGCTGGCCTCCCTCCCATTGGAGCAGTCGATGAGGTAGGTACATGGTTAACAGCAATAGTCGATTTGCTTCCTGCATGAACACAAATTAACCGGGTTAAAATTGGAGCTCCATTATGTCTCATATGATATTTTTTTGTTTTTGAGTGAATTCGTAGATGGACAAGATTATTGATAGAACAGTCAAAATGTTGGACGGCGATGATGGGAAGATGGTGAAAGATGAAGAGGAGTTCAAGAAACTACTGAGGGAGATACTGGGAGGTTTGATGGTGCATTTAGAAGGCAATGCTGTTTCGGTGTCAACCAACTCGGTCGTGCACGAACCGCTCACTTCTGCATCCACTCTCTTGGATCCTCCTTCCACATAATTTGCTGCTGCTGCTGCTGAGCTTGAAAACTGAGATCACAAAGATGACTCAGTTACTACTACTTACTACATGCCTTAGGATTTATGTTGTATATGTTGTTGTTGTTGACATGTTCTGCCTATAATATGGATAGTGGTTTACTTACTACTGATAGTTGTTGAGCAATGCATTAATCGGTATAAAAGAAATTCACTGAAAGCCCACCTTATAGAGGGCCAAGACAGCCAAAAACCTGAGAAATCAAAGGTTAATAAAGTTACTGATACATTCTCAAGTATTCCATACAAACCCTCACGTCCAGAAATTGAGAAATGGGAAATTCAGATAATAGATGAGCATACCCTTCTGTTGCAAGCTTTCTTTAGGATTTCCTTCCAAGTTCCAATTAAGGAGGTTATTCTGCTCTTTCAAATAATAGATGCTCTCCCATTTGCCCAATTTTGCCTTTCTCTAGAGGCTTATCATTAAATGAACTGTAATTTTCACATAAAAAGGTTAAAAATGTCATAGCATGGTAATTATTTACTTCATCGCATTATGTTACTCTTCCTCTGCTGTTACATGAGAAACAAACATCGCAATCTCCACATAAAACCGTGAAAAAAGCTTTAGAATGTCATACATATATTTTAACTTTGTTTATATGATAATTAAAGGCAATACAATTCCTTTCTACACACACACACACACAACTCTGCAATCTCTTAACATATACAATTCATATCTGACTTCAATTTTCATCGAATAATTACACAATCTCTCTTTCATAAAATTCATGTCACATACAATCATATAATTCTGCAAGATAGTTGATTTGCTGTTTGGGGTTCAGGCACCCGTGCAGGTAACACTATAACAATGTGGTCCATCAATAATCTCATCTAATTAGCTGCTAATGCTACTACCACTACAACTACTCAGTACTCATGCACACACATTATGCCTCCCTACTCGGTTTCTCATCTTTCTTCGTGTCACAAATTACACTACTTGAAGAAAACACTTGAACGCTATGAGACGATGAGCACAAACTAGAAGAACTTCCATCTGCAAGGCTGTTCTTCTCCATTGACCGTTTTCTAGTCCCCTTTTGTGCAGATGATGACACCTATGTAAAGTGGCATGTTTCATTATGTATCATTTTCTCAATCATAACGAGACTGTCACCTAGATGACCCTTAACCTGCTGCAGACATACAGCTTATAAAAAAATTGTCACTAACCTGTTCGGATGTGGATCCAGGTGTCTTGAGCTCTAGATCTGTCTCAACTTCATTTGATGATTCATCACTCGTTTGAATATCTGCCTTGTTTTTAGACTCTTGTTTGCTCGAACCGTTGTAGTTCCTGCTGCCAGGTTGAACGACGGGTGAGACGTGTGGGATAGGCTGTTCGAGAATTGGATTTGGAGTAGTCATATATGGAACAAAAGTTGAACAATGACTGGGGATGGCTGTTGGATTCTGATTCCCATAAAACGGATAAGGCCGCATTGGAATCGGTCCGGTTGGAATGGGAATGGGCACCGGGTAAGGGTATAAAGGCGGGCGCAGGACCAACGGTTGCTCTACCCCAGCCCATGGATACATAGTCCTAAGTCTTTGTTGGTATTCAGCATTCAGACTTTCAATATCAGATTTAATGGTTGCCTTCTCTTCTCTCAGATCATTCTTTTCTTGAGTCAGCTGTTTGGGACAAGAAAGTGGCCCGTATATATCTTAATAACTTAATTAACGAGAGGCATTTAAACATACATTTCAGCCAGATAAATAAATAAATAGCTCTAAGAGTCAAGAGATCGACGCCTCCCTCACCTCGCGATATTGTTCAGTAAGAGATGCATACTCATCCTTGAGTCTGCAAACTTGATCAGTTAACTCCTTCACCATCTGAATCGTATCAACTATGATAGAGGCTTTATCATTTTTAGGCCTATCAGGATCTGAACATGTATTTTGAGAAGCAATTGCTAAAATTAATAATCCGAATCCCTAAAGACACTAATTGAGTAAAGCAATCAAACCGATCATAAACAAGAATATAATAATGAATGAATGTACCAAGAGTGCTCCCCAATTCTGCAAACTGCCCATTCAATCGATCCCTCCTCAGTTTCTCGCGATCGGCCTTCTGCACTTTCCGAGCTGCTGAATTGTCCTTCAATTCTCCTTCTGGGCGGCGGTCCGCAGCTCCTCTATATGCGCTTGAAGAAGAACGAACATTGAACATGAACTAATAATCATCAGCAGAACTAATAACACGCTAATCCCCTCATAACAACTGAACAAAAGTGCAATCACACGCATATGGAATTAGGGCTAACCTGAAACAGGGAGGTGACTGATTAAGGTTCATATCGCGAAGACGAAGAGGCTGCTTGCAGAATTCAGCTAAGGATGTGCTCGGGACGTTGTTCTATCGATCCATGGCTGAGGAGATTGATGTGCCCCCTGATGATATGGGCTCACTCCACGCGATTCGGTTACAGGTGGCAAGAGGGTTTATCCGCCGTGTTTAATTTATGCGAAAGTAAGTTAGAAGTATATTTTGGTTTGATTAAAATAAAATTTTAAAAGTAACTCATTTGATTGATTTTGATTTGATTGATTTTGATTTGATTGGATGAGATTTTGGTTTGTTTTAGGTTTGATCTAATTTCAATATACGGAGTAAATAACTTATAATCAAAAATAATATAATTTTATTTTATTCAATTTATTCTTTTTACTTATAAATTATTGCTATTGGAATCAAATTAAAAAATATTTTAAATATAACAATAATTAAATTAGATCAAAATTTAATCAAATCATATCAAAACCAACGAATAAGTTGAAAATATCAAAACCCTATGTTGAAGAGAATGCTCTTACTTATATTTTATTTGAATTTGAATTGCAATGGTTTTTTAATAATACAAACTATGAAGTAATTTAGAAAGTTATAAATACGGAGTATTATTGTTTCCAAACTATTAAAACTGAGTTAGTATAAAATTTGTTATCTAGAAAAGGAGGTTTAGAGAAATTCTAAATAAAAATTATCAATTTACGAACGGTGCATCAAACATGTTCTAAATAAAAGAAATCACTCTAAATAAGAGTAAAACACGGAGAAAAATATTAAAATTGGATCGTCATGTTTTTATCAACAAAATAAAATTTGTACTATAATAATGTGACACTGTATATAAACATATGAGAATACTTTTTTATGATGTATATAGTCATGATTATCAATATATATATATGTTTATGTATTTTATGGAGTACTCCGTAATTTATAACTGTAATTTCATACCCCGAGTATATTAATCCATAAAACTTTTATTTTAATATATTTTTAATTTTTAATTTTTACTTTAATTTTTCTTTTTCACGCCAAAAACCCACTTTGCCCTTCTCAAATCTCAACGGAACCGGCCCCCTCAAAATACAGTCTACTTGAAATAGTTGAAAACAGTCTGTAACAGTGAGTCCATGTCGTGCACTCGTGCAGAGTCGCAGTTGTTATGCTCTGACAATTGACAAACATCAGCGTTTGCCTGAAACTCCTCACCGCAGCAATGACGATTAGGGTTTTCTTCATTCTCGCCGTCGTTCTCTCCTCCGCCCCGTTTCTACGAGGTTCGCCTGCAGATCCTGACTTCTTGTGCTCAATTTTTGTTTAAGTTATTCACCTTCTGCATTATTTACGTTTATTCTTCCATAAGATCTCCCACACACAGGAAGTTTGATCGGGAAATTATTTCCTTTTTTTTCTTTTTTCAGTTCTAGCAAATCATGTCACATTTCTGAATGTAACCACTACTCAACACTTCAATTTTGTGCTCAAGAAGGAAAAATACTTGTGTTTGGAAATGATTGTCCCAAAAACAAAGTGTAAATATAATTATATTGACACCAACGGTCAACGGAGACATGGTTCAGACCATTGATCTCTGAAAGTTTGTCTTTTGGAGGGAAACAAGTATGTTGATCTAGTTGGAATTTTGTTTGGCATATAAATTGTTGGACTGTGGCCTGAATCCCTCTGCATTAAGCTAATCAACATGGGCATTGTATTTAGATTTTAAGTGAACTAATCGCAACAATAATAATAATAATAATTAAAGCATACTCTCTCAAGATTTTTAGACAATTAATCATTTTTTTAGCATTCTTACCATCCCAATCTCAATGTATTATTGAGGAATAATTTTACTGGTTTATTGATCTTGTGGAATTAACTGGGTGGTAGTAGTTGTTTGCTGGTTGATATTTTTTCATGAGTGGCATATATTCGCATATAATGTTTGAACCTCTTAATTCAATGATCTGAAAGGAAGGCCTTAGAAATTATCATAATGCGTTATTTTGATTTTTATTGTGATAAATTTCTTTTCTGTTTTGCTAGTTGTTAGATGTGACTCAGAAACTGTAGTAGTTGAAGGTATTGAGGAAGGAAGAGATATTGGAATAGGTGGTGAAGATGTGCAAGATTTTGGTGAGGGAAGTTTTGGTCCGGCTCCTGGAGTAGAGACAATTTTGTATTTTCCCCAGAAACCCTTCAAAGCGTTAGTACTTTTGTGTTATACACTTATATTCGTGCGCTTTCGAGTTTTGTGCTTTGAAAATGCATTGCTCAGTCTATCATCAATTTACTTGTTTATTCAGTTGTTCCCGCTGGCGAGCAGAAGGAACTTTTAGTTGGGATGAAAAATGACGGTAATTTCTGTTTCTTTAGTGCTCTGTTTTTGGTTTAAAGTGTTCGGTTTTCTCAGAAATCTTCCCTTATTATCTACTTTGTTGTGTGTTGAGTTGTGTTTTATGCTTGTTTCCATTACGTTTGGATGATACAAGCAGGGGAATCTGCACTAAATGTTATTGCAATTCAAGCCACCCTTCATCTTTCATATGATCATAGCTATATAGTTCAAAATCTTTCTACTCAGGTAGTGGTCATGCCTCTTCTTTTGCATTTATTTTTGCACTTTAACCAATCAGCAATATAATTCTTTCACGAGCCGATGAGCAGTAAGCAATCACAAGCTATTTTTAGTCCCTCACACTTAGTAAATTTTTGGTAATTCAACTGCTTCGGTCTTCTTTAGTGGAACATTCAACTCATATTTCATAGAAATGTGCCATACTCAAGTTATTTGTTATGGACTGTTGGCATGAACTTAGTCCTTAATCATCATTATGGGTTATGAACTAGAGGCAGACATTTAGAATAATTTTAATTGTGCTTCCTTGAATCTATGGTTTCTGAGTCTTATGACTAATGTATTGTGCTGGTTTGTCCAAGATAGGGAAATTGTGCACTTATGAGTGTGAGTGTTTTAAATTTAAAAATGTTGCACCCATGTTAGTAATATGGTACTCCATATCTTTTTCCCAAAATAATTATCATTTAAATCTATTTTGGGAAATGATAGGCCCGTGTATTGGGTGGTATGTGGAAGGAATAGCTTTGGCCACAAATCTTCTAACTGCTGTAATTTTTAGTTTCTGTACATCATTCAGTGTCAGTATGCTATAATAGGTTTAACTATTTTTCGGTTTTGTAGGGGTTCAACAATGCAACCGTTCGTCCTTTTGCCCGAGCAGCATTTCCATATCTATTTGGTGTTAGCAATTTTTTACAGGTCAGTTAATCATTTGGATATCTATGGTTATTAAGAAAGCTTAAATCGTGTGTTTGTAACTTACGCAGAGGAGATAGAAATAAAGAGAACCAAACCCACAGAAGGGTTCCACACTGTTCTTGGTTCAAGGAAAGTTTTTCTTAGAGATGAAAAGAAAAGGAAAGTGGAAGGAAAAGAAAATAAGAAGAGAAAATGTACTGAGAGGAAGGAAAAACAAATTCCATTTTGGTGAGGAAAGTGAGAGAAAAGCATTTTTTTCTTCTCCTTCCAAATTCCTCGAACCAAATATAGTGTAAATAATATTCCACTTTTCCCTAAAGGTAGCAATTTTGTTCTAACAACATCTAAAAAAAAGTTTTTTGGGACTTCTTCTTTATTACCTACAACAAGTTATTTATTACGGAGTACTTTTTTTGCAGCCTGGAACATTTGATCTTGTGGGCAGCATTGTATATGAAGTGGACCAGCTCACATACCAAAGCACATTCTACAATGGCACTATTGAAGTCACTGAGCCTAGTGGCCTTCTCAGTGTTGAGTCTGTTTTCTTGTTTTCTCTAGGAGTTGCCATTGTTGGCCTCCTCGGGTTCTGGATTCGTGATCGCTTTCAAAATTTGTCAAAGGTAAAATAGATATCAGTCATTACACAATGAATAAGCAATCTATGACCTGTCTTTGTCTAATATATGATTACAAGATACTCCTTATGTGTTAACCCTGCTGTAACTTAATTCTTCTTCAGAAAAGCAAGAGGCCTCTAAAGGCAAAGGTGGAAGTTGGAACCGGGACAACAGATGCCGCAATGGATGAATGGCTGGAGGGAACTGCATATTCCCAGTCTCACTCCAAATCAAAGAAGAAGTAAATGATCAGCAAAGAGTTTCAAAATAGCACGCACAATTTGGAAAGGGTAAAGCTTGTCGGTTTGGTATTGAGGTCAGACAGAGGTAGTAGTTGTAACATTATGGAGATGTTCATTCAGTCCGACAGGGATACAATTTTGTGCGGTCTGAGTAATACTCGTATACTACTAGTTTGGGACAATGTTAGTTTTGGACAATTGCAAGATGCAACAGCAGATAATTGATTTTTCGTCTGTTGGCAATGTTACTCTGCGAAATACAGTCAATAAAGATGACTACATATTTTATAAGATTTCTGAAGTCTTTACATAATCACGTACGTTGAAATTTAATTTCTTTTGTAGAAGCACCACTTTTATAGACAATAATAAGTTTCAAACCAAATGGCCACACACAATTTCTCCCATCTGTGTGTGAAATGACTGCCCTTTTTTCTAAATTTTATTTTAATCTGAAGAAAGTTTACATTTGATGTCAAAAATGTATTGTGTAGATATAGAATATTACAGAGTATCATTGAAGTAAAAGCACACTTAAGTAGTTGAATGTCATCAATTATATAAACAACTTAATTTTATTTAAGTAATCACAGCATACCTGATTAGTTGAATGTCATTTTCAGGATTTAGGTCTGCAACCCTAAGTACCCTTTTGGAGATGAAAATTAACCATTAGAGAGAAACACTTAGCTTACTGTCATCCTAGAGTTCATTAGTTCAAGGGTATACAATTAGCTATCTGCATGTGAGACTAATTGTTGCATTATTTTTTGCAATTAATGTGAGCACCAAATTAGGTTCATTGGCATTTAATGTGGAACAATACAGTTGAGACCTAACTAACTCACTACTTCTCCCCGTCCTATAATTTCTTTCCCGTTTTAACCTGACACGCTTGGGATCAGTCTTAAGACCGACCCATTATATATTTCTGAGGTGGTCGTAGCATCACGGCATGCAGCAACAATGAAGTCCCTTATTACTAGTCTTCTGGGACTCCTCCTCCTCCTTCATGGTTTATCCTATGCTGCTGCTGATGTCATTGATACCTCCTCAGCTGTCCAGGTTGTTGGATTCGGAGAATGTGCCGACTGCAAAGACCATAACATAGACCCTAGTCACGCCTTTTCTGGTACGAATGATGAGTACATATTTGTGTAGGGTCATGTTGTTTAATTTGTTCTTGGAATATCAAAAAAAACATTTTAAGCTTGAAATTTTGGAGCTTTTTGTTGTTGTTGATTGCAGAGCTTCGTGTAAGAATTGACTGCAAGCTCCAGAACGGGGAGATGAAGACGAGATCATCAGAAGCAGGAGCAGCTCTGGATGGAGATGGCAAGTTCAGAGTGTGGTTGCCCAAGGAGATGGTTGTTGTGAGTGGGGAAGGAGGAGGGAGGACAAAGGAGGAGTGCTATGCCCAGCTGCACCACGCCGCTTCGGCTTCACCATGCCCGGCCCACCAGGGAATCGAAGCCTCCAAGATTGTGGTCAGGACAAAACCAGACGGGCAACGTGTGCTCGAACCAGCTGCCGGGAAAGTGAAATTCTCAGCTGCCATATGCACCTCTGCTTTCTTGAAGATTTACAAAAAGCCCTTCTTCAAGAAACCCCTCCCCCATCTTCCTTCAGTCCCCATTTACAAGCCAAAACCAAAACCACCCATTTACATTCCTCATGTGCCCATTTACAAGCCAAAACCAAAGGTACTTTTTTCATCGCCGCCTCCGCCGTATTACGAGCCAAAGCAGAAGTCGCCGGTTTATGTCCCTCACACCAAAGAGCCATGAAGTCTTAATAAATAGGCTGGCTATGCCCTTTACGTACAATATGTTAAGTTTAATTTCTTCATGCAGTGATTATATTCCATCGGTCAGCTAAAGAAAAATTATAATGTGGGGTTGTGTAATTTACATATACTAGCTAATAGCTATATATTCGGATATATACTGTACTGTATGTAATAAAAGGGAATGGAGAAGATTATTGTGTTTATTTGATGGAATCTATAAGCAAGATTTGGTGGATTTTCGATCATACTTAGCTTGTTTGAATGTGTGTTTATGGGCTTCAAAGATTTAGTGGATTTTCATTTAAACTATGTTTGGTTCAAAGAATTTGGAAAAAAAGGAAAAAAAAATAGTTCTCTCATTTTCCTTACCAAAATGAGCTTAGTACATTTTGCCTTCTTCTTTTCTTTTCCTTCCACTTTCTCTTGTTTTCCTCTCCAACCAAATAAGAAAATTTATTTTCCATCTCATTTTCTTTTCTTCTCCTTTTCAAAATCTTTGAACCAAATGTAGTGTTAGTTTAATGTCGAAAATTCTTTTCAAAATCCTTGAATAGAAAATAATTACATGAAACAATTTAGGGTGAAAATAATTATAAAAATTTTCCTTTTTCTACAACCTTAGGGTGAATAATCCACAATTGCAAGCTTGCCTAGGACATGTACAGAGTATTTCATCAGCCCGAAAATTTCAAACTGGACTTGTACGTTATTTTACCGAAGTTTTCTAGGTCAGAGTCTGTCCCCGGTGTGCAGAATGATCTTAACAATTGAAGCTTGAGTCTAGTACACACGAGTACTCACGAGTTTCAGGCCAACTCAGCTGACATTCAAACGATTTTTTTTAAAATATATATGAAATAGAAAAATAAATCAAATACAAGTAATATCTTAATATATTAAGTGTTTGATAAAAATAATTACTACTTAGTTCTAGAATATTTTTACAAACTTTTGAATTTTTACAATCAAAATTCATTCTAGAGTAATTTTTTACTACTAATTAAATAAAATTTATATTAGATTTTGGTACAAAAAATAGTTTTATTAGACTTATTCTTTAAAATGTTGTATTACCAAGTTAATATAACATGTACGTTTTATTTAATTTTAAGTCAAAAGTCAATCATTAATCACTGCAAATGGAGAACCATACCAAAGAACAAGGAATGTTTGCAAAACTTTTACGAATTAAATGAATGGAGTTTTATCTTCAAAAAGCTCATCTCACTTTTCATAGTTAATTTAATTAACTTTTGAAAAATGAATATGCTTTGTAAAAATTAAAAGTATGACATTGACTTGTTTTTAGATTTGGAAAATTCAATATACTCCGTATTTGCTACGGAGTACATATTAAGGATAAATAAATAAATTTATATTTATGATCATTTATCTCTTGTTTGTATATATCTCTTTGTAGTTGTTGCTCATGTATAATATCCTAGTTAGTCTCTACCTCATACGTCTATCTCCTATTCTTTAGGATCGGCTCAACTGTTTATAGTATATATATATTGTAATCCAATATTGAACAAAGTGAGTTTGATAATTCTCTTATATGGTATCAGAGCCTCAATAGAATTTTTTCTATTTCGATCCTCTCCTCTGCATTCTTGTGATCGCCTAAGCCTGTGACTCCCATAGCTCCTTCGCCATGCCCTATACTATCACCAAAGATACTCCAGTTCTTTCCCTTCATGCAAAGACTCACTTCCCAATCAAGTTGGTTACTACCAATTTTCCGATTTGGCAGCGCCAAGTTCGCTCCACGCTCATCGGCCTCGATCTTCTCGGCTATGTTGATGGGACGCTCGCTGCTCCCTCCCCCACAGATTCCACCTACTCCGTTTGGTTTCGTCAGGACCAAACCATTGTTGGTGCACTCCTTGGCAGTTGTACTGACACTATTCAGCCTCTCATCTCCAATGTTTCCACTGCTCGTGATGCATGGCTTAATCTCCACTCTAGCTTTGCGAGTGCGAGTCGTGGTCATGTTCTTGCTCTTAAGTCTAAACTTGGGAAGAACCCTCGTGGCAATCGGTCTATTAATGACTATCTCCATGAGATGCACTCTATTGCTAACGATCTTGCCCTAAATCAAAGTCCTGTTGACGAGGAAGATCTTGTTGCTCATATTCTTAATCAATTGGGCTCGGAGTATGATTCCATTTCGTCTGCGGCCTTGCTTCGTGGCTCCAAACTGCCCTTCACCGAACTTGGTAATGTGTTGCGTGATTTTGAACGCAAACTTCATCTTGGTGATGATCCTGCCTCCCCTTTGGTGGCCACTGCACACGTGACAGAGCGGCACTCAACTGCAGGCGTTAAGTCCTATCAGAGAAACACAGCTGTGGGGCAGTCCCATCCCTCTCGTTTGCCTGCCTCTCCACGGCAGTCCTACGGCGCGTCCAGACAGTCCCGCCGTACTGATGGATCATCCTGCCAGTTTTGCTCGATCCCTGGCCATGACATCAAAGTATGTCGTAAACTTGCACGTCTTCTCCGGGATAATGGGATGGACTCTGTGGCAAATGCACCGGCTATGTTTCCTGCTCCGGTCGTGCATGCCACTGCTGCTAATCCCGCAGGAGTCCATGGCTGGATGTTTGACAGTGGTGCTAGCCATCACACTACTCCCGCCCCTCAGTCCCTTCAGTCCTTCTCCGAATACGAAGGTCCTGATGAGATTCGTCTGGGTAACGGTAAGGGTCTTCCTATCTCTCATATCAGTAGTACTTCCCTCCCTACTCCTTCCGGCTCTCTTGCTCTCACTAATGTTCTATGTGTCCCTAAGCTCACTAAAAATCTCGTCTTTGTTTCTCAATTATGTCAAACTAACCATGTTTCGGTTGAATTTTTTCCTCTGTCCTTTGTGGTTAAGGATCTGATCACGGGGGCGCCTCTCCTTCGCGGTGAAAATCTTGGCGGGGTTTACTATGCAGGTCCGGTCCGGTCTCCTACAGTGCATCACACTACTTTGCATGATTTGCATCACTCTTTTGGACATCCTTCTAATAAGATCATGTCTCATCTTTTGTCTCAATGTAATAAAAAAGTCTCTAAGCATGTTTTTGAGGCTTTTCATTGTTCGTCATGTTCAATAAATAAAAGTCACAAATTGCCCTTTTCTGAGAGTTCCTTGGTTAGCAATGCTCCAGTACAACTTGTTTACTCTGATGTATGGTCGTGCAATGATGTTTCTTTTGATGGTTATAAATATTATGTCATCTTTGTTGACAATTTTACTAAATATGTCTGGTTTTACCCATTGGGTCGAAAATCTGATGTCTCCACTATCTTTCCCATTTACAAGAAAATGGTGGAAAAATACTTCAACACACCTCTGATCTCTTTGTACTCTGACAATGGTGGTGAGTATACGAGACTTAAACCTTTTCTTGCGTCTCATGGGGTGTCTCATTTTACTACCCCACCTCACACACCCGAGCATAATGGTACCTCAGAACGGCGTCATCGCCATATTGTTGAAACGGGTTTAGCATTGCTTCACCACGCCTCTATGCCAATTGTCTACTGGCCATATGCGTTTCAAACCGCGGTTTACCTTATTAATCGCATGCCTACTCCCCTCTTGCACCTCCAAAGTCCCTACCGTCTCCTTTTCCAGACTGAGCCTAATTACCTGAAACTCCAACCTTTTGGTTGCTTATGCTACCCTTGGCTCCGCCCATATACCACGTCAAAGCTACAACCTAAGTCGGTCCCGTGTGTGTTTATAGGCTATTCTACCTCCCAGTCAGCATATCAATGCCTTGATCCTGCTACCCACCGCATATATATCTCCCGACCCGTCAAATTTGTTCCGAATCACTATCCCTTTTCTGTGAAACCCACTGCCACTTCCACTTCTTCTGTACCCACTGTCTCCTCTGCCCCACCTATACGTTTTCCCGTGTCACAGCCTTCTACTGTCTTTTTTGTCCCTCTCAACAGCCTTCTCAGGTCCCTGCCGCTATTCCCACCCCTTCTGCAGACCCTCAACCTACTGTGTCTCTTCCTTCACTGCGTCCCTGTCGTCAGTGTCGTCCAAACCCACGGATCTTTAATCCCGAGTTTGTTACGGGTCCTCCACAATCTCATGTCACCTCTCGTCATCCTCTTCCAGAGTCTCTCGAACCTAAAACCGTCGCCCAGGCCCTCAAGGACTCTCGGTGGAGGACAGCCATGGATGCTGAGTATCAGGCACTACTCAAAAATGAGACATGGGAGCTGGTACCTCGAGGGCCGACGCCTCCAATTGGGTGCAAGTGGATATTCCGTATCAAACGGCACCCTGATGGTTCCATTGATCGTTTTAAAGCTCGGTTGGTGGCCAAAGGGTACTTACAGGAAGCTGGTCGAGACTATTTTGAAACCTTCAGTCCGGTTATGAAACCGGTCACCATTCGTCTTGTGCTTAGCTTGGCTCTCGCCAATAACTGGCCCTTACGCCAATTGGATATTAATAATGCATTTTTGAATGGTAAATTATCTGAGCAGGTCTTCATGGAGCAACCACCGGGTTATGTTAACCCGGAGTTCCCTTCACATGTGTGCCGTTTGTCTAAGGCTATCTATGGTCTAAAACAGGCTCCCCGGGCATGGTATGATTCATTATCTTCGTTTTTGCTTGCCACAGGTTTTTGTAAGTCCCGGGCTGATCCCTCTCTCTTCATATATGCCAAAGATCGTGTACTGGCCTATTTCTTAGTCTATGTTGATGACATTGTGGTGACGGGCAACTCTTCTCCGTTTATTGATTCGTTTGTTGTGACACTGTCGAACCGGTTCTCGTTGAAAGACTTGGGCTCCTTAAGCCATTTTTTGGGTGTTGAGGTTGTGCCAACCCCCACAGGTCTGTTTCTCTCTCAGGCTCAATACATTTCTAATATTCTTGATAGCACCGCAATGACTGATGCGAAAGGGATTGCCACACCGATGATGCCTCATCCTTCCACTATGGCTCATGCTGCTGCCCCGTTTCGCGACACTAAACTTTTTCGAAGGGTGCTTGGTCGGTTGCAGTATCTTTCCCTAACCCGGCCTGACGTTTCCTTTGCAGTCAATCGCTTGTCTCAGTATATGCATGCTCCGACCATGGCTCATTGGGAGTCTCTCAAGAGGGTCCTCCGTTATCTCAAGTCCACTCTCTTTCATGGGTTATTTCTCTCCAAAACAGTTCCCTTACAGTTGTCTGCCTTTTCTGATGCGGATTGGGGGGGTGTTACTGATGGAGGTCGCTCTACCACGGGATATGTTCTGTATCTTGGCTCTAATATTATTTCTTGGAAGTCCACGCGCCAAAAAACAGTTTCTCGGTCTTCTACTGAGGCGGAGTACAAGGCTCTTGCCAATGCTGTGGCGGAACTCGCTTGGGTTCAGAATCTCTTGTGTGAGCTTCGTGTTCAGCCCTTGCCTGCACCTCGGCTTTTTTGTGACAACATGAGTGCTGTATACGTCTGCAAAAATCCGGTTTTCCACTCCAGGATGAAGCATCTCGCTCTAGATTATTTTTTTGTTCGTGATTTAGTTGTCGCGGGTCGTCTTCAGGTTCAACATATTTCCACTACTCAACAAACCGCAGATATTCTCACAAAGCCTCTAGGTCGCCCTCTTTTTCAAAAGTTCAGATCCAAGATCGGAGTCTCCGACGGATCCTCCATCTTGCGGGGGCGTATTAAGGATAAATAAATAAATATCCATTATATTTATGATCATTTATCTCTTGTTTGTATATATCTCTTTGTAGTTGTTGCTCATGTATAATATCCTAGTTAGTCTCTACCTCACACGTCTATCTCCTATTCTTTAGGATCGGCTCAACTGTTTATAGTATATATATATTGTAATCCAATATTGAACAAAGTGAGTTTGATAATTCTCTTATAGTACATAAGTATATACGTCAATGAGATAGTACTGGAAGCTTCAAATATTCAATTAACCCGGGGTATCTTTAATTTTATCATTTGTTCTTGAAAAGTAGACCTCGAAAAAAATGACCTGACTTGTTTTTTATCTAAACCCGACCCAAAAATACTAGGTTTGAACAATGGTTTTGTTGGCCAAACCCGAAGTTGAGCGAATCCAAAATGAATCGCTAAAAATGGATCAAACTCGACCAAATTCAAACCTAACCTGACCGACCCGCTAATGTTAGATTTTTTTGAAATCATATACTTAACTATCAAATATAATGTTATAAAAATAGCGCTCTAATTATATTTTTTTCGTACTCTTCATTTTTAGTGTATAAATCTATATTTTCGGATAAAATTTTAATGATATTGCATACTTATCTTACTTTAAATCATGCTTTTTTTTTAAATTCTCTATATTGATTTATATATCTTCAGAATTTAAAATAAAATAATATAATTGATTTCATACATTTTTTTTTGATATTTTAACTTTATTTAACACAAAATGTAGGTGTTAATATGGATTTTAAAATTTTAAAAACCAAAGTCATAACTCGTAGGGTCAATTCAAACTTGACGACACTGGGTCATTAACATACAGTTCTTAATCCGAATTCAAAGATCTGAACCCAAAGTAAACTAAATTCAAAGTGATCGAACCAGAATCCGATTTGACCGATCGATTTGCGGGCTCTATAGAAAAATATTCTCTTTTTTTTGAAAGTATAGAAAAATATTCTTTGATACGAATTAGGGAGTAATAACCACTAGGCACTAGTAATATTTTTGGGAGAAAGACCAAAGTAGGACTAAAATATTGAAGATATATCAAAATAGGACTTTCATATTTTTATTCTCGAAATAGGACTTACATTAGCATACATGGTCATATACATTACCAAAAACGTATAGTAATTTGTACATGTACACTGCCACATTACCACAAGGCAAAGTCACATTACCACAGTGCAAAGTCCTATTTCGGGAAAAAAATATGAAAGTCCTATTTTGGTACTTTTATCTATGTTTTAGTCCTATTTAGAGTGATTTCTAAATATTTTTCGTCCATATTTTTCTGGACGATAGAGAGAAATAATTTGCGTGTAAAAAACAAAAAGATGAGATTTTTAAACCAAAATGAATGGCGTCAAAATTTCAACGTGTTAACGAATCCGCGTCGCAGTGAAGCCCTCCGACAAGGCGACGTCGAGAACGGCGGCGGCGGCTATTATTGCAGAGCTCTCCCAGTCTATCAAATCTTTCCTCATATTTTACACCTTTCCCCTCTCCCCTACGCGAATCCTTCCCGATCTTCTCCCTTCATTGTTTGTTTTCTGCCCAATTGAATCCCCATCTGAGTTTACATTTATCCTTCAAATCATCCGATTTCTTTGTTGAAATCGGCACCATTGTGGTTCGAAAGTTTGGCGGGAAATCAATCATATTTGTCGTCGTCTCTGATTTTCGTCATCTTGGGAGGTTGATTGATTATTAGGTTTTATGAATTCAAAATCCAGAAACTGCGCCCGTGCTTCCCTCTCTGCTTTTGGACTAGTATCACCGATGTGTATGCATTGACGGTGCAGATAGAAAGTTTAATGGCAGTTTCAGACAACGAGAGAGGGCTAATTCTGGCAATGCTGTCAAGCCTGTTTATCGGGACGAGCTTTATCTTGAAGAAGAAAGGGCTTAAGCGTGCTGCTGCTGTCGGTACAGGAGCAGGTCCTAGTTGAATCCCATCTTTATTTTTCTTTAAATTCATTCTTGTTTTCATTTTATGTGCTCATTTATCTGTTTTGGGCTTTCTTGTTTTGCTTCATTATATATTGAAAGCATTATGTAATGTTTTCTGCAGGCGTAGGAGGTCATTCTTACTTGCTAGAACCACTTTGGTGGTCTGGCATGATCACTAGTAAGTAGAGCTAGCATTCTCTCTTTTTTTGCAAGTGCAGCCCTGGTCCTTATTTCTTGTAAATTACTCTTGACATGTAGTGATTGTGGGGGAAATTGCAAATTTTGTGGCATATATTTATGCCCCGGCTATTCTTGTTACCCCCCTTGGTGCGTTAAGTATAATAGTGAGGTAAACATTTCTTTATGTACGAATCTGTATCGGAATTTTGGGTGCTTTTGAAGAAGCTAACTGCAGTAGTGATGGATTGAGGCAGTGCTGTTTTGGCACACTTTTTGTTGAAGGAGCGGCTGCGCAAACTATGCATACTTGGATGTGGTTCTTGTATTATAGGGTCTGTGATCATTGTAATGCATGCTCCTCAGGAAAGTATGCCAACTTCGATTGAAGAAATTTGGAATTTAGCTACTCAACCAGGTCATCACCTTCTGTTTGTCTGTCTTTTTCACCTGTCCGGTTGCAATTGTAAAGCTATAGTCTGAATTACAAAGAGTGTGGCAGTCATGTTTTCTGATGTTTTTTCATGCAACTTCTTTCAACAGCATTTTCAATATACGTTGCAGCAACACTAGTGATAGTGCTAGCATTGATATTGTACTTTGAAACTCGGTATGGGGACACAAACTTACTGGTTTACTTGGGTATCTGTTCCTTAATGGGTTCGCTGACGGTAACAGTTTCAACACTTATTTTTTTGCCAAAAAAAAAAACTCATTTCAACAGGGGGCTTAATTGGTGGTTTAAACTCTCCTTGCTCAATTGCAGGTTGTGAGCATAAAAGCCATTGGAATTGCAATAAAACTTTCTCTAGAGGGAACAAGTCAAATTGCATACCCTCAGACCTTGTTTTTCCTCATGGTTACAGTGATATGTGGGATCACCCAGCTGAATTATCTAAACAAGGTACTGTTCTTGTAAATACCGTAGTACATGTTTTGTACTTCCCTACAGGATCTAATTCTTTATTCACAACCAAAACAAATTATGCTCTTGTTTTTCGTCATCCATACATTCTGCTAACCACATAAACCTTTGATATTGCAATGCTATGATTATGAAATGCTGATGTGTTTATGCTGGATTTATATAGGCGCTTGACACATTCAATACAGCAATTGTTTCTCCCGTATACTATGTACTGTTCACTACCCTAACCATCGTTGCCAATGCAATCATGTTCAAGGTTGTTTAATGTTTTATGCAATAATGTTCAAGGTAGTTTAATGTTGAAGGAAATTTGCGAGTTTTAAAAACCACCCATACTCTCAAATTTTTATGCAGGATTGGGCTGGGCAAGATGTTAGCAGCATAGCATCTGAGTTATGTGGATTCGTGACCGTACTTTCTGGAATAATCATACTTCATGTTGCTAAAGAGCAAGAACCAACAAATGCACCAGGTAAGAATTCATTTCCTTATTGCACGACGGGGTTTTCTTACCAACATTTATCGTCCTAGGTAACATAATCGATTTATCTTTGGGTGCAGGAACCATTGTTTGGTATGATGAAGAACGCACGAAGGATATGGAGGATGCACATTTCATTACACTGCGCAGTTCTGACTATTTCACCTGATTTTATTGCACTGCACATCTCATTTTGCTCACTATATAAATGCACAGGTAAATGAGGGAGAAAAGTGATTTTTTTTCTTCTCAACTTGGTGTGCATTATGTGAAGAAGTTTTAGTGGGACACTTACAGGTTTATGTAATATATGCAATTTGATGAAAGATAGTGTGCTCTGCACTTCATCAAATTTACATCAATGCGAGTGATTGGGATATCCAAATACCTATTGGCTTTGAGCTTTCATATTGTCTGTAAATTGTGGAAGTATCTGAAAATGTATGAAAGAGCACGGATCACCTTTTTATGTGAATAAGCTAGTTGATTGTTTTATATACTCCCTCTATTCAAATTTAAATTACTTTTATGATTTTTTAGGATACATCAAAAGTTGGCCAATATCATATCTATATCATAACTGCATATCTGATTTTAAGTTTGCATATTTTATTTTTCAACATTATTCTTAAACTCTGCTAAGTCAAACTAAGACGATTAATGATGAGAGTATTTCTTTTTACATCATTACTAAGTACACCAAGGTTCCCATGACATTGGGTTCCAATGTCATGGGATGACCCGGGAGTGCTCCGGTGTCCCGTTCGTAAAATTGACGGTTCCTACCCCCCCTAACCCCCCGGTAAACCCCCCACCCTGGCCCCGACCCGAACACACCCCCCTACCCCCGTCAATTGCACCCCACAAGTTGAACGGAATGCTACCTTAGTTTGATCTGATTACAATTATAATGATTCCAATTAAGACTTCTAAATTTACTGTTTCAATTCCAATAATAATTTTATTCTATTCTCCATATCAGTTTATTTTTCAATGATAATTTACCTTTAGTGTTTACTTTATACACCTACTCGGCTACTCCTCTTCTTTGGTAATTTGCCTATTTTAATATTGAGTGTTTCTATGTTACACCTTGAATGCATATTATTGTTGTTAACAGAGTATAATATAATATTTATTTTTTTAATATAAATAATATTTTTTCTTCATTTCAATTTAAATTATACAATGTTGACTGAAATTATTTCAACATAATTTAATTGAAAATTAGTGTGTTATTAGAAACCAGTGACACCTCTTGTCAACGGGTTTGTTATGTTTATTTATTTCCGAAAATACTTCGAATTATTCAGATTTTGGTTTAAAGAAAACAAAAAATTCGGAATAGCCTATTTTAGAAACAAGGAAACGTGCCCTAATACGATTGCCCTTTTCTAGTCGGAATAAGAATTACACAGTACAGTCTTTTTCCTCTAATACGCACCGTCAGATCGAATCGGATACCGTTTCCTAATAATATCTGCGCCGTCCACTGCCGCCTCCATATATCTATCTATCGCCCACCCATCTCTTCTTCTTCTTCTTCTTCTTCAATCTGCGCAGAACGACGGGAGTTTTGCATAGAACCCACAACGCAAGTACTACCAATCATGGCGGCCACTGTTAACGCGTGGAGCAAGCCTGGAGCCTGGGCCTTAGATTCCGAGGAGAACGAAGCGGAGCTTCAGCAGCAGCAGCAGATTGTCAAAGCCGCCGCCGAAGTGGCTCCCGCCGATTTCCCTTCTCTGGCAGCCGCCGTCTCCACCAAGACTAAGAAGAAGAAGCCGCAACCCTTATCTATGCAGGAGTTTCACAATTACGCCTCCGCTAAGCAGGTTCAATCCCCGGAGATCATCTCTCTCCCGACCGGCCCCCGCGAGCGGACTGCTGAAGAGCTCGACCGCTCCCGGCTTGGAGGCGGGTTTAGATCTTACGGTTCCTCGTACGATAGGCCGGATCGGGACGATTCTCGCCGTCAGAGCAGCCGCGANCGATTTCGCGCCTTCTCGCGCCGATGAGACTGATGATTGGGGAGCGTCGAAGAAATTTTCCCAAGGAAACGGTTTTGAGAGGAGGGATCGAGGGGATAGGGCAGGGTCAGGGTTTTTCTCCGATTCCCAATCTCGCGCCGACGGGTCTGATAATTGGGGGGCGAATAAAGCTTTTGTCCCCTCCGATGGTGGTCGCAGGGGGTTTGAGAGGAGAGGGGGGTTCGAATCAAACGGCGGTGGTGCTGATTCAGATATCTGGACAAGGAAGAAGGAAGACGAATCGCGGAAATTTGGCTCGGATTCAGAGGGTTGGGGGAGAAAGAGGGAGGAAGGAAGCCTCAACAATGGAAGACCAAGGCTGAATTTGAAGCCGAGGACCATTCCTCTAGGTGAAGGGCAGATGAATGGGAACGGTAGTCCAGGGAAACCAAAAGGTTCCAACCCATTTGGGGAAGCCAGGCCAAGAGAAGAGGTTCTGAAGGAGAAAGGGCAGGATTGGAAGGAGATTGAGCAAAAGCTCGAGTCTATGAAGATGAAGGATGTCGGGAAGAAGAGCTTTGGGAGCAGCAATGGACGAACTTCACCTGAAGACATTACAGAAAGGAGTTGGAGGAAGCTTGAAGAGAACGATTCCAGGTCTTTGAAATAGAATTTCCTTAGCTTGTTGAATTCTCCTGCATTGAATTTTTTTTCTAGCCAAAACTCGATTTTTATCTAACATTCATATTAGCTTGTAGTATAAATGCTGCTGCCTTCTTTCGTTGCCTGATGCCTTTTTACTGTGAAGAATTCGAAGATGAGATTTCTTTGATGGGACTTTGAAAAAAAAAGTTCTTTTGATGCTTTTTTTTGCCTCTTAATGTATGATATAATCTTTTTCAATCCTAATACCTCCATCTATCAATTGCAGTGCTGAGAAACAAGATGGACGCCGTGAAGAAGAATGTAGCAATGGAGAATGTAATGAAGATGCCGAACCTGTTCAGGAGGAGAAATAATGCTGCACTTCTGCAGAAAGAGTTTTGACATACCAAATGGCTATATGAGGAGAAATCACCACACTTTCTTTGTACCCTTTTTGTTTCTTCTGGCTAATAAGCTGTATGTTTCATTATGCCATAATTTATTTCATGTAAACTGAAATTCTGAAGCAATTTTTGGTAGAACCACTACTACTACTACTAGTAGAAACATTTATCTTAATGAGTGCAGATTTTTGTTTTACTGAGTGTGCAATTGATTGATTCATTTGTTACTTTCATGAACATGAATAAAAATGGCCCTTCACAGGCTCTGTTCTTTATATTGTTAGAATGAATTTATTATCACTGAAGCTAGTTCATATGCTGTGTGTGAAACAAACTAGTAATCCCCAACACCTTTTTGGGTGAGCCTTCTTGCATCTTACAATTTTGAATTGAATAATGCTAAGGTGCCACCACATGAGAGGTGTTATTATGGGTCGCACAGACAAACACTGATGATAAGCGTTTGTGTTTGCCTGTGCGAAGCATGGGTACACCACGGTAGCACTGATGTGGTGACACCCAAGTATGACCCTTTTGAATTAGCTTGTTCAACCATGGTTACGATTGTGACAAGTGTACACTGGTAATAATTGCATATGCCATTATAGTTTTGAACAGAAGCTGGAACTTTATGATGAAAGTGTATACATAAAGAGCGGCTGTGTAAATGAGTTTCCGTACCCATGACAGGAGGCTCACAAATAAATGCAACTGTAGACAGTTGATGGTTGTAACACTACTGCCCACACCTATTCATAATAAATTCTTCAACTATTCCTTGGGCTTATTATATGTTCACACTCTGGGTTTGAACTTTACAGCTTCTGCTATTCCAATTGCTTTATTTAAGTCCCACCCAACCCATAACTTTCCTCTTACTCTGGACCATCATGCCCTTCATGGATTCGTCTTTGAAGCTTTCCCTTGCTGTGTTTCTGGTTGCTGCTGCTACCATTGCTACGACGGCGCATGGGCTAACCGTCATCTCTGGCACTGTCTTCTGCGACCAATGTAAAGATGGCCAGATTTCTCTTTTTGATTATCCCGTTTCAGGTAATGATTTAAAGAGAGAGTCTTTAACTAGTGTTTGTCTTCTTGGTTATTTTTTTATTATTAAAAGAAAGGTATTGTTTGCTTCTTGATCTTGACCTGGAAATTTGTTGTGCAGGAATTAAAGTTGCAATGGCGTGTCCTGATGGTAACGGGCAATGGACAATAAGGGGAGAGGAAACCACAAACTGGATGGGAGGTTATAACATGAGGCTTGATGAAACCTCAGATTTGAGCAATTGTTTTGCCCAGGTTTCAGCATCGCCAGGAGCCTGTGGGGCGGCGAGTGGTCCACCCAGGCCTCTAAAGCTGATGTTCAACATGTTTGGCATGGTAACGTACGCGGTTGACGCCTTGATTTCCCAGCCTGCACAGCCCATGTCTTTCTGTCCATCTTCTGCGCCTGTGGCTCATCCACCTCCATCTTTCCCACCCCCTGCAGTGCCTACCTTCCTCCCCCCTCCACCTCCACCCCCTGCATTGCCTACATTACTCCCACCTCCATCTGCGCCCCGCACATTGCCCACCTTACCCCCAATGCCTCCAACCCCATTTCTAGAAGCTTCTGCCTGTCCGTACGGGTAAGTTGACATAATCAGCATCTGACATTGTGTGAAAAAAATGGAAGTTAAATCTTGATTCTTGATGTGCATTTGTTTTGCAGGAAATGGATCATGCCGGAGCACAGGTGCTACTGGAAGGTTGTGAGTCCTGACACAAAAGTGGGACTTGTGTTTGGGCTACTGGCGGCAAGGAAATATGGGACGGATATGACACTGTGGGAAGGGATGAATGGAAGAGGGGAGGCCTACAGGACATTGCTGAGGGAAGGGACAACTGCACTTCTCAACTCCTACAATTCCTTGCAGTTCCCTTACCACCCTCTGGGAGTTGTGGCGCGCATGAATTGGGCGTTGGCCACGGGGTCCACTCCGCAAGTCCTCCACACGGCTCTGGGTTTCATGAGGGCAAACTATGGGTATGGCCAATCTGCTGCAGCTACCTGCAGATTCACTTCTTGCACCACCAAGTCATGAATTGCTGCCTCATATATACATATGTTACTCTCTTGATTAAATTGGTAATATGCCCACATTTGGTGTTACTACTATTGTTATTACATCACTACATCTATGTAAGGTTCTGACTCCTGTTGTTGTTCTTCGAGAATCCTGTGGTGTTGCTCTATATTGTTGCATTTGCTCATATGTCATATTGGTGTTTCATAATGGAGGGCTTTCATTTTTGTTCTTGATTGATCAGTTCATGAATCCAAATGCTTGGAACTTTTGGAAGGAGGTCCCTTTTAATTACTATTTCTTGGGCCTTGTGGTTTGTGCTGAATAATTTAAAAACTTGGCAAGTTCAAATCATTTTGGGTTTATATATTCCATTTTCTTATCAATCATGATTAATCTTTGATTTATAACTAAATCAAAACTAGGGAGCATATGGTCTTTTAATTAGATAAGAAAATATTTTGAATTATAATTTACAAGATAAATCTAATAAAATTATTTTTATATCAATATTTTTTATTATTTTTATTTAATTTAAGTGCAGAAATTCAAATGAACAAAAGACTCCCAAAGGGAGGTAGCAGGTAAAGCTTGGTAGCTACTCCGTATTTATAAAAAAAATAGAAAAAAAAAAGTTCATATAACTAAGAAGTACGGACTATCTATTAAAAGGACAAATTGAAAAATACCCCTTAAACATTACAGTTTAGAGCATTGGCAGCGGCATTCCAGCCCAATGCCATGCCATGCCACATAGGACCAATGCCATGCTACATTGGACAAAAAAATTCGCTTCCATGCGTGGAAGCACCGTTCCTCCATGGATTGCAAGGCTTGGGCGAGGCAACTTTTTTTTTACTTTTCAATTTTTATTTGAGAAAGACTTTTTTTTGTGTAAAGTAATAGAACTATTTTTTACTTTCTCCATCTTGCAATAGATTATGATACCTCTCGATATCTTTTGTTTATTTGTATGTTTTTATTGATTATTTAATTAAAAAAATTTTGTCACACTTTTTTTTTTGTAGAACTTTTGATGTAATTTTTAAATTTGTAAGTTTTATTTTTAATTCTTATACCAATTTTTAAATGAAATGATTTTTAAAAATAGAGAGTTTTTCCATCATAATTCTAAAATAATAATCTAAATTGAGATGAATTAGGAATAAATAAAAATATGGAGTTGATAACAAAAACATTTTTAATAATTAAAATATATATAAAAAATTATTTATTTGAGTAAATAGAAATATTTTCATGATAAAAATATATAAGTAAAATAATTTTTAATAATTCAAATATGGCAAAAATATGAAGAAAAGTGATGAAAACAATGACTTGCCACTGCAAGGCATGCCACTCCACTCACGTGCCACTCGTTGACTGGACTGTTTTTTATTGGTTGACATGCTCCACGTCAGCGTGTGGCATTCCATCTTTGCCTCACCATTGTTCATGCTTTTAGACTCTTTAGAGATTCAAAAAATAAGAAAAATCTAAAGCCTTTTTGGCGAAGAAATTTAAAGGGTGGTGGTTCATTTGACATTGTCTCGGGGTGCTCGGTACTCCATTCGTTAAATTGACGGTGTCTATTCCCTATTTCTTCTGGTAAACTCCCCATCCCACTTTGACCCAAACACAGCATGCTCTTTCCTATTGCACCCTCAACTTAATTTTGATTTTGGAGCATAATATGTTATATGGAAATCCCGAAATAAGAAGGCATAACAGGTTAGGGAGTATAACCCGCCGTACAAAATAAAATACCTTTGGATTTGGTCGGTTAGTTGTGGTTTGGTTGATGACTTGATGTTCATTTGAATCACAAAAATAAATTTGAAATTTCAACTGTGATGGATTTGTATGATTTTTGTGTGTTTATATTAGGAGCTTGCTAAAAGCGCAAAACATTACTCTCCTTCCTAAATAAATTTCATCCTTGTCTTGTTAGAACTTCAACATTTTAGTTTGATTGTAATCTTTCAATTCCAAAAACATATTTTTATTTTTAGTTTTCATTTATTCCAAAAAAAACATTTTTTTAATTAAAATTTCACTTTTATTCTTACTAATATCTATCACTCATATCCAATGAATATTGCATTCTACCTTACAATTAAGTAAGGATAAAATTAGCAAGTACGGAGTAATACTAAAATTGCACATTTTTAAATCTCGTTTCTTTTCAAAGTACTCCGTAAAAAAAACTCTATGAGACCCAGATAGTACATAATTAATTATCTTTTTTTGAGTAACAATTCATTGTCAAAATTCATAAAGGTGCGGTTCAAAAACTTTGCTCTCTTCTACATAGATACTACTCTCTCCATCCCTTAATTAAGTTCAAACCTTTCAGGTTGATTTTCAGGGTCAATTATATTGATTACAATTTAGAGAAAAATAAATTGAATTGTTTTTTTCTGAATATGCATATAAAACCGTATCTCATGTAATAACTAGTCTCAAAGGTAAAATTTAAAATAAGAAACTACCTGCAATTGTGTGAGAGCAACCTATCAAAAATTGATAGGAAATACTTGTACGGAGTGAGTTACCGATTTACATCTTCCCATAATTTTATCGGGTAGGGAAGGAAGGACCCCTGAAATGAGCGATTTCACCCTTTTTAAACAATAAAAGGTGAAGGATATAGCTATTGCTTTCACTTTTGCCATTGTTTTGATGCTTTACTTAGAATCCAAACCTTATTATTCTTTGTCTGTCTTTTGAAAGTTGAAACCACCTACTTCCACTAAACCCGCATGCAACATGCGTCGCCCGAGGCTAGTGATGACTGATGACTAGTACTGTACTACTCCGTCTTCCCCCTATATATAGGAACATGCAAACTTAATTAAACAATATAATCCACGGGTGATTAATTACATTAAAAACGAGAGTTTAGAATAAGATAATTAATACCAGTATATATGGAGAGACAACTTATTGTTTGGATCGTCGTGCTGGCGGCGGTGCTAGGCCGCACGCCGGCGGCGGGAGCGCGCGGGAAGAACGGCGGAGAAGAATCATGGGCCAAAAGAGTGCACGTTCCGGCTTCCGGCGGCGGGAAAGAAGTGGTGACCAAACTGCAATTCTATTTCCACGACAAGCTCAGCGGATCGAACCCGAGCGCGATCCGGGTCGTGCAGGGCCCCGGAAATTACTCTCGCCGCGGCGCGTTTGGCACCATCACGATGGGAGACGACCCGCTGACCGTCGGGCCGGACCCGAAGTCGAAGGAAGTGGGGCGCGCCCGCGGGCTGTACGGGTCCGCCGGGAAAGACGAGGTGTGCCTCATCGTGGCCATGAGCTACGGATTCACCGTCGGCGACTACGCCGGGAGCTCTTTCAGCCTTCTGAGCAGCAACCACGTGCTGGACCCGGTTCGTGAAATGGCCGTGGTCGGAGGGACCGGTCTGTTCCGGTTGGCACGTGGATATGCCTTGGCCCACACCTATTCACTTGACCTCGCCACCGGTGATGCTATCATTGGCTACAACGTTACCCTTCTCACCCACACCCACACCCACATTTGAAATACCAGCTCACCTAAAATTTGATATCAACTATTTCAAAAAAAAAAATCTAATCAAAAATATATTTAAGAGATAAATACAGATAATTGTTATTGTCTGTATATAATTATGCGTGGAAATGATATTTATACACCAAAAATTATACCCAGTTTATACTCTGAAGGCATGCATCAATAATTTATGCTAGTGTGATGTTTTACAATAACACAAAATGTTAGTCCAAATTTTTTTTATTAAACTAACATTTTGTGTCAGTGTAAATCATTAAAATACTAGTGCATTCCTTTAGAGTATAATTTGGGATGCAATTCTTGGTGTACTCCTAGCATGGTTGATCTATGCAATATATAATATTAAAGTTTGATTACTATAAATTCCGGTGTTAAAATGCTAAGGAGTACTTTTTTTTTTAAGAAAATCAATATTCTATTTTAGCTCGTTTAAAAAACTCTATCCTGGAATTTCTTATTTCTAATGTTAAACAAATTAAACTGTTATCTTTCAATAGTTTGAGCTTTTAATTTACTAAGAGATGTGAATCATGTAGTTGAAGCTGATTTTTTGTTTGATCTTGTTTATTGGCGTGTTTGTCAATTCTTTTTGTTAATTGTATTGCCCGTGATTTATAATTTAATCTTTTGTTTCCAAAAAAATCTATGCTAGCTAGTGCCTGGTAATAATTGAAAATCAAATAAGAATGTCATAAGAATCCCACCATTAATTAATTAGTGTAAAATAGACTTTACACTCCTAGCCGAGGAATTGACTAAAGTGACCCACTCAGTAAATTAAATTTAATTTGAAGCATCCCATGAGTAATTTCTAAAAAAAGTGAGACCTAATAGTCATAAACATAAAATTGGAGGTATCCGAGAGTCATTTTTTTGTTTACAATGATCCCAAATCCTCTTCGTCCTAACTCCTGTCACATCAATATTCTACTAACTTTTCCGCCCCGCCCCAAAGTCCTGCAATGATATCGACTCAAAAATCCACATCTTCGTTTCTTTTACAATATTTATCATTTTTAATTCGAAATTTATAAAAATTTGATATAAAGAGGAAGGAGAACAAAGAGGATCGGGGGCGCGGCAGACTGCCTGTAGTGTTATGTGTGTGTGACTAATGTATGTAATCACTACTTATTCAAAATTGATTTGAAAAAATTGTTTTGGGGATTGACTCCCAATTAATTAAAAAACAAATCTTATCTACACTTAACCGAGTCAGAACCCTTCCGGCGGAGATCGGTGGAGTCTCTACCCCGCCCAGCCGCCGGCATCCGGCTCCAACATCGACCATTGCTATATTCATATAGCAGATGCATCTCTCATGCTGACCTTCTGCGCGCGATGCCGTATCTCCCACCGCAAGCTCGCATTTTCTCAGTCAGACCCGGCTCCGATAACCTCAAGCGCCGCCCTTGTCTCGTCCAGAAAGTTATTGATCTGTGTTCCCAAGGCCATTTCCAACGAGCCGTTGATTCTCTGGACTCGTTAGCTGATAAAGGCCTGCGTTTGGACTCCAAAACTATAGCTTTTCTCCTACAAAAGTGTGCCGATTCGAAATCCATTGCACCAGGGAAATGCGTACACCTCCACCTCAAACTCACCGGTCGGAGACACCCAAACACGTTCATAGCCAACCATTTGATCAGCATGTACCGCAAGTGCGGCGATCTCGTCAATGCATGCAAGGTGTTCGATAAATTGAGCGTGAGAAATTTGTACTCTTGGAACGCAATGCTCTCTGGGTATGCTAAACTGGGCATGACGAAGGCTGCCCGAGATCTGTTTGATGAAATGCCTGAGAAGAACATGATTTCGTGGAACGTCATGGTCACTTCCTATGCGCAGGGTGGTTATTTGGAGGAAGCTGTCAACTTCTATAGGGAGTCGAGGGTATCGAGTTCAGGGATCGACGAGTACACCTTTGCTGGGGTTGTCACTGTTTGTGTCAAGGCCAAGGAGTTAAATCTGACCAGGCAAGTCCATTGTCAGGTGTTGGTTGCTGGATTTTTATCAAATTTGGTCCTCTCCAGTTCAATTCTTGCGGCGTATGCTTCATGCGGAGAAATGGGAGACGCTACCAGGTTGTTTGGTGCAATGAGAAGCAGGGATGTTGTCACTTGGACCACTTTGGTCGCCGGATATGGGAACTGCGGAGACATGAAATCAGCCAGAGAAGTGTTCGACATGATGCCTGAGAAGAACTCGGTGTCTTGGACTGCTTTAATGGACGGTTACGCGCGAAATGGGTTCTGTAATGAGGCCATTACAGTATTTGCAGAGATGATGAAGCATCAAGTCGCACCCGACAGGTTTAGTTTCAGTGTTTGCATGTCCGCTTGTGCCAGTATACCATCACTCAATCTTGGCAAACAAATTCATGCACTTGTGATGGTAACTGGGTTCAGACCAACCGATACAACTGTATTAAGGTGTCTCGTCGACATGTATTCAAAGTGTGGAAGTTTGGAAGACGCGCAGAGGGTGTCTGATTTTATGGGGAGAACGCAAAATGTCGCATCTGGAACACAACATTGTTACGTTAAGGAAGCAACGTAGCATACCAAGAGGAGATGTTTGTGCTTTCATAATTCATTGATGTGGGAATGTGGGATAATCTTCAAGATCACATTCAGTCTATCAAATCTACATTTGTGCATTAGAAAGATTCATTACTAACATGGTGATCATTTTTGGAGTGCCCTACTTGGTTGGTGTATAGGATTGACAATAATGAGATTTTTTTAATGAAATGATTTTTTACAGATTTTTTTTTCAAATTCATCGATCTTAATGTCTTATGCAGAACTTGGAATTGCAGAAAATAATACAAGCTCTTATATTTTTTTAAAAAAAAATTAGAGTACTCTTATGCAATTACATTTTGGTTCCGTGCCCACAAAGCCATTTGTGTGCGTGGCTTCGAAGATGCAGACATTGAAAGGCAAAACAAAACCATCATATTTACCCCCTGTGCAAGCACCAAGGGGAGAATAACAGGACCTCTCCCCCCCTCTTGTTTTTCCCCCCTCTAAATCCTATCATGTGATTGTTGTTGTTTGCTGTTGTTATAACGGTTTGATTGCGTGCGGGAATGGGCATTGAATGGTCCAAACAGGTCGAGCGACGAAAAGCCATCCACGCAGAGAAGGTATCGATGGCGTTGCTCAAACAGGCGAAGGCTTGCATTCAATTCCCAGGTTCAGATTTCCATCCGGCTGATCGGAAAAACTGGATGGGAATCCTTGGCCCGGAGAGACTTCCCGTGGAAATGATCGTGTGGCCCGGGACCCACGATTCCGCGACGGACAAGATCGGCATCCCTCTCGTCTCTCGCCCGTTCGCCCAATGTCAAACCCTATCGGTCCACGAACAACTCTTAACGGGCGCCCGTGCTCTGGATATCCGGGTTCAGGAGGACCGAAATGTCTGCCACGGGTTCCTGACCGGCTACCCCGTGGACATCGTCATTCGCGACGTGAAAAGATTTCTGTCCGAGACGCGATCCGAGATCATAATCATGGATATCCGTACGGAGTTCGGGCACCGAGACCCGCCCGGATTTGACAAGTACCTGGAAGAAAAACTCGGGGAGCTTCTCATCCCACATGACAGCAACGTGTTTGGGAAGACGATAGCAGAGGTGTTGCCGAAGAGAATCATTTGCTTCTGGAAGCCGCGGAAAGTGGGTCCCGCCATTCGGCGCCCGCTGCTGTGGGGGGCAGAACATCTGAAGGACAACTGGACAGACACAGAATTGCCAAAGACCAAGTTTGACAACAACATCAACCACTTGAGCCAGCAGCCGCCGGTGGGTCGCAGGAAGTTCTTTTACAGGGTGGAAAACACACTGACGCCGCAGCTGAATAATCCTGCGGCGTGTGTTAAACTGGTCACGGATCGGATCCACCCATACGCTAGGCTGTTCATAACCCAGTGCATCTCCCTGGGCATTGTGGATAGGCTGCAGGTTTTCTCTACTGATTTTATTGATGAGGATTTCGTGGATGCTTGTTTTGGGCTCACGAATGCAAGGATCCATAGATTGTTATGAACTTCAATTAACTCCCAAAACTGGTACCCAAATGGGAATAAATAAATCTACCTTTGCTTCAAAGCAAAAAATTATTGTATACATATCTGTCTAGAATGCTAAGTTCTGGGCAGGATGCATCAGCGAGCTGATTTTTCCTTACAAAAGGCATTTCTCAGAAACACTTCTAGCCGTTGGAACATTAAAGAAAATGCACCTGTACCTGAATCAAGAAGAGTTATAAGTGCCCACACCCCCAGAGTCCAAATTATGGCAAAATAGATGGAAAAAAAACTTCGATTGATCAAACATACTTAACTTTTTTTTGGACATGATTTTTTTAACGGAGGGCGCAGTTATTATTTACATGGGTAATGTTAAATTTACTTGAACCTAAAGCTCCAAGAAAGACAAAATCCAAATGGGAAAACAGAGTATAATAAAGTATATGTAAAGACCTGAGTTTGAAGAAGTGTCTTTCTTCTGCAGTGATCCCTTTACTAAAAGTGTCCCTGGTATTTGCTGGAACACCTACAAGCCAAGCATGGGATTAGAATTCATAAGCAACTACACATAACAGAAGGAACAATTTGTGCAACGAAAAGACAAAAAGACCCGAAGAATTACTGAAACACGGAAATGCACATCATTTATTCGATTGGCAGAAGCTTTGTTATTCATCTCAATCGGCTTAGGGACATCAGAGTGCTCGTTGGGGTACGTTATCTGATAAAAGCAAATACTGTGAGATTCTTGGAACAATTTTGTGATCAACTGATTACCCCAGCAAAACAAAAGTGCAGAGTATTTTAGAACATACATCAATGTAAAATGAGGCGGTATTTAATTTACAAGATGCACCATTGCTACAGAAAAATGACTCCACAGATTGCAACAAATTGAAGGCACTATGCCCGGATTGAAGACCCTGCAACAAGATTAAAGCAGCAATCATGTGAGATCTCATATCAGCAGAAGGTCAAATAAAAATCAAAAGAGAAGAAAAAAAGGACAAATATAAAACTAAAGAACAATGCCGGACCAGAAAAGATGAAAAAGAATACCTCAAGCATGAAAGAATCATTAGTCTTCTCAGCAATGCGGTGAGGTATTGCCTTATTGGCAGGAGCTACAAATGACCAAGCAAGACCCCATCTACATGTCTGCCCTTGAACAAACTCTGTTGTCTTCACAACAGTCACTCCAACCTCCCAAAGCTTTGATATCAGTACTTTCATGTTGGCTTTTCGCCCAACCATTGATGTGTACCACCTATAAAGATGGGGACAGAGTAACAAATAAAAAAACTTTAACCCCCTCCACTGCTCGGCCCACCCAAGAAAAAGCTAACTTTTATTGAATTAATGTATTTTCCCCCCAAAAAAATATCCAAACAAATTAATTACTTCAAACATTGTTTAACCTGAAAAAGAAGAGTAAAATGGAATTTTTACATGTGTACCTTGTCAAAATTAAATTATTGTACATGAATCAATAAACAAAAACTTGTTTTTTGCAAGAATGCAGAATAAGATAGTTTTCGATTAAACTAGAAACAAATTGAAAGAAAAAATAGCATATGATATAATACCTAAAACACTGCTTGAGCTGAACACTATCGTCAATCATGCGAATTATAAAAGCATGTTCTCCTCCGGGACAAACCATCTCTTCACGAGTTCCACCACAAGAAGTCTTTGGGTTCTGTCCTGCTTCCTCTATGGCATCAAAAAATGGAGGATTGCACATACAGAAGTCAAAAGTCTCCCCATCCTTGACGACACCCATAATAATAGGTGGGCCGTGATAATTGCTATCCTCGTCTACATCTCGTTTGCAATTGATAAGTGGTCCATTTAAAACTCTGTCATCGTCAAATGAAGAATCTTGAATTACAACTTTTCTAATTTCAATCAAGTCAGAAATGTGAGGATTACTCTTGACATTTCTCTCTGCCCATTCTAAAGCTACATCAGTAAAATCTGCAAAAGACAGGGGAAAAATATATTCTCAAATTGTGAGTTTAAAGAGAAAACAGACTGAAAAAAGGGGAGAATTGCTGTATGTGTAATGTGAAGGCGACAGTGCAGCACTAGAACCTACCAGTACCGACAAACCTCCAACCAAGCAGAGATGCACCAAGTAAAGGGTAAATGCAATTTGCCCCTGTTCCAATATCAAAACCCTTCACAGCGTTTTCATTTGATTGACTCTTAGGTACAATATCTGATGACAAAAGATCTTCTATCCAATGAATGTAATTTGATCTATTAGGTACAGTGGGGCAAAGCTGCCCATCAGGGATCCACCTACAGTTTGTAATTTAAAGAACATCAAGGTACTCATAATGTGCATAGTTAGGATGCGCAAAGAATTTACATAAATAAAAGTAATCAATAACTAATTTTCACACCACTTCATTTCATTAAATTCAGTGCAGGCCATCAATATTCATAAGCAGTAGTGATGCAAAAGTTTGACATACATGAGCCGGGTGCAGAAAACATCCTTGCAAAGGTCTAGGGGAAGGGCCGGTCACCATGAGATGTATTGTAGCCAAACCTTAACTTGCATTATTGCAATTTGCAAGAGGATGCTTCAGGATTTGAATGCGCGAAATTCAAGATAATCAACAAGAAATTTTTATAGTACTTTCAAATCTACAAACTTTAATACTGGAAGCTTGGCCGTACACGTAAATCGTTTTTACATACTCCCTAATGGCTTCAATTTTTCTTCATTTATTATCGAAAAGCTGATCTCTTAATTTCACCCCATTGCATTGTATTCACTCGCAACTGAAAATTACTGATGAATTGCTGAAACCTAATGCATTATATGACAATGGGTGTGTTCTTTTCCGCTGATTTGATAATTGGGTGCGTTCACGATTCAATTGAAAAGGTGAAATCTGAAATTCGCAATGGAGAAAAACAATAGAACATTTCAGCATTTCGAGGGAGAAAAACCAAATTGATTACCAGTCGAGATGATGATCATGGCGGAGCAAGACCCGAGTAAGCTCCCTGGTGGCATTGAAGTCTGTCCAATCTATCCGGTGCCGACCATCGCGGTTGCAGAAAACGTAGGGTTCGAAGGAGGGGTAAAGAGAAGCCAGTAATCCGAAATCGGGTGGGTTTTCAGAGTACTTGTTTCGCGGATGAATTGTGGCTCTCTTTCTCTTCTTGCTCGGCGCCATCACGCACTGTTAATCTTCAGTATGGCCCCAGCAAGCTTCATTCTTCAACCTTGGCGTCAGTTTTAAAAACAGATTTAAAACAGTCAAGAGAGTAAGCATTTAAAATGTAGAATTTGGAAGATCGGCGAAGACACGCTCTGCTTCAATGTTAACGTTGGGGGCGAATCGATGATGAAGAAGAAGAAGCCATGAGAGCCTTCTGGTGATGGTCCAATTTACTAATGGACCAAAATATTTTTATTCAGTAGCCCAATAAAAATCGCTAATCGTTACGAGTATTTACATTACAATTAGGGACTGTTTGTTTCAGCCTCTTAATAATTCAGATGTCTGAATGGTTCAGCACTTAATGGTTCAGACTGTTTGTTTCAGCCTCTTAATGGTTCAGATGTCTAAATGGTTAAGAGATTTGCCTCTGAATGGTTAAGTATTATACAGAGTCTGAATGGTTAAGACCTCTTATCTGAATTGATCAGACATTTGCCTCTGAATAGTTAAACAATATACTAGCTCTTAATGGTTCAGACCTCTTACTGGTTCAGCACTTTATGGTTCAGACCTCTTACTGGTTCAGCACTTACCTATTCAGAAGTTGCCAAACAGCCCCTTACTGTTACATATAATGGGCTGTGCTACTAGGGAGGGCCGAAATACGTCAATTAAAAATTTAAGATTATATTGGATTTGCGAACAATCTAGTGTCCAAAAAGTTTGTGCAATAGTTTTTTTTTTAAAGAAAAAGGGAAGTACCCTTTAAAAAATTAATGATATCCACTATAAAGATCATCTTTTCTCAATTTTTAGTTTTTGTTACTCGGAATTTCATTCATGGTGTCATCCAACAACCATCCATTACCATTGTGGTCAGAATTGTTACTATTGTTGGTCATTCGTGGCGACTATTGGCGAATAATGAACTTAAATATTTCCAGTCAGCGTCTACTGTCATCGTCGACTAGCGACCACGACTAGCTAGCTGTCGTACCACCATCATTGTTTGTTAACATCGGCCACCACTTTTAACCTTAAGTCGTCGCCTCAACCAACTAACCACCATCGTCGCGACTGTTAGTCATCCACCATTACCGACCGTCTAATCCAACCTTTTTCACCATCATATCGAGTTCTATTTGATTTTTTATGTTTTTATGTAATAGTCATGTTAAAGTTTTCAAAATCATTCAGTTTCAAATAGTAAATTTTATTTTAGGTTATTACTAAATCTACCCTAAAAAAGATTATGTTTACATTGGTGTGCATTTAACAAATTTAATTCAGAGTTGATATAATCATATTTGGAATTAATTTCGCAACACCCTTTATTTTGTTTCAATACTATTTTGTTTGCCCTAGAGATAATTAATGTTAACCCATGTAAAAGTCCAAAGCAAATATGTTGTAAAATTCAAAAGAGGATTTGGTCATGTTCTCTTCACATGATCTAAATAATTTCTAACTTGATTGGAATAAATTTTGATTTGGTCAAATTCGATCTTAGTGTAGTTATATTAAAACTTACTACGTATTCCTGATCTGAACTAAGTTGATTTCAATGGAAAAGTAAGAGAACATATTCAAAACTATTTTTTATAAACAATGATAATTAAAAAAAATTACTCTAAATAAAATAAATGGGATTAAGTCCTCCACCCCCTCCCTCAACCCCACACCTCTCAAAAGAAGGGCAATGAGTGAGATATATGCGGTACTCGTACCATAATTGAGTCAAAAAAGTAAAACACTCTACTGATAATTAATCTTCCCGTTCTTAAACGAAAAAATTGTTGTTTTTAATTTTTTTATGGTGGGCTAAACATATTCTTTGACATTACTGTGTTATTCATAAATATTTGATGAATATACAAGCAAAAGTAATATAATTTCACACTTTTATACTAGTAAGTGAAAAATTATTGAGAAAACATACTTTCCTACCGAGTTTGGAGTATTTTATAGCACGAAAAACAAGCTCTAAAAAAACTAAAATATGAAAATATATTCCTAATGCTCCCTCTATTTTTATTTTTTTAAAAAATATTTTTTTCATTCATTACAAAATAACTTAACATTTTTCTTTAAAAAAAATACTCCCTCCGTCCCTGAGTGTTTGTCCACTTTCATTTTTGCACACCATCCAATGCACTTCTTTAATCCATTTTATCTTGTAATTTGTATATTAAAAAATTATAAAAAATTATATATTAATAATCTTTATGTTAAGACGAATCAAACAAGATCACACATGACTATTTTTAGGCTTACACATTGAGAGAATTTGATAAGTCAAAGTGCTTAGATGAACAGTTCCAAAAGTCAAAAGTGGACAAACACTTAGGGACGAACCAAGTAGTACCTAAAATCCAAAATATTTATAGAGTATCTATTTTCTAAGAGTTATATTTCTTTAATCTCAAGATACACATGAAAAATACGGAGTATTCACCTTCTCACATTTTTCATAGACTGACAAGTAGATTTTATTTTTGCAAAATTTATATCTTCTAAATACTCATGTACTCCGTATTTTTTATCGAATGAGGCTTAGTATTTACGTAGTACTCCCTCCGTTTCTAAATAAATTACACTCCCTTTTAACGTGTATAACTTTAGCTTCTGACTTTTAAAATGCTTTTATTTATAAACTTGTATAGAAATAAAAAATAAAAATTATATATTCAAAAACTCTATGAAATGTTCTATAAAACAAGATGTGATAAGAATATTTTACTTTATCAAATCATTAATAAAAATATACAAATAAATAAATTTTTTTGAAAAAATACAACAGTAAAAAAGATACGAAGTATTTTGGGGTAGAGGGGATAGCATTTACCTAGGGCATCTTTCATTTTTTTTTTCATTTGAAATTTAAAGGATTAAATTATTTTCGTCATGATTATGTTGACATTCGGACCCAAACTACAGTCATCACGTGAATGGCTATGTCTTTATCCGTGAAAAACCATATATGCACAAAAAAAAAAATCATTGTATATCAATCCCAGATAAAACGATTGTTAAGAAAAGATAAATTAGATTTTAACTATAGATTAACAAAGAATGGAACATGCATCAGGTACTTCAAAGATCATATGATTAACATAAATACTCCTCAACGGAGACCATATATGCACATACAAGGCCACAAAGGTGGTGCTAGGGGATTCCAAATACTTGATCTCATGTACACATCAAGATAAACACTCAATATGTATACATGTATAGATATTGAGTTCCTATTTGTATTTATATATGGCTTGGTGTGCACTTGAGGTCATATATTGAGTGTATGCAATTGACTCTTAAAATAACTAAATTTTAAGAGTGTAGCTGACGATTAATCAATTAAACTTCTGAGTTGTAATAGATGTGAATGTGGAATAGGTTGGGATGGGATTGGATGGTGGGCTTACCAAAAGATTAGAAATGGTAGAATCATTAGTTTTACAATTGAAAGACCGACTGTGACTCAATTAAGAAAATTTCTCTGAGAGAGTGGGTCACATAACCTAGCCGTAAAAATATTAACATTTTGAATAATCCAATAATAAAAATTTGAAAAATATTCGAGACATCACAGCTAGTTATTGATTATCGTTCTATAGACGATGGGTGTTGCGTAATTTGCAAGTAATAAGTGCATGTTTTACTCTTTGACATCAATATCAAATCAAAATTTAATTTATTTCTTCTTACTAACTGTTGAATCAGGTATACACTTCGAGCTCATTATGTTAAGAGTAATTTAGGTATTCTATTTTTATAAACTTGCCATAATAGGAAACCAGCAATATAAATAGAGACAAACGGAAAAGGAAAATGTGCAATTTAAAATAAGATGGATGAAGTATTATTCTTTTAAAAACGAACTACTCTCTAGTAATGATTACACGAAGGAAAAATAGCTAAACCGAGATAAGTAGGCCCAAAACTGGAAAAGGGGGCCGAATGTATAATGGTCCCTAAACCCACAAATAATAGCTTACCACTTGAGTATTTTACTTTACCTTTTGTTTGGATTTAAGAAAATAAGGATAGAAAGAAATGAATGATTGAAAAATAAAAGGGTATATAATGTGTTTGGGAAGGGAAGGGAAATAAAAGAGGACTGACAATAAAAGGGTATATAATGTGTTTAAATAGTAAATAATTTACACTCACTACATTCAATTCATTAAGAGGTAAAATAGATTTATCTTCCTTCCATTCTAAAATATTTACACAAGTGGAGGAAAAAATAATTTTAATTATTTTTTCCTAAATTTCCCACCCTTATTTTCTTTCCTTCCAAAAAAAATTATCCAAACATGCAATTAGGACATTGACATTTCGGATTTATTTTTCCGTGGTCCTAAAGTCCCCGTGTGAAATGTGAACATCCTCACATTTTTTTGAACCGTCAGAATTTTAAACGTAGTTGTAATATTCAATTTTCATTATTTAAATAATAACTACATTCTTAGAATATATAAAAAGTTATAATTTTTTTACATTACATATAATATTATATTATTCATATATTAGATTTTGAAAAAAAATTTAAGAACCGAGATCTGGGTTGGAAGCAGATACGGAATTGTCGGTTCCGGAACCGGATTCGCTGGTGACAGTTACAGTGTCATTATGAGGCAATGCTGGAACCGACGATTTCGAAACCAAACCGTGTCCAATTTACAAAATGTGTATTACAAAAATTTAAAAAATAAATATTTGAAGTCTCAATTTGAGGTTAAGACTCTTCAAACTCCGAAGTGATGTGGCAAATAAAAGATGGAAGGATTTGTAGGCCAATTTTGAAGTCCCTCACTTCAGTACTTCACTGCCTCCCTTTCTTATCATTTCCTGAACTTGTATGAGTATATACGTTCCTAAATCCTAATCCTCCCACCATTTAGAAGCCGGAAGACAAAATATATACTGCCCTGGAATTCTTGACCCAAAACAAGGAAAAAATAAGCCCATCTCATGGATCTGCATTCGTCTCCGTCTTCTTCCCCACTACATGTTCTCAGCTTCACTCTTGCTCTGCTCATACTTGCAACTGGTAAAAAGACCATCTTTCTTCATGTATGCATTTGCAGTCACACTTACGAGCACACCCTAGACTGTCTTCTTTGTTCGTATCTTGGATTTTGCAAGCTGTAGATCTCTAAAGTTTCGATTTTTAAACTATTAAACACTTCGTTTCTTGATTTTCAGGCGCGTCAGGGGCTACATTTACATTTGTGAACAAATGTGAAAGAACAGTATGGCCTGGGATTTTATCAAATGCCGGAAGCCCCAGCCTAGAAAGCACCGGATTTGAGCTACCAAAGGGCTCTTCCCGCACATTAACGGCGCCTACGGGGTGGTCCGGCAGGTTCTGGGGCCGGACTGGGTGCAAATTTGACAGATCCGGGTCCGGGTCTTGCGCGACAGGGGACTGCGGGTCGGGCCAGGTGGGATGCAATGGCGCCGGAGCAGAACCGCCGGCTACCCTTGCAGAGGTCACCCTCGGCTCCGGCGGGCTGGACTTCTATGACGTCAGCCTGGTAGATGGCTACAACCTGCCTTTAGTGATGGAGGCTACCGGCGGGTCAGGCATGTGCGCCACCACGGGGTGCGTCACAGATCTGAACCGAATCTGCCCGTCGGAGCTTCGAACGGTCGGCCGCACCGCCTGCCGGAGCGCGTGTGAGGCGTTCTCGAAACCGGAGTACTGCTGCAGCGGCGCGTACAGCACACCGTCCTCGTGCAAACCCTCGGTGTATTCGGAGATGTTCAAGACCGCGTGCCCCAGGTCCTACAGCTACGCCTACGACGATCCCACCAGTACATTCACGTGCAGCGGCGCGGACTATACGGTGACGTTTTGCCCATCTATTCCCAGTCAAAAATCTTCAAAGAACGCGACAACAGCTACGACGACCACACCCGTGACGAGGAACACAGAGAGTGGGGGGCCCACACCCGGTTCGGGAATTACTGGCCCGGAAACAGAGCCAGCGGGCCCGAGTTTGGGTATGGGGATGGAATTTGACGGGTCAGGACAAACCGGTAGCGGTTCAACTATGGCTGGAACCGGGTCAGAATCCGAGGCATTTCTCACGGACGGGTCATATTTGGCCGGGTTAGCCATGGGCAAATCAAGCCCGGTTTTGGCTACGAAGGAGACTCTAAATTACTTTGCCTTTGCCTCGTTCATCTTCTCTTTCGTTTTCTTAATTTAGACCCCCATTGTTGTAGAAGAAGTATCTCATGAAGAAGAAGATCTGGTTTAATTTTAATTTAGTACTGTATTAGTATTCGTATTAAGGTATTATCTTCTTTTTCTTTTGTTCATATTGTCTAATGTTTCAATAAGAGTTAACTTTTGAAGCTAAATATGAGTGCTATCTCAGGCATTTACACGAACAGTTCACATGCATGTGGTCCTTACGGAGTCTCAATTCTTTTTAGATTCAAACTTTTCCCCAATATCTAAATTCATCCATTTCTATCTGTGCGTGGGAAACGTTCTGGTGGGTAAATTAGGTACGACATGAACACTCATCTTCAGACTTGAATGCTAAAATGCCGGGTCTCATCGCCGCGGTTAAGGGAGAAAGTCGAGCTCGATGTCCTGTTACTGTAGTCGACCCTGACTAGGTATTCTCCCAGGAACCCAGAGAAACTGTGGCAGCCATGCTCGTCCGTTTCCCCTTCCAACCTCTGGGTCTGCCACTCCTTCAGCAGATCGTCGACCACGTCTCCCGCCGGCAGATTGTTCATGTTGTTATCAGTGAGGCACATTTGGTAGCACCCCTTTGGATCTAACGCCGTCCACAGCATAATCCCGTCCACCGCCGGATGCGAGAACCCTTCTCTCAGAACTATTTCCAAATACCTTGCCTGCATTTCTTGGCCCCGTTTCTTGCTGATGTCGATTTCGGTGAGCCAAATCGGGAGCCCCAGGGTGGCGAGCTTGTCAAGGATTGCCCGGATCAAGGGAGGGTTTGGAACTGTGAAATGACCCTCCAGCCCAATCCCATCCATGGAAACTCCCCCCTCTTTCAGCTCCCTCATCTTCTCAATGTACGCGTCCACGGTGGACTTGGGGTCCGAGCACGTTTCCACGATGTTGAAGTCGTTCATGAAAAGGGTCGCGAGAGGATCTGCTTCGTGGGCCGTCTTGAAGAACTCTACAGTGGCATTGGGCCCCAGACGCTGCTCGTAGAAGTCGAAATGCAGCATTTCGTTGCTGACATCCCAGTGGATGAACTCGCCTCTGTAGCTCTGCATCAGGCTCTGGATTCTGGACTGGACCGCGGATTCCAGGGCCGGGCCCGTCAGGTTGAGAACCCATTTCGGCGTGTATTTGGGATCTTCCCAGAAGATGTTGTGGCCTCGCACCGCAATCTGGTGCTCTCTCACAAAGCTCAGCATCTGGTCAGGTATGGTGTAATTGAGATGGCCTTCTTCGGGCTCTGTTGCATACCACTTTAGCTCATTCTCAAATACTGCTGCATTGAACCGCTTTGCAAACCATTCCTGTGCGTAAGAAACAATAACAATAAGCTAATGCTGGCTGAATTGTGTTTACATTCAACATTTCAGACACTGGGAATGGTGGGAAACCAACCTGGTAGGGCAAGTTTCCTATGATGGATTTAGATATTGCAGATCCAAATGAGAAATCTTTTGATATTTGTTCAACTGTTACAGTTGCATTCTTTAGTCTAATCCCCTGTCTGTCTGAGGCATGGATTGTTACGGCACGCTTTCTCTCCTGATCAAACAACAAGAGTGGAGTGATAGTTATCCATGCTGTAAAAATGGTTTCTTTAAAAGATTTTCCCAGTTCTAGTATGAATTGGAGTAAAGAAAACTTAGTTCATTACCATGTTAATTTTGGTTTGTTGATTCAATCTCCATTGTTGCTGAGTAAACGGCTGTAAAGAAGCGCTTGCAATCTCTATATTGATATCTGCTGTGGCTGAATTCTTTTCAAGAAAGAAAGGAAGAAAAAAACTCTCTTGGTACATTGATGATACACATAAAAGTAAGAACAAGAACACGGTATTAGATGTTGGTTTGCATGTAGTACCATAAAGTAGAGTAGAGATAAGTTAGATGGGGAAGTCAAAAGGAAACCCCCCTTGATGAAGGACCAGCATCCTCTCTTGGCAACTACAGTCCCTACGCAGTCCGCTTGTGCGCCCTTTTCCGACAACAGCGTAGCAGTCAAGAGAGCAGATTCTCCGTCTTCCAATCGGACCCAACCTGTCATCACAACACCAACACTCTCAATCCCTTTGAGGTTTGGAAGTCTACACACAATGAAAATGCTACTTTCACCACAGATATGCATGACACCAAAGTATACACTAACATTTTCAACCTTGGGGTCATCCGTGGCGTGATTGTGATATAATCCTATATAGAAAGATTGATTTACATGATGGGGCAATTAGAGGGACACAAAAACTTAACTGGAAAAACAATAGATTGTGTCTGCGGTTAAATTGTGAAGCAGAAAGGTGGGGGTATAAACTCCCTTCCCGTCGAGCCCAATGACCTGTCGCGATTGTGGCGCACTATCCGCCAGTATTCCTCCCTGGTATAATGGCTCCTCCGGATTCTGTTTGCACTGCAACCCCACACCACATTAATGCCTATTTTCAGTACGTATAAATACTCTTCCGTTCTAATTTGTTGTGCCTGTGTTTTCCTTTTGTTCTGGCCTAATAATTTCTTGCGTATGTTTCTATTTGAGAAGTATGATGTGATTCACATTTGCTTATACATAAATCTCAACCACAAAGTTTTTAACTCGTAATCTCGTGCCCCCTTCAAAGGATAGTTTTCATTTTCTTAAAAAATAGGGTCTTTGACAATGTGAAAGAGTACCTACCTCTGTGTAGGCTGAAGAGTCGTACAGCGGACCGTCTGCAATGGAAAAGAGCAAACAGAGCACTGGGTCAGGCGTCATTGAAACTTGAAAGAGAGAATGAGAGAGAGAGAGAGAGAGAGAGAGAGACAGAGAGAGATTACCATAGGTTGAAAGAGATGGGGTGATAAAGATGCAGAGGGTGAAGAAGATGGAGATGGAAAAAAGTGAGAGATTTGTTGTGCTTTTCATCCTTGATTCTTGGGACACACACACACTGAAACAGCTTAAAGAGCAAGAACAGGGGGCCGTTGGGAATTCTTCTTATAGAAAAAAGGAAGAAGAAGGAAATTGATAGTGGTCACAGAGAGAGAGAGGTGAGATGGAATGGGAATCACAGGAGAAACAGTGTGAATGAGAGTGGCGGAATGACAATGGCAGTAGAGTTCACATGCACCCACACACAAACACAAACTTGCAATTGCAATTGGGAATTGCAAATTACGTATAATAGTGTGAAATCTGAATGAATGTGGGTTGTTTTTTTTTTAAAAAAAAAAAAATTATTGACAGTGACATTTAACTTCTTCCCCGTGTATTGTTGCTGGTACAATGTTGGTGGAGTTTAGCGTCGTGCACAGTTGAGAATTTTAGGGCCTTATCTGCTCTAAGCCTCTAAGGCTGTATCTGCTGCTTATGTACCCTCCTTCAGTTGACCTTTGTTTTAATGGTGGGTGGGATTCTCACTAGCACTCTTTCTTTTTTTTTTTTTCCTGTTTTGCTTTGCTCCACTATGTCAAAGTACCAAAAAAAAAAAAAATCGTGGACTTACAATCATAAGTTTGAATTTTTAGTTGAATTGTCCATTCTAACGGGGTATTACTCTTCCTCGTGAACTAGTTGGCGAGATTTATGATGAGGTAAATAAGTAAATTGATCTTGCTTGACATTTAGAAAAAAAACATCAAACTACATGATAACAATAATGTACGAAATAAATTGCCTATTTAATATAGTAACTCCTTCTGCTCCAAATTAAATTAACTATAAACTATTCACGAGATTAAACTTTATTCATTTTTTTTCTATTTTCATTAGTCATTTGATATAATAATAATATAGTCATATCTCCGCTAGTTTCGTAGATCTTTTTATGTGAATTTTAAATATATAATTTTTATTTTTCAATTCTACACCGTTTTACATATAAACTATTTTGAAAATAACTTCATTCAAACATCGTAGACCAAAATATGTGATTTAAATTGAGACGGCGGGAGTGCATTTTTTTCTTCTCTTTTTTTCAAACCTCTTCATTTCATTTAGTACCAAACTTTGAGTTTTATTTTCCGTCTTTCCAATGTATTATTTTGGGTTGAAATAGTATCAAAATACACCCAAGAGAATAAAACCAAGTATAACAAAAAAAATAGGAAAATTAAAATAAAGTCTAAACATTAAATTTAAGTGAGATTCAAAATTCCATCAAAATGTACGTAAAAATATGTAAAATACGTATACATCATGCAACCGCTTTCAAAATAGTTAAATTTGCACTAAATAGGACTAAAACATAATAACTTTCTTAATGTAGGACTTAAACTTTTTTATTCTCTAAATAGAACTTAATAATGACCTTGTGGAAGGAATAATGTCCAGTAATGATGGACATTTAGTTGAATAATGACTACTTGATAATGACCAAAAGTCCTACATTGGGAAATAAAAATATATGGTCCTATATTGGAAAAGTCATTATGTTTTAGTCCTATTTAGGTAAATTTTTCTTCAAAATAATTCTCTTTCCTTTTTCGAGTTTCTTTGAAATTGTGCCCTTAGTCCCCTATTGAGTGCTTTTTCATAATGTGAAACAACTCAATTGCCACAATAGGATTATCCGTGATAAGCCTATATATTGGGAATGAAGGCACTCTATGCTTCTGATACCACTTTCTTCTTTATTGTGCTCTACTTTTATATAAAAAATTATTTAAAGTTTTGTGTGGACTAATATATGTAAGGATTACTTATATCAAAGAGTTTACCACACTACCGTTTTTTTAGTCTGATCAAAAAATCTTACACTAGTATTTTGTGTCAATGTAAACAAGCAAAATGACATTGCAAATCTGTGATTTACTACCTCTGTTTGTTTACCTAAAGGTAAAATGACTAAAGTAGGAGTGAAACACTGACAATTGCTGGATCCAATTGTGCTGCTGTTGGGGTTATTTTATAATAAAATAAAAATATGTACTAGTAGTTCAAACTTTTTTTCATTCTCGTTAGCAAATTTTAACCACTATTTTTTTTACTTTTCAATATTTTTTTTCTTTTACTACGTGATGTGCAAAAGAAAACGATTAATTTGAAACAAATGAAGTATAAAGGAGAGTATCCTTTTTATTTTTTCTCATGCTCTCCCTTAGAAGTATAAAAATCTTTCTTGAAAAACAAACATAAATTTGAATTTTTGGTTGAATTAATTTATTGAGACGGTATCAAAATCTTGTTAATCAAATGTTAATCAAAAGGTCACAAGTTTGAACCCCAAAATTACTCAACTTTAAAAAAAATCACGTGTAAGACTGAATACGTCAATGCCTAGACGTGAAGTAACGTATTAGAGTACTTCATCCTTATTAAATTTAATTACAAATTGAGGCTTACCAGATAAACCTTCTACATCTTAATTCCTTGTACTCTCATCATTTTTTTTCCTCTCATTTTATTTGTTCTCTACTTCTGTTCATTCAAACAAAGGAATTGAATATGGCCTTTATTATTACTTCGGTAGTAATCAATCAAAGAATATTTAAATTTTGACCAAAGGGAGATTAAATTTCATCTCTCTCGTTTAGGGAGATTACATTTTCACTCCCCAATCAAGCAAGCCATAATAATAATACCCTGTTTAGGGCCAGTTTCTTCTGCAGATGATGACTGGGTTGCAGATAAACCCAATCACTCCATGCTGTTTCTCACATTCCCGATAGCTTTTGAGCTGTTGAGACCAGTCCGGTGACCGGGAAGCCATGGCCGCCGCAAGCGAAGAGGATTCAAACAAGCTACCCTCAACACTCCAGGACCCGACCCGACCTCTCCTCTCTAAGCCGTATCCTCCGATCGACGATCTTATAGCCCCCAGCTCCCAGTCAGACACGGAAGACCAATCCCAGTTCCTCCAGATCTCTTACAACTACGGCCCGCGGCATATCAAGGACCTCCCTTTCCTCATCCTCTTCTCAATCCTCGTCCTCTCCACCTATGGCTTCGGAATATTTGCCTCGGTCAAACGAAACCCTCACCGCTCCCACATCTCTTCATATGTTTACAACGCCACGTCCCTTTCCTGCACTCTTCCAGATTCAGATGACCTTGTTTTTCTGCGATTATCTGATTCCGGCGTATTGAAGAGCTTGATTTGGACTCTGGTGGTTACTCTGTTCTTAAGCTTGCCATTTGTGCTCTTTGTGCTTTTCTTGCTCAAGCGTTATACTAAGCAAATAGTTTACTCTGTCTTCCCTTTTTTTATTATCCTTCCGGTGGCCGCGAACATCTACTGGTTCGTGGCCTGCACTGTGAACTCAAGTTGCAGCGACGCATTTCCAATGGGGTATAGGATCTTGGTGCTTGCTTTCGTGTTCTTGATCATAGGGGTGGTTGTTTGGATCTTCATTGTGAATTGGCATCGGATAGAGTTGACCGTGCGTATAATTGGAGTTGCTTCCAATGCCCTTTCAAGGAATTTGAGGTTGTTTGGGGTGCTCCCGGCATTGACATTTGGGCTGTTCGTTTACTATGCCCCCATTGTTGTTTTCTTGGTTTTCGCAAGGATGAACGGGAAGGTTGTGCCCAAGGGAGAGCACAATGGAGAACACTATTGTGGTTGGAAGCAAGACAAATGGGTGCCTGCATACTATGCTTTAGCTGTTCTCACAATGCTATGGTCTGCCACAACAATGATCGAAGCTCAGGTGTATGTGATCAGTGGGACAATAGCGCAGTGGTACTTCTCCAAGGACAATTCAAGTTCCAAAAAGAGCATAAGAAGCTCCATTAGGTATCTCTTCTTCTGGCTTTAGGCAATGCTATGCTTTGTAGTTTGTACATCAGAATTGGACTCATTTGCTCCTACAGATCAGCAGTTAGGATTCCCTACTGTAGAATTTGTGCTAGATAGATGACTAAATCATACAGAGTAGCTTGTTTTCTTTTATAGGAGTCATTTGTTCATCAAGATTATAACTTAGTAGGGGATGACTTATTTTTTGGGATAAAACAGTTAGAGTCGTACTTAGGAATATGATGTACTCCGCATGTTTTAGTTTTTATATTTGGTACTTTTAGTTGCCAACAACATAATCAGTGGTGTCCATAAAGCTATAAAAAAAAGGAGTCCATAATAAGTGAATGCATTTGGAGTGATAACGACTGAACTGTGGTTACAAACTTACAGTAGGGGTATCTAGCCAGGTTTGTTGTTGAAAAATGCTTTGCAGATTAGTTGCTTGTTAAGGAACTTAATGTAAGATATTGGGTGGGGTAGTTCAGTATTTAGGTGTAATTTCACGTTCTGTCTGTATTAGTCTAAATTGCTAAACCTACTAGATGTTATGTAGTGGGTGTTTTTTTGCAGTGTTTATGCACACATAAATTGTTTACATCTTATTTGGTAACGCCAAACCAATGAGCAAATGAAAAATCTTGGTGCTTGTTAATTCCTCAACCGTTCAAGTTGAATGTTTTTCTTCTTTTAGGTTGATATGTTGAAGTATCAAACTATCTTGGGGTTCGAATTTTATGTCATTTCCTATTCTACTGATGATCTTTTGAACGTGCAAGACCATCTACCCTGGAGTATATAATATTACAAGGGGTTTGATTTCAAAAACTCTATAGTAGACAAGCAATGAGTTGATAATAAAACAAAGGAGAGGGAAAACCACCCAAATTTCCTCCTGTAATCTGCCAAAAAATTTCATTCTATGTTTTTCTTCATACAGTATCGTGATGTATACATCTTTCTAGTGAACCAGAAACTCTTTGTATAATGATTCATGGCCACCTTAGATGGTTTCTATTTACCATATCCTCCTTCTCTTCTTTTGTAATCATCTAAATAGCTTTTAATTCTGTGTGAAAAATTTGCAGAAATGCTTTTGGTCCATCTTCAGGCACGCTTTGTTTTTCTGGGTTGATTGTGTGTGTTGTTCGTGTGGTGCGTGCCATGGTAGATAGTGCAAGACAAGAGGCTCCCGGCATTGTAAATGTCATCCTTAGGTTCTGTGTTAGCACCCTTCTCTCAGCGGTTGAGTTCCTAAACAAGTTCACAATCAACTTTGCTGCCATTACTGGCGAATCATACTGCACGTCTGCCAAGATGACATATGAACTTCTAGAACGTAACCTCTTATCAGCTGTAGTTGTGGAGATCATTTCCACTCGTATACTTGCTGGAATTATAATCGTCCTT